TTCGACCAAGTCTGTGGGTTTCTTGGTGGATGCTACGAAATGAAATCATCTACCTCCATGCTCGTTTTCGGGCTGCAGGTCAACATGGTGACATGATGGTTGACATCGAGAATGTTTTCCAAGCTATTGATGAATACTTGACAGGTGGACAGACTTTGATTGGTGCAGCAGAAGACTTGGTGCGAAATGAGGAACCATTGGACGAAGCTCAAGACGAGCCAATGGCGGAACCTTTTGGAGCAGATGATGACATTGCTGAGCTGGCATACCAGCATGCCAGGCAGTTGAATGGCCACACAGTCGACAGAGCAGTCACTGAAACAATGGCAGATGAACAACGAGATCGAGAAGTTGGAGCAGATGGTGAGGATGAAGATGAAAACATGGACGAGACTCCTAGAGGACGTCGAAGACGATATTTGGAGAGCAGTATGTCTGAAGTCAGTGATCCAGAAGAATGGGCAGAAGTACATTACGGCTCACGTGACCAATGGGATCACGAACGTATGGTTGCTTTCTCAAACGCCAACCAGTTGCGGCTCAGGCGTGCCTATCAGATCCTTCTACAGAGAAGACAGGATGCAGAGGCAGCAGCGAGCTGGGAAGAGGCACCACACTACAGCCGAGCAATGGCAGAAGTTCGATCACTGATGGATTTGGCATAAGAATTTGAAACAGTTGGGCGATGCCTGTGGTGAGCAATCAATGCATGAGGCCTCAGGTATGTGGAAACACACACCAACTGACTTTGCGTTCCAAAGTGAGAGACGGCTAGCTAATTTACCTCATGACCACTTTTTCTGGAGCCCAAATTAATGAAAGCACAGATGGCCTGGTAACTGGCCAAAATTGGTGAGATGGCTTCACATCTTGAAAAGATGCAAAGCTAAGGTGGGGTGTCAAATTTACTCCATCGTACTCATGCATGCGGTAGGCTCCAGGTGGATTGAGGTGATACAGAGAAGATTAGCATGGCCATGGATGACACACATGGAACTCAATGAACGTTGTGCCCAAACAGTGGCTCAAAGAAAGCGTGGTGAAAACAGACGTTCAGTGCTCTGCCAGATTTTGTCACATTGATTTTCATGGTTTTCCTGGATTCAGGTGCCACGGGCAAGGAAAATGAAAAAAAACATGATAAACAAATGATAAAAAATGAAAATTTTCCTCGTTTTTGAAAATTTCCTGGTTCGGAGTGAGAATCTGCAACTTTGAGTCCAGATTTTCATTTTTTTCATTTTCAACTTCATTTTTTTTTTTTCATTTTCCTTTGTTTTTGCTGGTTTTCCATTGATTTTCATATATTTTCATGGTTTTCCTGGATTTCAGGTGCCACGGGCAAGGAAAATGAAAAAAAATGAAGTTTGAAATGAAAAAAATGTTTTAAATGAAAAAAATGAAGTTTGAAGAAACGCAACACGAAAAAAAATCAAAAAAATGAAAAATAAATGAAAACAAAAAAATGATTAAAAAACAAAATGAAAAAATGAAGTTACAAATGAAAACCCAAATGAAAAATACATGAAAAATTATTTAAAACATTTGCAGTCTGTGGCTCGATGCGAATCATATAAGATTTGCACTTCGTCTGGATTGTTGTATTTGTGTTCGGTTTTGCCACTGTAGGAATGCTTGTACAAGTGGAACTTGAATTTCACCAACACATGTTGGTTGATTGAGACCAGTCGCATTCCCCATTTAGGTACTGCAAATTACAGTGTAATTGGAAAAATGGATGCTATTATTGTTTCTTTGTTTCACAGCTTGTGGAATCCGAAATTGACACCTTTTGGGGTTCGAACCGTTGTGTTTCCGACGCAAAGGACTGAACACATGGCAGTTTGGGACAAAAACAGTTGGTTACAGCATTGGTTGGGTCGCTAGATGGTACCATGTTCATGCGCGGGAATGTTTCGCAAACAATCTCAAATCACACGGCTGCCGTTCATGAGTTACACGTTCACCGGCGATTCACCGGTGTAAAAAACATATTGTGCCTGTGATGGATAGTAGCGTAGTTTTCGTCAAAACAAGGGAAAAATTGCGATCCCATATGTTTCAATGAAGTTGCAACAAGTCGTGGCAGTCGCGCACGCGATTCGCCAGGTCACGGCTACTTGCCTTGGGAGTGTAGGTGTTGTTGGTGGCGGCCGCCATGTGTAGCAACATGTTATTTTTCTGTGATTTGAATTGCGACATACCGCGCGAATGTGGCAATGGCATTGCAATATTGCATATTTGACCCCGACGTGTACGTTTTCCATTTGAACAAAATTTTTGAAACGTTGTAAAAATTGTTTTGTTATTTTTTTTGCGGGCCGCAGTCTGCACAGCACCTTAGACAACACGTGGTTTAGGTTTCATTGCCCCCCGGGGTTTCATCCAAACATCAGATGCACCATCGCCGCATGCCGAATTACTGTCACAGTGCTTGGTCGCTGCGGAAGCAGTCGCAACCCACAGAACTCCTGTTTGCTGCGTGGTTTCAGTTCGGAATGGATCAGGCCGCTGTTTGGCCGCGCGTATGGCAAATGCCCCTGCAGCAAGTGCCTCTGTGGCAAGATGTGAAACGTGATTTTTGCAATGCATTAACGCATTTGGTACGCTCGCGGATACGTCTACATTCAGTGGAAAACGCTGATGTCATTGCGCTTTGCGGCCAGGCTGTGCGGCCTAAAATTCGCGTCAGCAGGTCAAACTTTGTGCTTTAAATTTGCTACCTTTGCACGTGGTCAAACGAGCATACATTGTCAAACATTGGCAACACAATGACAACACAATGACAACACAATGGGGTAGGGGTACGGCTGGTTATGATGGTGAACTACTTTTTTCAACGGGTATGTACATTGACATCGGCAAACAACGACGACAATCAGCCTTCATTGCCCGACCGCCGGGCCTTCAATTTCAATGCGTTGCGCATCGGACCGCTTCAAACTTTACGTCATGTACACAGCAAATGAAAATATACGCGCTTCAACGGCACTATCGCGCGAAGACTTTGTGGGACTCATCAAAGGGAGCACGTTGCAAACGAGATCGCTTGCTGGCGACATCATTTTATTGGTTGCACGGGCTTGGGACCCGATAATTCTAGCATTCTCCACATTCAAATTCTTTAAATTTACCTGGGGACATGAAACACGGCCCCCGGTGCCATTTGGTTCTGCGAAAAAAAAACCGAGAAACATTGGGTTTCGCTTCATCGGTTGTTTGTTGCCATCAAGCTGCCATGTTAAAGGGGGTGCAGCAGTGCACGCGGCGACGCGCCCGGCACATTGCCAATAACGGAACGCTTTGGCCACTTTCCAAAATCCGTGAGGTGCCCGATCTCTTTCCAAAATATCTCTTCTGGGGTCAATTTGGTCAAGATGCCAATGACCTCCACCGAATCAGGACGCACGTGTTTTGAATTTTTGGTCTTTCGTTTGAATGTATCTCGTTTGAATGTATCTTCGTTCGTTTGAATGTAAACAAGCGGGGCCAGACGGAATTGCAATGGAACTGTTCAAATGGATGGACGCAGAGAACCGAAACTTTCTCCTCAATATCATTAATCAGTGGTGGCGTCACAAGCAGGCGCCCGATCTTTAAGAAGGGTGACACGGATCTTCCCGAAAACTACCGCCCTATCTCTTTGCTAACCACGATTTACAACATATATATGATCATGATCAGGAAACGTTTGCAAGTCGTACTTGAAGACCATTTGTGCGAAACACAATATGGATTCAGACCTTCACGAAGTACATCGCACGTTTTTTTTTTGACGCGTAGACTTCAAGATATTTCGGAACAACAAGGTTCTAACATGATCCTACTCTTTCTGGATTTGGAGAAAGTTTTCGATCGGATAAAACATGACCGGTTGTGGATAGCTTTGCAACGGCTAGGAACCCATGAGCATTTCATAGATGTGTTGCAAAATAGCTACAGGAAAGCTTCGTTCTTTGTGGAAGACGAATATGGAGCATCACAAACTAAAAAACAACGAGCAGACATAAGGCAATGTTGTCCTGTTTTGCCTATCTATATAGTAGATGAAGATGTAAAATGCCGTCTACAGAACCCACGTAACTTCAGAACCCCCAGCAGTTCCCTGCCCATACATCGGGTATACTATGCAAATGACACAACCCTCATTGCAACAAGTACCAGGGCTGCAAACAAGCAACTAGCAGAGGTCGAAAGGGTTTCCCTAGAGTTTGGTTTAAAATTGAATAGGGGTAAATAAAAATATATTTTTATTAATGGTAGTAATGTGATAAATTCCCTGACTGGCAAAAGATGGAAAGAGTTGAAGAAACCACGTATTTAGGGCATCAAATCACTCAACAAATGCACGTTAAACATGAAATCAATCAGAAAACGTCACAAACTTTGAGAACTTGGTTCAATCTTGAAACGTTCTGGAAAGCAGTAGGCTGCACAACAAAATGGAAACTGCAAGTCTGTGACACAGTGATCCGAAACAAAGTACTGTATGGTCTAGAAACGGTACACTTGACGCAAAATTTACAACGGAAAGTCAACGCCTTTCAGCTCCGAGGGCTGAGGAAAATATTCGGACTAACAACTACCTATGTAAACCGGCAAAACACCAATGAATTTGTCGTAAGAAAGGCCAACGAAGAGCTTGGACATGAACCTGGGACCCCGCTGAAATTTAACTGTTCTCTGACCTGTTGATAGATAGACCAATTAGACTAGCGGACGTAGCAATGATAATGACTCGCTTAGGCGGGTTAGTTATGAACCTGATTCCACAGTAACGTTCGATGTAGGTAAAAAAAAGTAGGTGGCCCCAGGCAGCAATGGACGCAATACTCCAATAAATACGCGTGGGAAAATGCTTTAGGGAAAGGAAGGTATGAAAACACCGCCCAACAAAACCAAAAACTATTAAACTGTGCACGCAGCCGCCAATTTTGAAAACCGATCGCTTCCGCATGCCCACGGTTTCATCCGTATGATGCCAATACCGGCATGAAACCATGGCTGAGAAAAAGGGCTTCCAGGTTTCAATTTGCAAACGTCGACGAAATCGTGACCTGGGTGTCCTGAGTAAGGAGTTGGCCCCCATCTTACGCCCAGCCGTTTTCCACGTTTTGATTTCGCTGTCGGCAACTCACTTTTCAACAGCTGCCATGAGCGTTTCCTGCATACAACTATCGGCGCCTCCATGGGTCCACTCCCGCATACATCGATGGCCACCAACTTGTCTTGGACGGTCTTCACACCGCCCCACTCCCATAGCCATCCCTTCATCAGCCCCCGACCCCGCTTGTGACCACCCTCACTGTTGATTTCGCACATTTGTGTACATAAACAAGCTTAAACGCAGGCTGACAAGGACCCACATATGTTTTAGCTGGACCCACCGTGCAACAATGTGGTGGGTGCCCTTAGGTGGCTGCAACTCGGAAATTGAGTCACGACATTGTTGAATCAATGAACATTGATAAAATTCTTGGAACTATGTTTTCGCACATCGAAAACTCCACTGTATTTTGCGTTTGTCACGTTCAGTTGCACCGTTCGTTTCATCTAACGATTTTCGACCGTACCCCTATACAACTTTTTAATTTGACAAATTGTAAGTGAACTCGTGCCAGGCCAGAGTGAAAATCTATATCCATCGCCTCTAGCACGTGCTCATTCTATGCGTGTAACATGTGCGAATACGAATCGAAAACAGCAATTGCACTCGCAACCGCTCGAAACAATATCAAAAAAATCGCATGCGGACCGCATTCCTTTATTCAACGTGCATCCCGCATCCCGACCATTTGTGCATGTGATTCCGGCCAATGGTTTCCTGAAAGGGGGTTCCCGTGCAAGCAAATCATCAAACATTTGGAACCCAAAGGGGCCGATAGAATGAAGGCACCTATGCCTTCGAACAGATGGATATCCTTTTTGGCTTCTGAGTTTGTAGAATTTCGGGGTCATCTGTCCCAAAATGCGTCCCAAAAGGATGCGGTGCTAGGTTGGTTCCAGACTATTTTCGCGAGTTCAAAAGGCTGGGATACTTGAGGAGAAAAAAACGCCTAAGTTCAGGGAATTATAAAATGGGGTGGTTTGAAGATCAGGGGTAGCGTATGAAACTGGACACCAAGGTGTCACCTGCTATAAAATTTTCGGGGGTCCACTCTCCGCTGCGCAGATCTTTTGCTCCAAAGCGGCCTTTAGGATATTTGTTGTCTTCGTTGCGCGCACAATGAATCCGCGGCGTGAACGCAAATGGCTGACCGTGCTCCACCGTTTTTTCCGTCGATGTCCTATCCACACCATGGAGCAGTACAAAAACTACTGAACGGCCCGGAAAATCGGCGCAGCGTTTCCATCAATTTTCATGTTCATTGTGATGTTCGTCTTGTTGAAAACTTGGCGTTTGCCACATGTTTATTTATATCATGATGGCATCTTCGGGCATTTCGTTTCCATTGGGATTTATGAAAAATACTGAAAATTATTGTTTTATCGCAGTGGGAATTCAAAAATGCATGTTGAACACCCATGTTGATGCGTTTCGCGACATCGCCAGCGATTCCATTCCATCAGTTCAACTTGCGGACCGTCTTGCAGTGTTGTCACACACATCAGCATTTCGATGTATGCCAAGCCTTGGCATAAGCATGTCGATGTATGCCAAACTTTGGCATATGTCATGAGTCATGATCATTGGAGTGTGGCTAGGAAAACTACTTGGCAGCATGTCTTTACAGGCCTTCCACCCATTATCTATTACATCAATATGGGCCAGCACCTTGGGCACCATAGTAGAACAGAAGTGTGCAACGTAACATGATGTTTGGTCACCGAAGTGCAACAGAAGTGCGCAACATAACATGAAAATTGGTCAGCGAAGTACAACAGAAGTGTGCAACGTAACATGAAGTGTGTTCAGCGAAGTACAACAAAAGTGTGCAACGTAACATGAAATTTGGTCACTGAAGAAAAATAATGACAACGTAGACTCAGGACCTTATAACACCCCTTGCCACCCTATCACCCCACTCCACCCCCAACAGCTAACGTAACATGAGGTTTGGTCACCGAAGTAATTACAACAGAAGGTTGCAACGTAACATGACGCGTGTTCACCGAAGTTCAACAAAAATGTGCAACGTAACATGACGTGTGTTCACCGATGTACAACAAAAGTATGCATGTACAACAGAAGTATGCACCGTAACATGACGTTTGGTCACCGAAGAGAATCGATGATAACCTGGATTCAGGACGTTATTACACCCCCCCACCCCACTCACCCCACACCGCCCCCAACAGCTAACGTAACATGAAGTTTGGTCACCGAAGTAGAAAAAAAGTGTGCAATGAACATGACGGTTGTCACCGACGTACAACAGAAGTGTGCAACGTAACATGAAGAGGGTGTTCACCGAACCACAACAGAAAAGTGCAACGTAACATGAAGTGTGCTCCCCGAAGTACAACACAAGTGTGCAACGTAACACGAGGTGTGTTCACCGAAAAAAATCGATGATAACTTAGACGCAAGAATCACAGGATGTTATTACACCCTAACCACCCCACCCCACGCAACATATCAACGCAAAAAAAAACCGCAAAAACGCTGGGCCGGTGTTCGGGCCGTAAGCAAAAAATAGGCCAGCAACGTCGCACTGTTTTTTAAACAGCAATTTGACGCATCAGGCCCACGGCTAACAACAGGAAGGAATCGTGGTTCAAAGTTGAGGTTTCGTCCACCTGAGGAATTCTTTTTATCCGTGACGGGGTCTTGCAACCACGGATGGGGAATTGGTCGCTATTGGCGTCGTCATTTCGGGGTCAAAGAGGTTGCCTACATCCCCGATTGCAATGAAACTCCGACAAAACATGATCCAACTTAGCTAATTTCAAGAGCAATGAAAACCCTGTTTTCTATTGGGTTCATGACGTATGGTGGGTGTGTGTGTGTGTGTGTTTTTAGGTAAACATCGCGAAACAGGTAGAATTTGTACTTAGCGCTACGAATTTTCAACGATTACCGTAACAATTTTACAGCAGGGGGACTAGAACCCATTTGCCTATCAACCCTAGCGAGGCTTTGGTATTTCGGTGGATGGGTGATTTCATCCATCACTTGCACTTGCGTTGTTTTTCCGTCATTGTGGCCCGCGGGTAAACCCAGAACCGCCATGTCGATTTTGGATGTAAGGTTGTCGCAATTTGGATTGTTTGCTTTTCCACATCATTGGCTATTTCATGTACGTTTGCCGCAATCTGACTACTTAGATCTACTCTCGTTATTTTTTTGGTTGTTAAGTTATACCAGTTTTTTGTTGCGATGTATTGTTAAAACAAAAGAGTTCTTTCCGACATAGGTGAGGACTGCATCTTATTCTTCAATGAATTCCAGTGGGCCACGTAGGCTCGGTAATCATGCCGTTTTGTTCGCATGAAGGGATTCAACTCCCCACTGATCACTTCAGTGATCATTTTCCGTGTGATTGTGTCGCTTGTTGAACCCGAAAAACAAATAAAAACATAATTTTTTGGTATGTATGTCCTATTTTGATCCAATCCTTCATGCCTGGTTGGAACCTCAAATCTTTCAATCCCGTTGCCCGATCATATTGACTTTCCCAGCTGAAACGCGCAGTTGCGTTGCTACTGTTTCCTTCGCCATTCATTTTGGCCTCTTCGTGGCTATTCTCGATTCGTGTCAAAAGAGTACTGCAAATCATTGGGCCTATTGGGACATGATGGGATATGCCGCAAATGCTACAGTCCAACGTGGCAGTGCCCCTGACAAAGCCCGCAGCAACCCAAAATTATTCTATTTGAAGCATCAAACAGAAGAGACCCTGCGGGCTCCATTTGTCGCAGCTGCTTCTGAGTTTTGTTCATTTTGTTCAAGCATGCGGCGACAATGGCTGTATCCCCGTAGGAACCAAAATAGCCGAAACATCCGACCCTTCTTCGAGTGCCAGCTTGTGCTTTACATAATGAATTTTTGAAAGAGAAGGGACGGACATGCACAGAAACATGTTTTTTAAATTTCCGGCCACTACCTTATTGCCGAGCATCAACGTGAACAACAAAATTGTGGACATTTGAAGGCAGTGAAATGATTTGTTTTCGCTTTCGTTCACCCATCTGAGCCACCTAAAGCTTGAAAGGTCACGGAGGGCAACATCATGGGCCAACGCAAATTTGTACAAAATGTTGCCGATAAAAATTTTGGAATCTTAAAGTGCATCTCACCGTTTTGGTGGGCGGCCTTGTTTTGGGCCTTCAATTAATGGGACAGTTGACAAACCACTTGGTTACATAGCGGTTTCCATTCACTCGCTGCTGCAGGTCATTTATTTGATATTAGCAATGCATTATTTTGATCTATTTTGATCAAAATACGATGCCCACCACGTCCCCCAAATGCATACGTTGATTGAAAGGGAATGGCGCGGCAAGCGTGGTTTCAACGCGCCACATCTGATATGGTCAGTGAAATATTTTGTTTTGCCTGGTGTTTCATGTCATGCAGGTATGGGTTGAGAATGGCAAGTGCGTATCGTGTGCCGGCACAAACGCCACACCAGAATGATGTCTGAGCGCAGCTTTGTTTGTTCAAAACCGTCACAAAGGGCAGGTCGCATTGGGCATATGGTCTGATATCTCATGATATGGATTCAGTTTTTGTCATTGAAAATGCTGTTTTATTTGCAGATGTTAATGTTTGTCCAAGAAAGGCCGAGCTCGAAATATGCGTGTTCATCTAGCAACCTACGGAAATTGATTGACGAAAGTATGAATTTGTCACTTGAAAAGGATTGGCACGTGCGTAGGCAAACAAAAGGTGCAATCGTGATGGTTCATGCCGCAAAGGCCATGGAACATAACATGACAGTGAAAAGGCAATTCGCACAACTCAACATGTAGATCTACGAAAGGATGGCGGCACAAACCGAAGAAACGAAACTGGTGCAGTTGCGTGGTGTCGCAACATGTCTGACATGGATTGAGGATCTATTGTTGACATCTTGAATGCACAAAAAGAGGAAACAAATAAAAAATAAATTATATAGTTCGACCACTAAACTCCAATATTAGTGTAAACTTACATGTGGATCAGATATGGGCGTGTCAACTTTGTGCCAACTATTTTATGAACTAAAAACAACCTCAGTACATATCCCAACTCAAATCCAAATGTATTACTGTTATATATATATATATATAATATGGAAACGACAACCTAAAGAAATAACATTCTTGCGTTCGGAGATGGGAAGGCGTTTCTATTTCAAGAATCACCTCCGGAGAAACAAAACAGGCAGGGCATTGTCATTTTCACAATCTAACATGTGCAATTTGTGCTGAGGAATTCTTGGTGGATGGTTTTTTGTTTAAACGTGCTGCTCTCAAGATTTTGCTGCTTGTACGTTGTCGGTCATTTATTCCATTGATTCTCCCGTATTTTGGATTGGGTGCCATCTGCACTGTCCAGCCTTCTGACGCCAAGGTCAAAATGTGAAGCATTATGTGCTCACCCATTTCCACAGTGATCACACAGTGGGACTCACGCGGGCTTTCAATGGTGGGACGATCTATTGCACTGCATTTCGCTTGCAACATTTTGGAGTGCAAAATTTGTATTGTGCCGATGCTCTTGAAAGTTTTAGAACACTGGTTTCCGTTTTTTCCAAATTTTGTGCTTCTCAAAACCTGTTCCTCAGGATGTGACAGCTGCCCTGATCACCAGCATGATTGGCGTGGATCCTTCCCATGTTATTGCAAAGCCTTTGGAGGAGACAATCGAGGCAACTTGCCACAAATTCTTGTGTTAAAATTTGTTCATTGTTGGGTTTTGAGTAGTTCATTGTCAAAATTTGTTGTGGCGATCTCATGCCATTTCCCTTTTTGAATCGATACTTTGGTTATGATACTTTGGCGACCCGAACCATGACCGTTTCATTCGCTAGGTGGAAGGAGTCTCACTGACTTTTCTAGACGCAGGGCATTGCCCAGGCAGCGCGATGGTTGCTTTCGAAGTGAATGGCTCAGCATGGGCTCAAGAATCTGCAAAACTCGCACTTTGATATCGAAATACGCAAACAATTCGCACATTTGCACTCAGTCATGCTGCTTCAGCAAGGCCAATGGCACCGAGGGAGTCGTGCTTCACACAGGCTTGTGATGATTCGCGCTGAATCAAGCGGTTGTGTAATACAGCCAACAATTTGCATCATCCGAAGGTGCTTGAATTACGCTTGTGTTCGGCAGACATGCATCCCTTCATTTCAAGGTGATTGTCGAGCATCAGAAGGGACACGGCAATCTCTACTTCGGTGGCTGGGGAATCGAACTGTTTCAGTGCTCTGGCAGCGAACGCTGTCAGACTTGATTTGGCAGAAAAATCTGACATGAACACATGCATCAGAGTACCATGCAGTACACATGTCAAGGTTGAGTCACAACTAAATTTCTGATGGGATTCGAGTTGCAGTGTTGAAGCATTCACAAGAGTTCCAAGACTCGAATCGTTTCCCAAGGATTTGTTTTTGGACACCACCTACTGCTCGCCTCGCTGGAAATTTGTGCCACAGACTGTCGCTTGTGATTGGCTCAGCCAAATAACATCCAAAGAACTTCAACGTGAACCAAAGACTCTTTTCGTAGTGACTTGGCTGTGTGGGTTGCGCTTATCATGCGCCGCTGCTGATGCTGCTTTTTGGATCGTACTGGGTCGTTTGTGACAGGGTCGGTGTTCAAAATTGATTCTGATTATATGCTGGGAAAGGCCTGAAGTCGCAGGATACCATGCGGCCATGCACCTGTTTCTGTGCCCAGGCAGCCTCCATGTTTCTCTTGCAGCCAGTCTGCTTTCTAGAATTTCCAAAGTTGGCCATGCAGGCAGCAGACAGAGAATCCTACTTCGATACCTGATGGACATATTACATTACAAATAATCTACACACTCACTCTTTCAATCATATATCCATCATGATCCATCATGTATGTTTTTAAAGACCAATTGCAGAAAGTTCTTGTCATGTCACGCCTACATTTGTGGATTCAAGGTTCTCTTCGATTGTAAATTCTTGTGCGAACCAATTTGTGCGTCTCTTCTATTGAGGTGGGGTGCTACCAGATTGGAAAGGAGCTGCGCTTTCACCATGTATCGATCCGCATCATATTGCATACAGCTGGGGCAAGACCGTACTGTAAGCAAACTGATGCGGGCCACGCACACCTGTTGACGGAAGGTGAAAGCAAATCAGAAAAGCCTAGAGTGTCGGCCAATTATATACTGTATAGCTGAGCCAGATCAAACGCAATCATGTGCAGCCTGCCAATTTTTGTTTGTCCCTCACTGACCAGCAGAACTGGTTGGGACCAGTTGAAACCATTTGAAACAATTTGTAAACCAGCTGAAAACAAATCCTTGGAATATAAGTATGGTTAACCTCCCGTAGGGATGTAGCATTGTTTGTAAGGTGTGCTGAGTGTGAGTGTCACACGTCAACGCTGCATGTCCATTGAATTTCATTCATCTTGTTGATTTGGATCAAGGGACGGAATGTGCGCAGCAGTGTTTATCAGAGCATGAGTTGCAAACACCATGGAAACAAATATCTATATCTAATTTTCGAAGGAAGTTTAGAAGTCAAACTTCCGAAAAGATGGACAGATGAAAAGCAGAGATGGGAAGAGTCAGAGAAGAGAAGAGAAGAAAAAAGAAGATCAAAAAAGAGAAGTCTCAGAAGAAAAAAAATCCAGGTGCGCGAAAAGGTAGGAAAGTCGCGAAACACCGTGTTTTTCCAATGATTTGTGATTCCGGAGGGTCGACAAGTAGGCTCGCTAAAGCGGCGGGTGCGGAGCCATGTGGAGATGAAAAGTTGCACGCCGTTGTGGTGCACGCCGTTGTGGCGTGAAGCAAAGTGCACGCCATTGTGGTGCGAAGCACATTTGCGAGTAAAAAACCTAAAAACACATCACGTTCGGAGCACTTTTGGAAGTTGAGATGTCGAAAAAGTGCACACCGTTGTGGTGCGAAGCAGATTTCGAAGTCAAAATGTTCAAAGCCCCACATGTTCAGACCGCTTTTGGAATTTGAGATGTCGAAAAAGTGCACGCCGTTGTGGCGCGAAGCACATTTCGAAGTCAAAAGTGTAAAAAACTGAGGGGTTTGGAGCACTTTTGGATGTTCAGATGTCGTTTTGCGTGGCATGCGCAAGGGATTGTGCACCTTGTCAAAAGTGAGCAAGACGTGAGGGTTTTTGTAGCATGTCCAAAAACGATGGCAGGCTTGGGACATTTGAAGAGGATCTGCAAAGATGCATTTTCCGTGGCAGGCGCAGTACAAGAGACATGTTCATCAGAGATGTTAGGAGGTCATGGCGCTGATTTCCTGAGATGGGTTGCATTTTAGAGCATCAGATCTTCAGGTTTGCTGCGATGATTTTGCGTGACGGGTACAGCACTTCGTATGAGGCGCAGCACTTTAGACAGATGGAGTGGAAAAATCGCAAAACGGATTGGTACGAGGCCGTCAGCTCTGCACTCAACTTTTCATTTTTGAAGGAAGTCTCGCAGAATTGTTTCGTTTTTGATGTTGTCAACTTCGAAAAATTGAGGAGGTCTCGCAGAAGTGTCTCGTTTTTGATGTTTCAAGTTCAAAAATTGAGGAAGTCTCGCAGAATTGCTGCGTTTTCCAGCTTGCAGTTAGACAGACAGACAGGCAGACAGACAGGCAGACAGACAGGCAGACAGACAGGCAGACAAACAGATGCATAGATAGATAGATAGATAGACAGACAGGCAGACAGACAGGCAGACAAACAGATGCATAGATAGATAGATAGATCGATAGATAGATAAATAGATAGACAGACAGACAGATAGATAGATAGATAGATAGATAGATAGACGATGACAACAGCAACTACAACTACCACAGCGCTACGCTACACTACTGCTACAACTACAAATGCAAATATACGCTACATTACACTACACTAATTACACTACACTACGCTAATTACATCTCATTGCGGTACGCTACACCACTTGCACAAACTACTGCAACAACTACTATTACCACAACTACAACTACAATTACATCTACACTACACTACACTAATTACACTGCAGCACGCTACAGCTACAACTACAACTACAACGACACTATATTACACAACACTACGCTACACTGATTACATTGCATTACACTACAACTACAACTGCAGCTGCAACCGCAACTACCACTACACTACACTACGCTACACGACACGACACGACACTACATTACAGTAATTACGCTGCGCTACATTACAACTACAACTACAGGACCTTACGCTAGACTACACTACACTATACCACACTACACTACACAACACTACACGACATTACATTGCACCACACTACACTAATTACACCACACCACGACTACAACTGCAACTGCTCTTGCAACTACACAAATTACCATCAGTGGATTCGCCCTGCCATCCGTGATTCACAAGAACCAACCAACCTCTCCTATAGGTTTCCTATTTTTGAAACTTCCGCCACCGCCTTGTGCGGTACTACTGGTATATAACACATTAACTGCACACACACACACACGCACATATATATATAGTTTATATATAGTTTTTATTTTCCTTTATACCTACATTTAGATAGATAGACAGACAGATAGGCAGACAGATGGTACATAGATAGATAGATTGACTGAGAGACAGACAGATAGGCAGATAAATAGATAGACAGACAGATAGATAGATGGATGAAAAGATAGATAGATGGATGAATAGATAAATAGATGGATAGACAGGCAGATAGAGGGATAGATGGATAGATGGAGAGATGGATAGACAGACAGATAGAAAGACGGACAGATAGGTGGATAGAGTAGGTAGGTAGGTAGATAGACAGATAGATAGAATCTTAGATAGATAGAGGCAGAAAGACAGAAAGACAGATAGAGAACAAAGTCAATTTCTTTTGTGCCAGGAGAGGGCTGCCAAGGCTGTGGCCGAGGCTGCCTGCTCTTCTGTTTATGTGGAGCCGCGACGCTGGAAAGTCATCCAGCTTGCAGGCTTGGCGTGGCATATCCGGCATTCAACGCGCACAGTTTTCCCCAAACCTTGCAACAGAGTTTGCTCCAGGCTGAATCCTGCAGTAGCAACAGTGAGCCGGTAAAAGTTGCCTAGGAATGTTAGCGGAGTCGCTATAAACAGTATCAACAGTCAATGGACTAGACGTACGCTTTCTCCAAAGGGATTTGCAGCAGCAAAAGCAGCAAAGGCACAAAGTGAGCAAAGTTGAGTTGACACACTACGTGATGACCTTCTCTTTGAGGTTGGGGTGATGAGAAGCTGTCCGACTGCCGCCAACTCTGGAGTATCGACAAGGAAGGCTGTTGTGTTTGGATGTGTGTAGCTCGGCGCGAGATTTGTTCCCTCTTATGCTGCCATGTGACATGAACTCTGAAGATGACAAGGCCCTGTGTGGCCTTTTGGCCGTGTGCCATCCACAAAAGGTTGTGATTCCTGCTGCAGCATCAAAGCGATTACGCAGACGAACCACGTAAGCAGGGGTTTTTGTAGAGGACATTTGCCGTGAAAGTCAAAGTGATTCCCGAAAGACATGTAGGAAATTAGGCATGGTTGTTTATGCTCTCATATCTATCTATCTATCTATCTACCTATCTATCTATCTATCGATCGATCGATCTATCGATCTATCGATCTATCGATCTATCGATCGATCGATCTATCGATCTATCTATCTATCTATCGATCTATCGATCTATCGATCTATCGATCTATAAATCTATCGATCTATCGATCTATCGATCTATCGATCTATCGATCTATCGATCTATCGATCTATCGATCTATCGATCTATCGATCTATCGATCTATCGATCTATCGATCTGTCGATCTGTCGATCTACCGATCTATCGTTCTATCGATCAATCGATCGATCAATCGATCGATCGATCGATCGATCGCGCATATTTCTTTCTATGTATATATATATATGTTATCTTGAAGTCGGACATTCCCACCTGGACCCGTTCGACACTCCGAAATTACCTTGCAAATCTCATGAGGCTTTGGGTGGCCTCGCGCATGATGTTCTGAAGCACTTCCTGGACTCAACAAAGGGGCAATTTGAGGCGGCAATGCTGTGAGAATATGCCATAGCAAATATAACAACTTATAGAGTCACTGTAAGGCGTTCCTCTTTTCTTTGGTGCCTCCGGTATTATCTTACAACATCTTACAACCTCCTGCTTGGTGCGTTGCTGGGACTGTTTGGTCTCATACTCACTGGTCAGCTCTTCGTGAGGCAGTGGTTGCTTTCAGTCCTACTGGATGGTCTTGGTCTCCAAAAGCTATGTCACAAGGGATGCTCAGTTTGGTTCAGATGGGCTTCCAGCGAGTTTGTTGCGTTTTTCTCACGTGCATTGGGCGGGACCGTTTTGAAGTAGAGCACGTGACTTGCAGGACCTTTTCCACTCCTCAAACGATCCAACCGTGGCAGTCAGGAGTGCAGGGTGCAAATGCTGGGTGGAAAATGATGGCCGGACTAGAGTCTACAACGTGCCATACAGCAACTTGACTTCAATGCAGCAGAGGACAGACTCTCCGGAAAAGCTGTGTCAGTTTTCTTTTAACTTAAAACCGTGCCCACAGCTTGAGTGCCAATAGGTTACAATATATTCAGGAGATTCAACGATAAATATTCATCATGATGCATGATCGGGAGGGACCTGCTTGGAATATTTGAAGTTGGTGTTTTCTTAATGCATCAATCCTTTGGAGCAAGAATCTGGGTTAACCTTGGATGGGTCCTTAAACCCTTTAGTCTTTTGGTATCAGTGGGATTATGAGATTATCTACTAACCAGCTGAGTATTTAATTGCTTGCAGGGAGATTGGCAAAGGAATATGCGCCATTGTTCCAAAAGGAAAAACTGCGGCCCTTGCATTGAACATCCTTGCTGTTTGTGTGGTCCACACCAGCCTTTCTGCCACAGTTTAAAGTGCTTTGTGTCTTACGCCAAGTCGCAACCGAAGAACAAGATGCTTTGGGCTATCCCATCAGCACATCCTCTGCCTCCAAAGCTGCCTCCCCCGGGTACCAGGGAACCCCACTTAAATTGCTTGCAGACAGCAGATATATGAGGTTCGGCACCCGTGAGGGGATGCATTTGCATTTGACCCATGAAATCGTTGTACAAACCACTCCAACTGGAGTTGCCTTTGGCCTCTTTCCGTCAGCGTGTCTGCAGAGCGAAGGCGAGCACAGTTCCTTCGACGAATTGCAAGCTCTTGTGCGGGATATCCGCCCACGGCGCTTGATCCCCACAGTGAACTCAGAGCCTTGGGGGAAAGGGGTTCAATTCGTGAGTCGTACTGTACTTTGTGATGCATGAAAAGTCGAGTCTCGCTGGAACAAGCTAGAAAGAGCTAGCTAGGTCCAAGTTGCAAGCACACATTTTCAACGGTCCTGGGGCCACAGGAAACGCGAGAGAGTAAAGAGCGCATGATGGCGCCTTTCCTGGATGTGTTGGATCTGAAGGGCGACCCAGATCCTTGACTGCAGCCATACGATAACAGATAGTGTGTATTTCTACAATGATCATTTTGAGGGAGCTACTTCACCGTGGATGTAAACACACGTCTAGCTACATTAAGTGTATACAATTGTTTCACCAGTAGTGCCGCACAAGGCGGTGGCGGAAGTTTCAAAGATAGGATACTGTAGGAGAGGTGAGTTGTTGTGATGCATGGATGGCAGAGCGAATCCACTGATGGAAAAGGTGGTTGGAGTTGTGTTTTTTCGAGTGGTTGCAGTGGTTGCAGTGGTTGCAGTGGTCACCTCATCCACAACTGCTGGATGTAGTGTGCTGTAGCGCAGTTGTAGTAGTAGTTGTTGTAATGTATTGTACTGGAGTTGTAGTTGTAGTGTAATGTAATTAGCGTAGCGCAGTTGCAGTTGCAGTTGTGGTTATGGTGTGGTGTAACTAGTGTGGTGGAATGTAGTGCAGTGTGCTGTAGTGTTGTGTGCTCTAGTGTAGTATAGTGTGGTGTTGTCTAGTGTAGTGTGGTGTAGTGTTTAAGGTAGTGTAGTTGTAGATGTTGTTGTAGTTGTAGTTGGAGTGTAGCCTGTAGCGTAGTGTAATGAAATTAGTGTAGTGTAGTGCAATTGTAATTGTAATTGTAGTTGTAGTTGTAGTGTAATTAGTGTAGCGTAGTGTAGTGACATGTAGTGGTAGTTGTAGTTGTGGTCCTGCTTGTAGTTGTAGTTGTAGCGCAGTGCAGTGTAGTTAGTGTAGTGCAGTGTAATGTAGTGTAGTTGTACTTGTAGGCGTAGCTGTAGTTGTAGTAGTAGCAGTAGTAGTAGTAGTAGTTGTTGTTGTAGTAATGGTAGTGTAATAAGCGTAGTGTGATGTAACTAGTGCAGTGTAGTGTAATTAGTGAAGTGTAGTGCAATTAGAGTAGTGTAGTGTACCTGGTGTAGCGTAATGTAGTGTAGAATATTTACATTTGAATTTGTATGTGTATTTGTGCTTGTAGTTGTAGTTGCGGTGTAGTGTAAAATGATTAGTGTAATGCAATCAGTGTAGTGTAGTGTAGTGTAATGTAGTGGTAGTGGCAGTGGTAGTTGTAGTTGTAGTGTAATAGTAGTGGTAGTTGTAGATGTAGTTGTTGTTGCGTGGTGAACGTCCAAAAGCGCACCGAACGTGATGTGTTTTGAACATTTTGACTTCGAAATGTGCTTCGCACCACAACAGCGTGCAGTTTGTCGACATCTTGATTTGAAACAGTGTTCTGAGACCGCCAGTTTTAACACTTTTGACTTGCGAGCGTGCTACGCGCCACAACGGCAAAAGTGCTCCTGAGGTGTCTTTGCCTTTTTTCCCCACATCTTTGTGTGGGTGGGGTTCTTGTTTTTGGTTGTGCCCTCCCGTCCGCTCCTTCCGCCGTCCGGCCGTGTCCTGCCAACTCTCTGACACACAACTCTTTCACACACAACTTACTCACACAGAATTCTCTCACACACAACTCTCTCACACACAACTCCCTCACACACAACTTACTCACACACAACTCTCTCACACACAACCCTGTCACACGCAACTCTCTCGCACACAACTCTCCCACACACAGCTTACTCACACACAACTCACCCAAACACAACACTCCCACACGCAACTCTCTCACACACAACTCTCACACACACAACTTAGTCACACTTAACTCTCCCACACACACACACAACATTCTCACATAGAACTCTCCCACACACAACACTCTCACACACAACTCTCCGACACACAACTCTCACACACACAACTCTCACACACACAACTCTCCTACACACAACTCTCTCACACACAACTCTCTTACACACAGCTCTCTCACACACAACTTACTCACATACAACTCTCCCAAGCACAACACTCACACACACAACTCTCCCAAACACAACTCTCCCACACACAACTCTCCCACACAAATCACCCACACACACAACTTACTCACACACAACTCTCTCACACACAGCTTACTCACACACAACTCTCTCACACACAACTTACTCACACACAAATCGCCCACACACAACTTCCTCACACACACACACAACTCTCTCACACACAGCTTACTCACGCACAACCTACTCACACACAACACTTTCACACACACACACAACTTATTCACACACAACTCCCTGACACAGCTTACTCACACACACACACAACTGAGATCAACTTAGCACTTATGGCGCTGGGCTGGCTCTTGTGACGCGCTTGGTCCGCGCTGGTCGCCGGTCGCGGTCTTTTGCGTGGCAAGCGTGGCACTTGGTGACATCCAGTGTCATGTGGCGTGGCAGGCGTGGCACTTGGTGACATCAGCTTTCCTTTTGTGTGGCAGGCGTGGCACTTGTGGCGCTGGGCTGGCTCTTGTGACGCGCTTGGTCCCCGCTGGTCGCCGGTGACGCCGCGGTCTTTTGCGTGGCAGGCGTGGCACTTGGTGACATCCAGTGTCATTTGGCGTGGCAGGTGTGGCACTTGGTAACATCAGCCTTCCTTTTGCGTGGCAGGCGTAGCACTTATGGCACTGGGCTGGCTCTTGTGACGCGCTTGGTCCGTGCTGGTCGCCGGTGACGCCGCGGTCTTTTGCGTGGCAGGCGTGGCACTTGGTGACATCCAGTGTCATTTGGCGTGGCAGGCCTGGCGCTTATGGCACAGTGCTGGCTCTTGTGACGCGCTTGGTCCGATCAACGCGTCTACCCGGCTACCCATTCCCACCCAAGGCCTCTGATTGCATTGCTGCGTTTGACTGTCGCCCTGCCTGACTTTCATTTCTGTGATTGAATCTGGCTCTTGGGTTTTGAAACCTACAGGTTGGCTTGCTCCAGTATTGCTTCAAATAGGTCCAGGCTGATCTTGAAACAAGCAAATGTTGATTGGCAGGTACTTGTGCCGATGCTGTCACAGCACCGGGTGGTCATCATACGCGGGGGTTCTACTGTTGCATGTCATCGTTTTGTCTTTCCAGTGCAGCTGTGACATTGTTATGTTTCTTGTGTTTAGATGCCACGATGTCTTGTCTTGCAAAACCTGAGGGAGTTGATGTGCATGTCCATTTTTCATGCCGTTTTTGGCTCATGGGCGGCACATGTCCATGCTGCATTTTTGCCTTCAAAGGGTACAGCAGCAGATTTCTAGGAACCGACGCTTTAAGCACTGATTCGGAAGCTTTGACACGCTGTGTGAAGAAGTAGCTGGATTGCACACCAGTTTTGTGTGTGTCTGATGTCACCTGTTGCCGATTGCGCATGTCTTTGCTGTTTCTCCTGTGCCAAGCAGACCGACGTATTATCGTCTGTCACCTTGTTGGCCTGGGGTGCGGGATGACGCGGCCTTGTGTGCTTGGGGCCAACGCTCGTATGATAGCGAGTATGAGCGAGTACGACAACAAGGGCAATGGGCTAGTGTGCCTTGTTGGGCACACGCCGATTGTTGGCAGGCATGAAGCAATGTGCAATATGCCAAGGCAACGTCCAGCGCCAGGCTTTCTATCCACACAGCCTGCTGCAGCCGCATGTACCTCACATCGCACTCACGTCCGTCAGCGCAAATATCACGCGTGCTTTTTTGTGTGTCTGATGACGCTTGTTGCGCCAATTCTGGTCCGTATCATGTTTTGCTGCGTGCTTCTGTACCAAGCAGACCGACGTATTGTTGTCTGTCACCTCGTTGGCCCGGGGTCCAGGATGACGCGGCGTTGTGTGCTTGCGGCCATGCTCGGTTTTCGGCCGAGTATGACAGCAAGGGCAATGGGCTAACGCGCCTTGTTTGGCACACATCGAGGCACTAGCCGGTCAGTTCGAATCGTTGTGATTGCCGAACGTTTCGCCCTTTTCTCAGCTGCGTCGCTTGGGAGGCCTTCGGCAAGTTTCCACGTGATGCACCGCTGTCGCACGCAATTCTTTCAAACACAGATCTTTCACACAGAACTTTCTCACACACAATTCTTTCACACAGAATTTCTCAAACACAGCAGAAGTGGTCCATCAGAACAAGATCATACCTTGAGAGAGAGAGAGAGAGACAGAGAGACAGAGAAAGTTGAGTGAAGTGACTTTTGCTGACTTTTCGTGGAAGTTGAGTGAATCCCTCTGAAACAGTTAAAATACAATCAGGTTCCGATAATTCTGGCGTAGCATGTCGTTCATTCACTGCGCCATGTGACATAATCAACTTCAGCTTCAAAGGATACATGTTGTTGTCACCGACCTGCAATGGCAGCTATAACAGATCATCGTCAGTGGCCTGTCACGCAAGACTACCTCAGACCTGTTTAGGGCCTGAGCAGGGATGAGAGATGTTCTTGAACGGCATGTCTGTTGAACATGTTTTGACCGACTTGAACGATCCAAGAACAAAGTCGCCGGGCGAAGAAGTGGCCGACGTGATTTGTCTGCTGAAGCTGCCATTGATACTGATTGCCGCGCCGGAAACGCTTATTGAGCCAGCTGCCGTACAATGACAAATCGGATTAACGCGCCGTGCGAAGATTCGATTTGCTAATAGTAAGCTTAAACTTACAGTCAAATCAACATCCTGGCAGCTGACACAATGGCTGCACGGCATCACCTCAGACAGACTTCTGTCTGAGATGATGCCGTGCAACTGCTGGTGTCAGAGACAGCAATTCCGAGCGGACCAAAAAAGGGCGTACTCGATTCATTGGAGCTGTGTCACCGAAACGCGATATGCAAAAGTTTTCCGACACGAAACGAAGACCGCTTGTGTGGCAAGTTTGCTCACATTGCGTGGCCCGCACTTTTTCAGTCAAGCTATTGTACGCAACAAAACCAAGATGCAGGCTGCATGTGTCAGCACCAATTGAGTAAGAAACTTTGGCCCGCCGTGGGAAGAAGCTGTGGTTTCAAGCAAAATGGAGCCTTCTGATCGCGAAATGGCCGAGTGGCGTGCTACTATCACACACAAGTTAGCTTCACAGCAGTGCCCAACGACCAGACAATGAACTGCCGGAGGTCGACCACAGGTGAACAGCTTCCCCTATCACTTTGGCAATATTTCCGCATGGCCTGACGACATGGCGCATTTGCACTGTGGACACACCAGTATAGGGTCCAGTACAGTCAAAAACTTGTACTTGGGCAGCTTGGCCGCTGTGCGCTGCTTGGACGAAACCAAGGGGCAACCACAACAGGGATGGGAGATGTTCTTGAGCGGCATGTCTGTTGAACATGTTTTTATCGACGTGGGCGATCCAAGAACAAAGTCGCCGGGCCAAGATGTGAAGAAACGGCTTCTTAATCCACAGTCTCCACGTGCATTGAGGTCACAAAACGTTTGCAGGACGGACCAAAGGACGAGTCAACTGGATTGCTGTTTCATTGCTTCGGTGGGATCAATCGCAGCAGCGCCGCGTTGGTAGCGTGGCTGATCTTTCGACATGATTTGTCTGCTGAAGTTGCCATTGATGCGATTTTGTCAGTGCGGACGAGTCTGCGGCCCTGGGAGACGGCCACTTTTTTTGTGTGCGCTGAAAACATGGGAGAAGAAGCTGTGAGATGATCGACAAAGCCCTTCTTCCTCTGGCATTTTTAAGTTGTGACCACAGCGGGCAGCAGCAACTAGACAGATCGATGTCGACCTGCCGTGGGAAGAGATCGCGACGGTGAAGAGACGCTTGCACTCGCAAAAAATAAGCAGCTCTTATTGCATTGGTGTCTTAGATTGCGCAGGGCGGAAAACATTGCATGCAATCAGGTTCACCTATATAGCCGGGTAACGCCGTGTGAAGATGCGAGTGGGTCCGCAACATCTTGCCCTCCGTCATGTCGTTGCCGCCAGGTACTTCTCTGTTTTCATCGTGCTCCATCTCCTATGGCTCCATGGCCTGCGACATACACCTGCAACAGACCGTCCGTCTTCATGACGGTCCGAGCAGTCACAGACAGTGCCTTTGAAGCTAAAGCATGGATTTGCCAAGGTCATCATCTTCTGTGGTCTTGGCACAACTGTCTTTGGCAACACCGGCGCCATACACAACACGTACGCATACATAAAACACACACATACACGCACACACACATTCACACACACACATTCACACACACGCACACACACACACATACACCCGCACACATACACCCGCACACACACACACACGCACACACACGCACACACACACACACACCCGCGCACACACACACACGCACGCACACACACACATAAACGCACACACACACACAAACACGCAAGGCCATCACAGGCTTGCATTGCACCGCCCCTTCGCACTTTTTCCGTTCTCGTTGCTACCTTATCCATCCCTTAAAGCGCTTTGACCCACATCCCCTTCACGCAAGAATCTTTCACGCACAGCGTGACACAGCTCTTGCACACGTCCCCTTTCACTTTTTCGCTCTTTCCATCCCATGTTCACCTTTCTTTTGTTACTTATTGGAAGAAATTTTATGTGGGGTTATCCGGTCCTTTAATGACTTCCAAATCTGCTGCGCGCCACAACGGCGTGCACTTTTTCATTTCTTATCTGGCCAGATGGCTCCGCACCGCGGAGCCCCCGCCGCTTCAGCGAGCCTACTTTTCGACCCTCCGGAGCCACAAAACATTGTAAAAACACAGGTGTTTCGCGACTTTTCTACCTTTTCGCGCGCCTGCATCTTCTTTCTTCTGACTCTTTCTCTTCTCTGATCTTCTTTCTTCTTCTCTTCTCTTTTCTGACTCTTGCCGCCTTTGCTTTTTCATCTGTCCATATTGTCGGAGGTTTGATTTCTGAACTTCCTTCGGTAAGAAAGGCATTTACATCTTAAGTGAGCATGCTTGGTTTGGACATGGGCCAAGCATGACCAAGCTAGGTTCCACCAAATAAAGAGGCCATTCTGGCTTTCCATCCTGACATTGTAGTGGTAACACGCAGCCTGGTCTTGTCATCATATAGGCTCCATGTTTCCTTAGCTTCCCTACTGCCACGTCCTCCAGGGACTGCGAGAACTGATTACATGTATCTATCTCATTTTTGTGAAGGCATGAGGTTGTGGCTCTTTGCTGTGTGCTTCTCTGTTACATCCTACATTCTAATTGAAATTTAATTGAACGCCTATGGGTCGATTTTCTATACGAAGCTACTCAGCCACTCAGGGTGAGTGGTTGCGGCCTGAGTGGTTGAGTGGCTGATTCATTTTTTTTCGGAACCGAGTTCCAAATCCATTCTGATTTCCTGGAATTTCGGTGCGCATTTTAAATCAAGTGAAAGTTTGTTTTTGCACACGACATTCGATGCAAGAGCGCATGGTAAGAACTCTTGAGCAGGCCCTTCGAAACGTATCGTGTCTTTCTGACGTAGGGGGAACATGGAAGGGTGGTTTTTCTTTCCACTTGCCACTGCCGAGGAAAGGACGGTCAATTGAATGGCATCCGCGGGGAAAAACATATATATATATATATAAATATAAATCTCTCTCTTTAATACCCTTTAATGATGACCATGGTTCTTTTACATGTGTGGCCAACCAGGTACATACACATACGCATACACATGCACATGCACATATACACACCACACATACACACATACCCGCATAGATACATACATACATGCATGCATACACACATACATACATACATACATACATGCATGCATGCATGCATGCATACATACGGTGCGCATGTATATGCACACCAATGTGGACAAACAACAACACACACATATATACATAATATATATATATAGATATTTACATGTATATATTTAGATGTAAATATAGATTCAAAAACATGTACATGTGTATGTGTATATACATATACGTATGTGTGTGTATATGTATATATATACTGTATATATGTTTCATTTATTTTTTTCAAGTTCATTTATTTTTTGAACCATTCATTCATTCATTCATTCATTCATCCATCCACCCATCCATTCATGTATTTATATATTTAGTATGCATGTTCACGCATATTTGTATTTGTTCTAATACGTGAATCCATTCATATGGCACAGTGCGTATACACATATGAGTTTTGTTTTTGCATTTTCTGCATGTTACAAATGTTGTGTAGGTAACGCAACCATAAAAATATTTTTGGACATAAATGTAGTGATTGCTAACAGGCCAAAAGCAAAGTGCAACTGTAATCCTGGGCCTTGTCGTTAGCAAACTTCGATGTCGGCAAGGCCGCCTATATCATGCATATATCAAATATTTGCTTCACATCATCTTCATACGACTTGAGTTAAAACTGAATGCGTGGATATGGTTTCCGGCTTCTGGGTGGAAAGGAACGCATGGACCACTATCTTGGAAGTGGAAGTTCGTCCTCAAGGCATCGCGACATGGAGACAGCGCTTTGGCTCGAAGCAAGGAAACATAGTGAAACAACGACTTGCGGATTCTCAACTTGTTTGTGCTTTCTTGTTGCTACCCTGATTCACGAACAACTCGATTTCATAAATTGTTCGTTGATTCCTTTTTTGCGCGATGTTTCCTTCACCAGACTGGACTGTTTTGCCTTTTTTTGCTGCGGCTACAAAACATGAATGAATGGTGACGTTTCGTTTCCTCTCCCAAGGTGCCTGAAGCCTTCGTTGATGTCATTTCTTTGAGCAAGACTTACTGCGAAACTTTTGCATCAACAAGTGAGACAGCAGCTGCAGTCAGGACGACTGGGTATGCATGCAACTGCAGGAGTCAATGGTTCACGAGAAAAAACTGTTGGCGTGGGAAATTGAGAGAGTATGAGTAGTCCATACTGGTACTGTATGATGTGGTGTATGGTTCAGACATCAGGGGCATGAAGGGCAGGCCGGGCATTTGATTGAAATCAATACCATGTGCTTGATATGTATATCCCAAGGCCGGCAAATATGAGGTGCAATTTCTTCCCTTCAATTCTTATCCCAATTTCTCTGCAATGCTATATGTCACAGTCACTGGTAAGTCATTCTTTAAGACCCAGTTGGCACTGAGTGCCACATGCTCTGAGACCATATGGAATGATGTGGATTGGCTTCGATTGACAGGGCTGGATCAATGCTTCCCGGGTGGAATGGAAAGCTTGCAGCCAGGCTGGCAAGACATGAAACATGACGAAACCGACACTGTCAAAATCTGTGGGTTGGAGATAGAGAGAATGGAGTCGGTTTGAGCTCCTGGGGCTGTTCAGAATTCAGATGTGTTGGCATCGTGTTGGCTTAGCGAAGCTTAACCCAACAAAAGTTGAACTGTGACGCGCTCCTGGCAGGAAAGTTTCGTTGGATTTAGACTCTGAGGCAACGATTGTGGGAATCTTGGGGTGGCTTGTTTTGCCAGCAAAATGACAATTTCATTTCTCAGTCTTGACTCAGAACATGTGCTCAAACAGTGTCTCAGACTATCTAATGCGCCTATCCCTTGCCCCTTCAAAACCTGTCTCTTCAGCAGGGGAACCAAAGTATAATCCATTTCAAGTGGTGGTGTAGCAACTTGACGGAAAGAAAGGATGACCATCAGGTGTAAAGGTAACGTTCTCAAAACTTTTGAAAGTGTGGGTTCCATGCACATTGGTGTTTGTGTTGCCTTTTACTTTGCAAAGATTTTTGAGCCTCGGATGTTAGGAAGGGTTGCAGCGTGTGTGTCTGTGTGTATTCATCATGGGAAACGGAAGATCCTTCGACCTACTCGGACCTACTCAATCAAGATCACGAAAGTCGCAGGATTCGACCTCCGCGGGTGGATCCTCATCCAGCGGTGGAAGCTTTGTAGCTAGCATTTGCGTTGGAGATGCTGTGTCCCATCACTAGGAAGAAGATTGTCAAAATATTGTAGGCGGTGGTTTGTCTTGCCATTTCATAGGTAATCATTTCTAGCAAAAGTCTTCCTAGATGTTTTTGTTTTGGCTGGCTCATGCTGGTCTTCACAATCGCCAAGATACATGGAAGCTGCCACGGAGAAGCTGGTCTACAACAAATATCTACTACAGTAAGCCACTTCCATTTGAGCAGACCCAATGCTACACAGCGACTACCATCAACATGGCCAGCAGACAAAAGCCTCGAAGCTACCACAAGCCCAAACCTCCCCCTAGGAAGTGCACGGTTTGCAATATCAGTAACTGAGCCTGCTATTTCGGTAGGAAGAACTCATATAGGTGGCCCTTCTGGACATAAAGCCTACAAGAAGCTACAGGGGCAAGTAGGAGTGCTCAGGTTGGACTTGGGAGTGAGGTTACCAGAGAGAGAGAGAGGTCCGTACATAGCATAAGACCGTTGAGTGCGATTGTGCTGGGAACAATCCAAGGCACTCGCAAGTGGCGGACATGTCAAGAGTGGCTTGATCTGCAGCCATCAACTTTTGTTTATTTCTTTTGGCGCCGGCAATTGTGATTGGTATTCCGAGACTGGAACGGAGAAAGCTATACGCTGCATATTTGGAAAAGTGTTTCCAGATGTTTCTGATACACTTGACTGTAGAAGACCGGCATGTAGCATGTATATAGTAATTTTTACATTTATATGCCTTGCACTCTGCTCTCTTCGTGCCCGCTAGGCTCTGCAGTGGTGGACCTTGACCTCGATCAGGCCAGGGTTTGGAAGACAAAGTGTTGTTACATGATGTGAAAACGTTTGCATGCTGACTATTAGATACGTCACAGTCGCAAGGATGAAGAGAATGACTCCTTTGAAGAAACGGCTGGCATGCCGCATGGCATGCTAACTACGTTTTTGGAGGTTGGGTTTTTGCTGCCTCGTATGGTGTGAGGCTGTGACAGTTTGGGGTGCGAGTGCCCCCCGGATTGTGGTACGTTGGTTGTGCAGTGGACCCCTGCTCAGCAAAGGCAATTGAACAGACAAGTCTTGACTGACGACTCGTGCAGTTGCAGATGAGTTTTGGCCGAGACATATGGTTTGATTGAAGGATTAGAATTAGAAGGTGAGGAATGCTGGATGCTCGAGCACCAAGACAACTCTTGGCGGTGGAGATGATGGTGACCCAAGAGCGGTGGTGGCATCGGGAACCTAATTAGTAGGTTTGCACCTGCAAGGTGAAGTGCTTTGTATTCAGCCTATAAGTACGGCGATGATGGACATGGTGATCTTTCCTGCTGTGGTACCATGAGACGCTTTGGAAGACGGATGTACGGGAAGTGTTTCTAAATGAATTGCACACCTAAACCTCTCACGCTCTTGCTCGTTTTTTTTTTCCCTCTCTCCCTCTCTCTCTCTTTCCTTTTTCTTTCTTTTTTTTCTTCTCTCTCTCTCTCTCGTTTTTTTCTCTCTTTCCCTCCCTCTCTCTCTTTCTCTATCTATCTTGTCCTGTCCTATCCTATATCTATACCGTATGCCATAGACATAGTTCCCGAATTTTACAATTTGTGCCAACAAAACAGCACTTTAATTAAAAGCGAGTCTTTGAGAACAGGATGACTTGCGGAATGTGGATCTGGACCAGCAAAAAAGGCACAGATCTCAGTGCAGACAGGGCAGGGAATCAGACAGAAGAACTCTTCTAGAACACCTGGCTTGCCCATTATGTGAGGCTGCTGCGCTTTTTTGAATCTTCAACACCAAAGGCCCATGAGCAAAAGGACTGGCTTGGGTGCAGTGAAAATGGGGGAACCAGAACCTTCATTCCCATGCCATTCCCTTGTTTCGATGAGCACTGACTGTTCTTGGTCCGGACTTGGCTGCTTGGGTGTTATGCTTTGTCATGAGTGGCTGCAAACTTGAAAAGAGACAGTTATTTTGTAAAGCTCTGAGCCGGCGTTCTTTTCTCTCTTCTAGTTTTAATCGTTTAGGTTTGTGCAGAATGGTTGACTTTCCCAGTTTGGGTCGGCCATGACCTGAGCTGCAAGGCTCCGTCAAAGCCACGTACCATGTCCAAGAAGTCCAAAGCCAAAGGGAAGGGAAAGGGCAAGAGCAAAACTTCAGAAGCTCAGGCTGCAAGACCATGGCATTTTGCAGCGCTGCCCCAGTTCCTGTTCCCACTGCGCCGAAGTGGTCAGTGAGACTTTTCCAAGGGACATGCATGCTGTGCTGACTTGATGCCATCACGGAGGCACCTGTCTTGAAGCATTTGGGTGTAAGACCCAAAGAGGACAGGTCTGTCGAAAGATGCTCGCTGTTTGTTTCTTTGGTGATCCGCAGAAAAATGCAATTGCGCTGCAATTAGTGTTTGTTCTTCCAGTCTGAAACATTTTGTTCAGAACTCCTTCATCGGTTTAGTTTTCACCCAGGAGCCTGTGCCGAAGGCAAAAAGCAAACGCCGCGCCAAAGCTGCTGGCAGTGGTTCAAATAAGCGGACAAAAACAGAAGGCGCTAAGGCTGGGCAATCATTGGCCAATGCTACTTTGGTTGGTATCGTTGTAACCCCAAGCTTTGCTGCCTGGTCAGATCAGTCTTTTTTTTGGGGGAAGGCAGTTTGAATCATTTCCAGATATTTCCAGCTTTGTAGACTTCAGTCTCCATGACACCTTTTTACTTCTTAGTGCAGTTCGAGAGCATGAGGATCCCAAGCAGCCTGGAGAGAAGCGTCCAGCACGATTTATCCCGAAGCCGAGTGCTCGTGTGCAGGTCAGATTAGTCGCTGAGAGAGTGGAGTTGCAGAATCGGATGCGATTTGCACATCTGAAAAAGCCTATTTGGTGAGTTTGTGACAAATACCAAGCGCAGTGAACTTTCCAGGATTCCATGTTCTGCTTGGATTCCCAGCAATTGAGGGAAAAAACAAAACACGTGTACTATTCGTGTACTATTGGTGTACTATTGGTGTACGGTCACTTCTTTACTCCGGATTCTTTGTCACCTCCTGGAGATGTGAGGAGCGCATTGATCGGGCGTTCTCTCACCGGCTCTACTTTCTGTCGCGGCAAGCTGATGGAGATGGGGAGAAGTTGGACACTTGGCAGGGCCGTCGAGTGTAGGCAAGCGGCTTGAGCGCTGTTATTTGGATGCAGTCCGAGCCCAAGAGAAGTGCAATCAGCAATTGACTGGCTCTAGATTGGAACAGAACCTCTGCATGAAGAAAAGCGATAATTAGAAAAAGGAGACGAGAGTGGATCAGAAAGGAGACTCAGCAGAGGAAGTAGGTAAAGCAAAAACCAGAAGAGAAAGAGGAGCGCAGAAGGGCAAGAAAACAAGCTGAATGATTCGAGTGCATTCAGTAGATTGGATACACAGGTGCAGATGTGGAAAGTCTAAAATTGTGCTACTTGATGCACTGGGGTTGATTGTCACGAGACTGCAGTTCGGGCCTTCAGAGTTCACTACATGAGAAGGAACCACAAGGAACACACAGGATTCTCCCGAAGGGTTTTGTCGTGCAGGCACAGGTATTGGTTTGAAAGAATCTCTGTGTGTGTGTGTACTGTGCACAGGTCACGCACGCATAGTTTACAATGATATGATATAAAGATTAGAAATACATTGTGGTTGCTCTATCCGATGGTTTGTGGACAAAGACAGATGACATAAATTTTGTTGGTGTAGTGTAGGATTGGCCATAGGCTTGTGTGTGCGTATTATTGCGCTGCTGCGTCAAAGGCAGGTGTAGGTAACTCATAGGAATAGCGAAAAGGATGTCACAGTCGCATGCTCAAGTTTAGCTTGCTCTGAGGACGTGCTGGGCAGCACTGGAAATGTGTACCATGTAGAGTTGGGTCCTTCAGGGAATGCCTGCTCTTGCCCCTTGGCGCAAAGTTGAGAGCATCGCTGGTAGAAGCTGCTTGATGATGTTTTATGGTCATAATACAACGCCCTGAAATCGAGCGTTTCACATTCGTTTGCCATTCTGGCCGCACCCCGATTGTATTAAAGGCAACGGGCTGGAAGCGGGAAGGGAACTTGTGCGGGTCAGGGACGGCTTTTCAAAATTGAGGAGTATGGTAGCTAGGGATGAAGGGTGAAGAACTCAGGCCTACTTGGCCCAACCTAAGCCAGACTGGAGGCAAACCTTAAGTTGGGCCGATCACGAGCCGTCTTGGGCCCAACTTGGGCCTAACTTGGGCCAAACTTGGGCCCAACATGGCGAAACTTGCGCTTGGGCGAAAGTATGTCTAGCATGACGTAACTGTTGACGTAACTTGAGCCCGTGCAGGGGCAGCTGCAGTCCAAGTGGAACCAGCCGTAAACAGTGTGTTTTCATCATGCCGCTTTAAGTCTGTAATGTTGGCCCGGGTTGGGAGCCAAGTGGGCAGCCATGCAGATATGGGCCCGAAACAATGAATATGGATGCTGTCCCGGTATGAAAAATGTGGACATCACAAAGAGGACTCTTTTCGGCGCCGTGTCGATTTCAAAAATGAAGCCGCCCCAAGCTGAAGCTGCACCATGGAATCGTTGGCATTTCTCGATCGCTCGACCAGTAAACTAGGTTACGCCGTGGCGGGTGGCCTGTGGGCGGCGACGTCACTTTTGTCACTGCCACTTGCAAATCTTTCCCATTTCTGTATCTGTTGAGGTGTGATTTTTTCATTCACATTTTTGTTGCGCCTCCACATTCAGGTGAGGGTTGACCACGCTATGTCCTTTGGATTCTTTTAAAACAAATTCACTTGCTTTGGAAGCCACTTTTTCATGAGACCCCAAGCTCTGTCAAGACATTGGGTGCTACCCACTTTGCTCAAGAGCGTCTCGCAAGTTACTTCAACATGTTATCAATGTAGTATCAACGTGGTCGCAAGAACGTTATTGCCCCCCCACCCCACCCCATCCTATGTATATATATATAATATATATATATATAATATATATAAATATGGTACTTCAACATGTTATCAAAGTAGCATCAAGATGCATCAAGAGCGTCTTCCAAGTTACTTCAACACGTTACCATTGTAGTATCAAGACCGTCTTCCAAGTTACTTCAACATGTTACGACGTAGTATCAAGAGCGTCTTCCAAGTCACTTAAACATGTTATCAACATAGCATCCAGACCAAGTTACTTCAACATGTTGTCAACGTAGCATCCAGAGCGTCCTCCAAGTTACTGTTACCAACCTAGTATCAAGAGTGTCTTCCTTCCATGTTACTTCAACATGTTATCAACGTTGGCATCAAGAGCGTCTTCCAAGTTACTTCAACATGACATCAACGTAGCATCAAGGACGTGGTCCTAGGAACATTATTGCCACCCCCCCACCCCACCCCACCCCACCCCACAAATACAAAGCTAGAAAACCCCACAAAAGGCACAGGCCACCGGACACGGCGTTAGCAACTACCCGCCCCTCCCACTTTGTTTCCTGCTTCGTCTCCCACTGTGTCTCCCAGCTTCTCCCCCACTTTGTTTCCCACCTTGTCATCCACCTTGCCTCCAACTTCATCTCCTACTTTGTTTCCCACTTTGCTTGGTCTTGTCCTCCAGCTTTGCCCCCACTTTGCCTCCCATTGTGTCCCGTTTTGGCTCCACATTGTCTTAGTCTTAAACGTTGTCTCCCACTTGTCTCCCAGCTTGTCGCCCACGTTGTCTCAGACTTTGTCTCCCACTTCGTCTCCGTCTCCAACTTTGTTTCCCACTTGTCTCCCGGTTCTCGCCCACTTTGTCTTCGACTGTGTTTCCCCTTCTGTCTCCTATCGTGTGTCCCGCTTTGCCTCCCACTCTGTCTCCTGCTTTGTTCCCCACTTTGTCTCCCATTTGCTTCCGACTTTGTCTCCCACCGTGTTTCGCCTTTTGTGTTCCGCTTTGTCTCCCGGTTTGTCTCCCACTTTGTCTCTGACTTGTTTTCCACTTTGTTTCGCACTTCTCTCACATCTTGTCTCCCATTTTGTCCCCCGCTGTCTCTCTCACTTTGTTTCCCCGCTTTGTCTCTTGCTTTGTCTCAAACTTTGTCTCCCAGTTTGTCTGTCATTTTGTCTCCAGTTTGAGGGTCAACATGTGGCCCAACCATGGGCCATACCCGAGAACCTTCTCACTTCTCACCTTGAAATTTGGAATTCTCACTGTTGTTGGGGCGCAAAGCTGGGTGAATGAAAATTATTGACAAGTTTCTTCAGACATTCTTAATTACAAATTATTGACAAGTTTCTTCAAACATTAAACTAAACATTCTTGGCATTTAATCGTTTTTTTTGTTACATTTATTGCAGCACATTCATTTGAGCAAACCAAACTGCAACTCATAAACCAAAACAAACATCCGGTTTTCATCGAGCCTGTCTTCCACGGAATTAAATGGTTGGAGCAGTGACCTCAGCTGCAGGCCTGGATTTTGCAAAGGGTGGCGGTGTGTGCAAGCACCTACTTTTCCTTATGTTGCGGGCCGCTTGATGAGCACATGGACGTCATAGACGTTTAAAAATTGTGAAAGGTGTCAAGACTTCGCGACCTGACTCAGCTGGGTTGGAGTTGAGGTGCTAAAACTTTCAAGAGAAGACCATCGAGTCTACCAAACTGGTCTCACAAACTCAGACTCCTAGCTGCATGTCTCGTCTAGTCTAGTCAGCCCCCACAGCGCAAAGTTGAACGATCCATATTGCTGCAAAACCGTTCAACGAACCCTGGCCCGTTTTCTTCTTCTGTTGAAGAGTGTTGCAGTGGTGCAGTCATATTGATGACCTGGAATGTTCAGGATGTCAAACGCATTCTTGTGAACGTGTCATATATCTGACTTCATTCAAAAGCCAGCGAGAGGCAATGGTAGGATTGCTGCAGTTGGCTCAAGAGGCAATATATTCAGCCTGCGCAAAAATTGCAGCAGCAACTTCTTGTTTATACTTTTGTTTTGCCCATTTTGCCCTTTGGCAATGCGTGCAGAGATGGGTTCGGATCACATGCCCATGACTTACGCGCATCAGCCGCAGCTGCAGCCTCAGCAGGTCTTCATCTTGGTGCCCACCGATGGTGACTATGCGACCGCAGCACCCCACAGCACAGCTCCAGGGGCCCATGCCATGAGCTATGCCATGGCTCTTTGGCCACAGTTACCGGTGGAAAGTAGCGTGGGTGTCGGCGGAGCAGGTGGTCCAGGTGGTCCAGGTGGCCCAGGTGGCCCAGGTGGCCCAGGTGGCATGGGTGCATTGACTGTGGTGTCTGAGAAGCCAACGAGTCTATCGGTGTCGTCACGAAATGCTCCTGATCCTGTCCCCACGCCACGCACAGAATTGCCAACAGAGAGTGATGAAGAGAAAGAGCCCGAGAGGCATGAAATTCGCATAACAGCCAGTACAGCAAGGCGCTTGAGAAGGAAGCGTGCAGCTGAAAGGGTGAAGATTGCTCAAACTCGAGAACTTTCCGTGCCGCGACTAGAAGACTTCCGTGCTCTTGTGAAGGACGACCCTCCTGCAGCCATCCTCAGATTGACGGGCCATGTTTGGGCTTGGTCTCAAAATGATGTTGGATGCCGCCTGGTTCAGGAGATCTTTGAACTGGGCACCCGGGATGCCGCAGAATTGGCATTGGAGCTGCGTGGACATGTGCTCGAAGCGGTGATGTGTCCTTATGCCAATTACGTGATCCAAAAGGTTGTGTCACACCTCTCCACCGCGGCCAGTGCATTTGTTGCTCAGGAGCTGGTCTTTCATGCGCATGCCTCATTTGAATGGCCCAAGCTGAAGAATGTAGGATTTTTTCTTGAATGGCTTCTTGAACAACAAGTGCATGCAATGCATTGATCATACATTTATGTATGACAACCTTTGCTATGCATGCAAATGTAATGTAAGGGGATATGATGCAACACACACGCACACACACTCTTTATCTTGATCAGAACTGTCGTTGCGAATTTTGCTGTGGAATGCATCGGACGTGCAAAAAACACCAACACAACAACCTAACACGATGAGATGAGCCTATATATATATATAAATAATCACAGTAGACGTTGACAGTATGAAACAACAGCGATAAAATATATGTCCTCCCCAGCTGCGACTTAGGGGTTGATTTAGGATTGGCTTCCGGTTTATTTACAACATGCTTCTTCGGGTTATACATATATATATAGTTTAGGCTTGAGAACCCCCCCCCCAAAAAAAAAAACATGGAAAAGCAGAGAAGCAGAGAAGCAAAGAAGCAGAAAATAAGAAGCAAAGAAGGCAAAGAAGCAGGAAAAAGCAGAAAGAGCAGAGAAGCAGGGAAGCACGGAAACATATATTTAGAAAAAAATGGGCCTCCATGGCATTCCATACATGTGTGTGCGCGTGTGAGCGTGTGTGTGTGTGTACCATCTAAATAGATGTAAAACTTCTTATTAGCATTGGTTTTTCAAGTACGCAAGTACAGATACAACATGCCACAATGTCATGAGTGCTTTGTGGACAGTAACTGTATTGGATTGCTCTTTGTCTCTGCAATGCGCCTACAACGCTTTAAAAAATCATGTTGTCCTCCTCATATTTTCTCCTCTTTAGACCTTTTTATTAGGTCTCACATCTCAAGTTACCTAATTTTGCCCCTTGCATCCTGCAGCTGTTATTCCACAAGTATGGAGGATCTTCAATATTCCGAATACATGTTAGTACAGGCGCAGTATTAAGAGTGGATGGATGTTCATGGAAACTTGAGATGTTTGGCAGTACCCAGCTTTTTCCACTTCTGTGGACGGAGACGAGGGTCGGCAAGGCAAAAGCCAGCATAGATATGAAGGAGAAGGAGATGTTTTGCATTGGGCTCGCGTTAGGTTTGACATCATGTTTTTTGGCCAGTCCTGGTTGGCTGGCGAAAAACCAAGCCTGGTTAGGCTTTGATTCTGTGAGGAGCTGTCCGGGAACGCCGTTAGGGTGGCAAAGCATCGTTTTGCGTGCAGGATCTTTTGCAGCTGAGCGTGGTTCCTTTGTCATTTTCCTGATTTACTCCAAGTCTATTTGTTTGCTTCAGCAGACGCATGCAACAATGGGGTATAGGTGATTTTTTTCTGGCTGGTCAAGCTCTTGTCAGCTACTATTGCGTGGGTTAGTTTTCGCATGTTTTCACGCATTTCAAGATTTCAACTTTCTTGACACCTGTAAGGCAGACTTCTGGAGTTCTGTCCAAGTTCCACAACTGGGGCACTAGTTGATGAGCTATTTGTGGATTTACCCAGCTTGTGCAACCATAACTTTGCACACCATGTCATTGAGTCTGTCCTGGAGAACGGCGACCGCAGGCACAAGAGTCAAGTTGCCGCGGAGCTGCTAAAAGAGCCTTGGAGGTATGCCACCCACAAGAATTCCAGCTACATCATCGAAAAAGCATTGCGACATTGCGATCAGACTGAACAAGAGGCACTGATCGAAGCATTAGGGCAACCGCGCCTCATTTTCGATCTGGCTAGAACACAATTTGGCTGCTATGTGGCGCGTGCTTTGCTTCAAGAAAGTCACTTGCCATGCCCTTTGCCCTTTTTAAACTCTGTTGAACTGGTTTTCGTTTAGATACCTTTGGTATCCAGTAGTGGCAGTGGACTAAGGCGGGGTGGACACGGATGCAGCTATGAACTTCATCAAGCTTCACAGGTCGCACTTGGAACAAACAACTCACGGTCAGCGCTTTCTTGTTGATGTTGGGCTTGCACAGGATGCGGAGTTTGCAGAGAGGGCAGGGGTTGCCAGAGCCATTCAAAAACAATGAGCCAGTAATGCCGGCCGGTAAAGGCGCACCGCTGGTCTCAAACTTTTATTCTAAGTCTTCTGAAACTTTAAATCCTTTTTCATCCTTTTCTGTCCTTTCCTTGTGTCCAGAGTCGTGGCACGATAGTACAGACGACTCAGCAGATGCCAGCTGTCAGGGTTGATGGAGCATCGCTTTCCACAATGGAGCGAGATAGACAGCATTTCTGAAAATTGGGATGGACCCATCAGATAGAAGAAGCTACAGTAAGTTATGTATATATATATACGCATATCAAAAACCACATTTCTTTTGAACTGCGGACGTTTCAAGCAATTCATTTTTGTGAGTACCATCGAAACCCTTGTACAGATTGGATAGCTGGTTGCACAGTGCTGATGCATTGACTTTTTCGTCCGGATCGGATTTCAGTGAAAGATGAGTGCTTTTGAGCTTGCCAGATTGAAATTCGGGCCAGTTGACATTCCGTGGCAGCATTCCCGATGAAAGACTCAGGAGTTGCAGCCTTTGCTCTCCATGCTTCGTGGTGACGGCTTCCGTGCTGGAGGTGTGCAGGTTGGGCTCCTTAGATAATGTCTCAGGATGAGAAACGGAAGGAATTTCATGGTTTTATCCCCTCAGCATCCCCAAACTTGAGAGAGGAACAGGATCCTGAAACCAAAGTTCAGCATAGGCAAATGTTTTTTTCTTCTTTTTTGTTTGGCCGTTCCGTCGCCCGCAACATACCTGCAGACAGCATCATACAGCCACAGATATTTTTCGAGCAAACGCCATCAAGACCCGAATTGATTGGACAGAGCATAGTGGCAGAGCACACACACACACACTCATGCACATGTGACTTCTTGGCACTTGGCAAACAGAGGCAAGCAGAAGGCTGACAGAAAGACTGCTTGCACAGAATAATACCGCACTGAGCAGACTTGCCCACCTTCCCACACGGTAGAATGTCACAATGCCTGGAACAGAGGATATGGAACAGAGCAAGGGTCCGATGATGTCTTGAAGGCACCCTTCCTATGGTAATTTTGTCTGAAACGATCCCTCTGCCACTGCTGCTGCCGCTGCTCCTGCTGTCGCTTCTGATTATGTTGTGGTGATCATACTTAGACAATTATGATGAGGTCTATATGATGACTATCTATGGTCCGGCGGCACTGAAGAGAGAGCCTCTGAGGGATAATTATTCTCTTGTGATGATTATATTGTGGTCCTATCTGATGATCTATAACGAGTTAACGACGATGATGACGATGATGAGGATGAGGATCATGACGGTGGATGAGGATCATGACGGTGGATGAGGATGATGATGATGATGATGATGATGATGGCGATGGCTTCTGCAATGGCAACTGGGGGTGCAAGGATGCTGTGCCAAGAGTCGGTACAGGATGTTTCTAATTTTTTTAGGCTGACGTCACATCAGCCTTTGGGGGTCTTTGATTGAGCTCATTTTCTGCTGGTCGTGATTCGGGTGATCGAAGACTAATTCATTGTTTCAATGTCGGGACTCGCGTTTAAGTCAGAGTCTTTATTGGATGTGTATATGTACATATAGTTTGCCAGCTTCCTGCTTGTGCTTAGGCCGATGCAACTGTGATGCGCGGCTACCAGCAGGTGCTATGAGTCAAACTCCGGTGGAGTTCAGATCAGGGGTTGCCCCAACTACCCAAGGGGATAGATCAGTGATAGTGTGGGATGATAGTCGGGCTATCACGCTCGAGACTACCAACTATTTGTATTGTTTCTGAGGAAGGGCCAGGACGGGCATGTACCTTTCCAAAGATGTCAAGTGCTTGGACGAGAACAGACAGCATGACTACCAAACCAGAAATCTGGTGTACCACCTGTCCAGTTGGAAAAGAAACTGACCGTGCATGAGCACGTTTTAGTACAGAATGCGCAGAATTGAATCAAAATCTTGTCACTTTGCTCAGTTTGCACATTGAATGCCTTCAAGAGTCTCTGCGAAGGCCCGTGGTGTGGAAACAGGCGCACGTCGGCCGCTTCCAGCAGACTGTCCAATTTGTTTCGAAGAAATTGTGGAGGAGAAGGCTGGGCCCCACCATCATAACAATGTCGGAAACATGTAAAAAGCATTAAAAAGCAGGAAGCTACCAACCAATGCCAACTAGGTACAGGGTAGTCACGAAAGCTAGGGTAAGTTGCTTTCAACTTCAGAATTTAACTTTAGAACAGATAGTGCTGAACATCTGGGCGCAGCTCAGCCTGTTTGCGTGAAGTTTGGATTAAACCTCGTGCTTCCTGATGTTCTGGCATCGGAATGCAACTAAGTTGGCCAACTTGCAACGTGCACGACGCTTTCCTCCAATACTTGGTCTAGCGCGTCCTGCTACTGTAGCAATCGAATGCAAGAAATTAGTGCATGCAACATGCACTACGCTTTCCTCTAACACTTGGTCAGTCTAGCGCTTTCTAAGTTGGCACCACAACACTCCCTTTCTTGCCTTCTGAGCCCTCCTCCCTCCTCCCCATTCCCCCATGCCTCCTGTGAGAGAAGATGGGAAGAACTCTCGCAAGACTGTGTGTGTGAACCATCTGAAGAGATGTAAAACTTCTAACGATGTGATTTTCTGATTTGTCTAGATCTTGTCATTATGATTTGCAGGGGGAAGTGGCCCACCCATGAGTCCACTGCCAATGAAACTACTCATGAGTTGGGAGGATATTGGGACTGATCACCCCGACGTACCTGCAAAGATCTTACTTTCTGGACATGGGACGTGGCCAACCCAAGAACTACCTCGCCGAACAGTTTGCAATTTCACTTCATTGACTTTTTTCATGTACGATACGTGCGTTCCCGCAATCTGAGACTTATGTCAACAATTTTTTCAAAACAATTTTTGACTTCCACTGCATTGGCTATGGCGATGGTAGCCTTCTGATACTTTTTCGGGTCTCTTCACCGACCCATTCCTGTCAGGTGTAGCTGGAGTGTTTTTGCGTGTAAGATGCATTCCACCACAGAATTCGCAATGACAGTTCTGAGAAAGTGTGTTACCCACGTCGGTTCGACAAGATCCCGTGAGCCCCTTGGGGAAGACCTGTCTAGGTAGGATGTTTGATCCTTCGACTTGATCTCTGAACTTACACTTTTAACCTAGTAATTCGTTTCGGTAATGTGGAACAGATGGCCTTTTTCATCTTTTCACCTGTCGATTGCCGTGATGTTGAACAGCTGCCCGCTGTGTGGGGGATCACCATTTCTCGTTTGGCATCTGCATTTACAATTCGTCTAAGTAAAGTGAAACAGATGGTTTTTTTCATCGTCTCACCTGTTGATCGTCGAGATGTTGAACAGCTGCCCGCTGTCTGGGGACTCACCAATTTTTTGTTTTGACGTTGAGGTGTTTTCCATGTTTTCAGGTGTGGTGACTGATTCTTCTTTGGCCGTTGGTGAGGTTGAATTGCGCGCCAATTCGAAGGGTTGACCACTTAAGCCGTCCAGAGGGTTGTGACTTGAACTTTGAGGGCCTCGAGCCTTATCACGGAATTTTGCACCGATTTGTGGATGCATCATTTTTATTCATTTTTATCAACCAATCCCCCACTGGTCCACTATCTCATTCGTGCTTCCTCGCTAGGTCAGGTTTGGGTCCTTCGCGTGCCGAGGTAAGTTTGGCTCTGGCCTTGTAGGTTGTGTCAAGCGCTTCCGTCCGCCCCTCCCTCCTTTGGTCGGTGTTTGGCCCGTCATCCGTCCGCTTTTCTTGTTCCTTGCCCTTTCAGGGTATGCCCCCTCTGGGCTAGGTGTTGGTGTTTTCCTTTTTTCCTTTCCTCTTTTGCGTTCCTCGCCTCGTGTCCCGGTTAGGTCCCATTCTCATTGTCATCTCATCTCCATTTCCCTTTCATCTTCACTTTCATCTCATCTGCCGGGGCCTTAAAAAGCCCCGTTGCTGCGGGGCGTGTGTGTGAAACATTTGAAGAGATGTAAAACTTCTAACGATGTGATTTTCTGATTTGTTTAGATCTTGTCATTATGATTTGCAGGGGGCAGTGGCCCACCCTGAGTCCACTGCCAATGAAACTACTCATGAGTTGGGAGGATATTGGGACTGATCACCCCGACGTACCTGCAAAGATCTTACTTTCTGGACATGGGACGTGGCCAACCCAAGAACTACCTCGCCGAACAGTTTGCAATTTCACTTCATTGACTTTTTTCATGTACGATACGTGCGTTCCCGCAATCTGAGACTTATGTCAACAATTTTTTCAAAACAATTTTTGACCTCCACTGCATTGGCTATGGCAATGGTAGCCTTCTGATACTTTTTCGGGTCTCTTCACCGACCCATTCCTGTCAGGTGTAGCTGGAGTGTTTTTGCGTGTAAGATGCATTCCACCACAGAATTCGCAATGACAGTTCTTAGCATGTGTGTGCGTGTTTGCGGAAAATGATGTATATAGTCTGTTGCCTTGTTTTGGTGCAGCGCCGAATTTGTGTTTTGCCGGAAAGGACAATGTTTGCTGGCTACCAGCCATGGTGCGCACTTTGACATGGCCTTGGGCCTTGAACAGTCTTGTTCCACCTTCTTACTGTATCCCTCAGGCTGTCACAGCCATCACTTGATGACATAGCTTTCGTCCCACCCCAGGCTTCAAGTGTGACCAAGGGTGACTAGGTACCGGCTTATTTCGAGTCGAATTCCACAGCCTTGCCCGTGAGGCTGTGGAGTTTTGCAAGGTATGTGGCCACAATGTGCACATTGACTGCCAGCGGCAATGGGCTTCTGCAGGGAAACATGACACTTGCCCGTGCCTTGGTACAAAGATGCGAACCAACTTTGTTTCGCCCCTCATCCCGGACTAATGTTTTGAATTTCTGGGATCCTGAAGAGGTTCGTGCGCAACCAATTCTTTCAGTCTGCTTTCATGTTTTCGTTTATTCTCTGTAGGGCCAATCATTGGAGGCCTGGGCAAAATGAAATAAGAAGACTAGCCACCCAAACTTTTAAACTGGAAATCGAGTTGGGGCAGGTGAAATGGCATCGATTACCCGCTCTCAGGATGTGCCGCAGCCCTTGGGGTGCTTTGGTTGCATCATAATTTTTCGTGATGAGGCATTTTGAAATTTGGTTTTCCTCGCTTAAAAATATACCACGAAAATTGAGTTTTTCCAGGGGATTGAAAACACCAACTGGAAACTCTCTACGCTCTACATCTCCCTACCTCACTTTGGACTCTTTGGACCTTAGACTTGAGCCTTTCCGCGATCGTTGGACCTGAGATTGAAGTTTTCAGTTTGAACTTGACTTAGTCCAGCGCCAGCCAGTGGTTCCACTGGCATGTTGGAGATACCCACCTCATGTGGTCTGAGGATCTCTAAGGTATGTGAGTCTTGGCCCACTTACTCTGTTTCCACAACAGCTATGTAATGTATCCATATCTTCCTGCCCATGACCAAAAAAGTACATTTGTTTGTAAGCGGGCAGCCTGGAGTTAGCCATAGGTGCTACTGGTGGGGCTGCCAGTGCAGAGGCAGGGATGGAAAAGTGGACTCCTTCATTCCTTCAGTGTCATTTTCGACTCAGCCTGCACTTGGCCAATGGGAAATTAGCGACTAAACCGAAGGAACACACATTTACATTAAGTTTTTGTGTTTGGCTTCCATGGCCTCTGCTGACTGACATGTCATGTATGTAGACCTTTTCGTATCCTACACGCATCGTACTTTCTAGGCAGAGATTTTGTTAGCGCTAAACACTGCAAAGTGCCAACGTTTTATCTTTCGGAACAGGGCATTGTGAATCTGGCGGCGTACTCTTCTGAGCATCAGGAAGCACCTTGGCCACATAGAGTCACCTTGCGAATGCTTGGCAGTGATTCAGCACATAGCTCCCCCTTACTTTTCGATTCAAACCCAAGTTCAATCTACAATGCAAACTAACAGAATTTATTTGATTTTAACTTGTCAGTGACCTTTGTTGAGACCCGGATCAGATCAGCACGAAGATCAAAGATCCCTGTTTCACTGTTTTCTGGTCAGCTCTCAGGGCTCAGGGCGGGACCCCTGTGCCACGCCCCTCTCGATGCAGCGTCTTGGGCTCTTTTGGCCATGGCGAATTTCTTCAATCAACCAGGCTGTGGCAGCTGTGGCGGCCGTGGTGGCTGTGGCAGCTTTGGGTTGCAATATGGGTTCTCTGCAATGAACGTGCCAACATATGGGCCACCGGATAGACGTGAGCATCCGGCAGAAAGTGCCTTGCAGTCCTTTGCATGGAACCAATCTTTGCATCCTCCAGGCATCGGAATGTCTCCTGATGAGCACGGTGGAATGGTTTTCGCTTTTTTGAGTTGCAAGCTTGGGTGAAGAAGCGCACACACACACATAATCACACACATATAAATATGTATGTATGTATGTAATGTAATGATATGGTGGTATGGTATGGTGTGGTGTATGGCAGTGTATGATAGTGTATGGTATGGTATGGCATTGTATCGTATTGCATTTTATGGTCTTGTATTGCTTGGTTGGTATTGTATTGCATGGTATTGTATTGCATGGTATTGTATTGTATGGTATTGTATTGTATGGTATGTATGGTATGTATTATATCATATGTATGGCATGTATGTAGTGTATGTAATGTATGTAATGCCTGTACTGTATGTAATGTGTGTAATATTTGTTATGTATGTAATATATTGTATGATATTGTATGTAATGTATGTATATAACATATGTAATGCATGTAATGTATGCAGTGTATGTAATGTATGTAATGCAATGCGTGTAATGTAATGTAATGTACATGTAAAACATGTGAATGTAATACAGATGCATATGTAAATGTAAAAATAATGAAACGTATGGTTTGGTATGGTCTGGTCTGGTATGGCGGTATTGTTGTATGAATGTATATAATGTAATGTAATGGTATGGTATGTAATGTAATGTTATGCAATGTAAATGGTATGTACTGCAATGTATGTAATGTAATGGTATGTAATGTAATGACAAGTAATGGTATGGTATGGTGCGGTGTGGTGTGGTATGTATGTATATGTGTATACGTATATATATATATATACACGCACTGTCAGCTGCCGATGCTGCCGTAGCTGGGCTGGACATACTTTGCAGGTGAAAAGGCTGGACGAAGGGCTCTGAAGGGCTCTGAAGCAGCTTTCAGACAAATTTAAACCAAGAACAACCAAGGCAATACTCTGCTTACTCTGCGCCAGTTCCACAACCATGGCAGCCATGGCAGCAACCACCAGTGGTACCAGCTTCTCAATATGTGCCTTCTTTGAGAGCCAACGTGATTGACTTCTACCGCCGCCATGCGCCTGAGCACCTCGAACAGAATTTTGTGGACGGACTAGTTGGTACTTTTCAAGGACAGGGCCGAAGGCCGAAGGGCTCACTTGGCTATGCCACGAGTGGATCGGCCCAACACGTAGCATCTGCGGTGCTTTGTGCATAGTGCCCCCATGTATCAAAGACAGGGTAAGACTATCTACCTAGCCGACTACCTATCTATCTAGCCACCCATCAGCCATCTATAGGAGCCTATATGCACACACACACACATACACACACGCATATATATATATATATGACCTGACATGTTCAAGAGTGACAACTTTCTGCGTACCCTGTTGCGCCGCCAGGACGTGAAGTTGAGCTGGACCACCTGCTGCGTGAGAGGTACGGTACTGGCTTGTTCCAACAGCCACGTGTCTGGGCTAAATTCAAACTGCCTAAAGCACGCAATCGGAATCAGGACAAGCATTCAGGGCGATGGACAGACAGAGAGAGAGAGAGATTCTGCATTTCAAAGGCCGGTATAGGCATTAAATCTTGGAATTAGGGGACAGTTTTGATGGAGACATCAGCAGAGAACATCAGAGAAATATCGAAAGGAAAAGGAGGTAAAGGAACAAGACAAGACGGTGATATATCGTCAAGCAACCGAAAAGGCATGCAAGACAGAAACAAAATTGAGACAAGAGAGACGGTGAAGCGCCAGCAAAATGCAAATCGCGCAAGGCGTGGCCCAAGGCTGCAAGGCGCAAGGCAAAAAGAAGCAACATGGAAGCGCAGATAGCGAAAAGAAACGCAATAAAGAAGACAAACAAAAGACAAACAAAAGATAAACAACCTAAAGCGAAAGACAAGATGCCAGACAAATCGAGGTATGGAATAGTATGGAAGAAAACACGCAAAAAATTAGTGACGTAGAGGCAACACAGTCATACTTGACACTAGTTTCTTTCTTGACTCTCTCGGATCTTTTTCTTCTACTATTGGGCGACTCATGAGCTAGCTGTCTCGGGACCTTTTGACTCTCCGTCTCCATCCGTCTCCTTTTTTATTCTTGACGATTCCTTCCACTTTTTACCATAGCTATTTATTTTGTCATTTTTCTTCTTTCGTTGTTGTCCAGTACCTCTTTTCCATCCATCCATTTTTTCCTCACTTTTGCTGACCCAATTGACGCACAACTTCTGGTGGCTTCAAGAATTAACTAACTTCCGCGAAAACACCTCTTGCCTTTTGTGCTTTTGAAGCTGCTCCAAGGTGCTGTGAATACCTCTTACCATGGCCATGGGTATCCCTGTGCCGGTTCGTCCGCACAAATTGGGTTGACAGCGGCATCTGTGAGACAGACAGGTGGGATTCCATCTGCATCTGGCCAGAGAGGTGACTCACACAGGAACAAGATGGCCAAGAGTGACTTGCACGACTTCAAGGTCACTCAGAAAGCCAACCTTCCGAGTGCAAGCTCAGCAGAGAGACAAAGCGGCTCTGCGGAAGGCATCTTTGCAGCAGATGGTAGTTTAAATTGCAGAGCTTTGCACACCGGCGATGCCATAAGGGTTATGTTGGTAGAGCGAGTGTTAGTCTTGATCATGTTGTGCTCTCTGCGCGCACGCGTTTGCGCGGAGTGTAATATCCCTTACATCGTGCAGCTTGTAACCATCTTAATTACCCAAAAGAGTTGGAGCCAATACCAAAAACACCAAGAAGACCTTCCAAAAAGAGTGCCAGAAAAGTGATTTTTACCCAGTTGCAAAAACTTGATAGCGAGACTAGAAATTTCAATATTTGTTGCAGATTATTAAACTTGTCGCGCAGTTGCTGTGAAGCTGCCAGTCAAATTTTGGACCATGGGTGCCGCATCGAAAGCACCTGAAAGCACCTTGCTAGGCAGTTGCAAAAGGTTTCCTCCGGGACGCCACCCGAACGTTTCCACCAAAACGTTGCCCAATTATAGCAAGAAAACGCACCTAACATCCGTTCTGCATCCCTAAAAAATGACATTTGGAGAAGTTCGTAGTTTCATGCAGCCCCTTGCGCAGATCGGGTCGGCGGATATAGACTACAAACATTAGACGTACGACGTGCGGATGGCCGTCAGTGCCATAGATGTGATATCTGGAGGCTTTGAGTCTTTGAGGCCAGATTTGGAGTCGGGAGAATCAAGCAAGTGCAAGGTTTGCTCATTGTCCTCGGGTTGTATGTGTTCTGCGTGTTTGCCTTATTTGCATGTACCTACCTGCCTCTATCGCAGGAAGGGACGCATAGACACACACACACACACGCTAAATCACACACATAAGTTTTGTGGACTGGTTTGTCGCAAGGCGCATCAAATGTCCTGGTTTAATCATGAAATTCCATAGGTGTAGTAGTGCACGGGCTCCTTGAAGCAAGGCAGATCAAGGCAGGCCTAGCAAGTCGTCCGAACATGTCCTCTGAACATGGATGGCGGTGCTGATGCAAGCTCAGTCGCTGATTGAGGCTGGCAAGATGACGGGGTTGGTTCCGGACTACATGTATCTGAGGAGGTGGCCAAAGCAATCATGGGCATCTCAGCCATGAAGCGTCGAAACGACCTTATGCAGTGTATCATTTGGTAGAGCTGCGTCTTACCAGCAGTTCCCTCAAAGCGTTTGGTATCCGTTTGTCAAGTGCCACACCTAGCCGACCTAGCCAACTTTGGACGTTTTAGGTCCTGCCCCAAAGGGGCGGGCAATCATAGATTCAGACATTTTGCGATCAACAAAATGTGCCAAGGACATGTAGTTTGCGTGTTGGGACCAGGCAACGCAAAGAATCATAAAGAATTTCTTGACCTGTGGCCAAGGTGGCCTGGGGATAGACATTTCATAATTTAGATCAATAATCAATAATCCTCAATTAGGACTTAAAAATTGAAAACTTGCACTGCGGAGATGTGCCAACCTGCCCAACATGGAGAAAGCCGGTACTCCCTGTGACCAAGCCCCCAAGCTATTCCATCAGGGATACGCCTGCTTCATGATTGATGCCCAGGTCAATCTGGCAAGCCTGTATCCTGAGACACATCGTTGGATTCAGCGACGTGATAGCTAAAGCTTTTGGTTTATGCCGAACTTCCTCTCTCGACCTGGCCGTGTGTAGATTTAGATTTGGACCGTTTTCCCGTTTCACCCGACTTTCTTCGCTGTGACAAGTGTACATCAGACATCATCGGACTATCTTTTGTGCCCATCTTCAAAATCTTCTATTTTCCAGCTGTAGCTCCTAAGCACCCTGGCCAAAATCTCAGCAAAGGATGACAAAGGTCCGCAACTTTAGTTTTTTCTTTCTGGTAGACATGATAGTGAAATGTGGCAGAAAGTGCGAGGGGCAGATTGCATGTGCACTGTTTGAGACAGAGCATTAACAGTACCCAGGACATTTTTTTGGTGGTGGGAACATGCGCAATGACTCTAAGTTTGACTTTGCCCAGTCACAGCCTTTGTCGCAGTATTGCTAGTTTCCGGGTCACTAGGGATCTTGGCAATTTGTCTGCATTTCAGATGGTTTTGGCTGGAGAGTTGCCGGGTGCTTTTTTTCCTTGTCCTCTCCAGCTCCTTTTCGTTGCACAATGGTCCCTGTCATAGCACACCATTTTTGGACTATCTCACAGCTGCAAAGATACCCATGGCTTTGACTTGCCCGCAGCCCTTGTAAATGTGGCCGTGCATGGTGTATGGCTGGTGTTTTGGCAATGGGAAACTGTGCTGACAGCATGCATCATGCAACAACCAGGTGTAGTTGCGAGAACTACACAAACAGACAGCCAGCCAGACAGACAGACAGACAGACCAACCAGACAGATAGACGGACGGACAGACAGACACAGACACATACACACACTTGCTCAGAAATGTCTTATCGAATTACTGATGTGGAACGCATCGGACGTGCAAAGACAACTCAGTTAAACCTAACAGGAGAAATGAATAAATATATATAAATATAAATATATAAATATATATATAGGACTATGGTGGCCACCAGCTGCGACTTAAATGCGCCCAGGTGCACCACCACAGTCCCGCAGGTACGTTTGCACGGGTCCCGGGGAGGTGTCTTCGTTGGTCACCGACCCCCCCGGGACCCCGGTGACCCCCTGCAAAATTAGAAGTTTTACATCTATTCAGATGGTACACACACACACACGCCCCACCGCGGCGGGGCAGATGAAATGAAAATGAAAGTGAGATGACAATGAAAATGAAATGAACATTACCCAACCAGGACGCGAAGAGGGGAACGCAAAAGAAGAGGGACAGAGAGAACACCAACACGACACACCTCGCCCGGAACGGGCAAACCCTGAAAAGGCAAGGGAAAAGAAAAGCGGAGGCCGACGGACAACGGAACAAGACCAGCGGAGGGGGGGGAAGGACGGAAGCGCTTGAACCAACCTAACACGGCGAAAACCTACGCCTACCTCGGCACGCGCAGGACCCAACCTACCTAAAGAGAGGAGAACGCAGAAACACATGAGAAAGGGGACCCATGGGGGACAAGTTAATAAAATGATGCAACCACAACGCATGCAGAATTCGTGATAAGGCTCAAGGGCCCTCGGCATTCATTTCACAACCCTCTGGACAGCTTACGTGTTCAGCCCCTGAATTACGTGCACAATTGAACCTCACCAAAAAACCAAAAGAAAGTGACCACACCTGTAAAGCATGTCCTGTCACCTGTTCATATGTAAATGGCTGCGGGCAGTCTCTTGAAGCAACAGGAAGGTTGTTGACGTGGTGTCAGGCTATGCGGTGAGAGGTCCATTGAAAGAAATGAAGCCACACGGCGGCCAGTTGTTCAACCAAACGACTTCGACAGGTGAGAAATCCACTGAAAGAATTGAAGCCACACGGCGGCCAGTTCTTCAACCAAACGACTTCGACAGGTGAGAATCGAAAAAAGGCCAGCAGTTCACTTTACTTAGACGAATTACTAATTCAAAAGTGTAAATTCAGACGTCGTATTACTGTCAATTGTTAGCCTAGAAAGGCTTTCCCCGAAGGGTTCCTGCCAAATTGACGTATGCAGCAGGAAAGACACACTTGCTCAGAAATGTCTTATCGAATTACTGATGTGGAACGCATCGGACGTGCGAAGACAACTCAGTTAAACCTAACAGGAGAAATGAATAAATATAAATAAATATAAATATATAAATATAAATATATATATATATGGGACTATGGTGGCCACCAGCTGCGACTTAAATGCGCCCAGGTGCACCACCACAGTCCCGCAGGTACGTTTGCACGGGTCCCGGGGAGGTGTCTTCGTTGGTCACCGACCCCCCCGGGACCCCGGTGACCCCCTGCAAAATTAGAAGTTTTACATCTATTCAGATGGTACACACACACATTTACACATTTTAAATGCATGTAGTTCTAATATATGTATATATATTTATATAAATCACATACACACACGCATTTACATACAATATGCATATGCGGTATATATAATATGCAAGTAATAAATGTACAGTATACACACTATAAGTATGAAAAAAGTAAATAACTGAATGAATAAACACATAAATAAGTACATAAGAAACAAACATGCATACATGCATAGTAACACACACACACACATATATATATATATATACACACATATTTAAATGTCTAAACCTGTGGCAAGAGGCACTCTTTGAAAATCAATTGCGACGGTTGATTTACTACAGCCAAGCACTCATCATGGAGCAAACCTCCAGTGGGGTTCACACGCATCATACAATCGGTCGGAGCCATGGTGGTGTGGGTACTCAATCTTGCCGGTGGCAGGGTTACGAGCAGTGGCTGGGTGAAGCCAAGGTCAAGGTGATGAATCCTCTTGGAAATTTCTACTAAAAAAATACCAATGTCAAATGTCAACGTTTGAAAAAGGGGGCTTGTGGGGAGGGGTGTGTTTTGAAGGTATGTCGGAAAGCAGTCAAGGCTGCTTTTGATTTTGTAGAAAGACTCTGGCTTTTGATACTGTACATAGTGATTTCAATGTGCGCCACTTTTGGCCAAGGCTCACTGATGACTGGCTATTTTGTAGTGGTAACGTCGTTTTGTAGAGGTGGGTGCTGGTTTTGTAGGACCAGAACTTGTCTATGGGATCCTGTGGCCAAGGGGTGCAAAATGTCATTCATTAGAGTGGGCTTGTGGTTTTATAGGACATGTATAGGAAAGATACTCGTCCATGATCTAATTGGAGGGGCGGAGTTGATCGTTGGGGTCTTGCAGATAGAAGGCCCAAAACTGGGGTGGTCTCTACAAAATGCAAAACATTATTCCAATTCACCCCTGCCTTATGTACAAAATCTCAGCCATTGAACCATTTTGAACTAGGTAAAATCCTCTACAAAATCACAACCTTAACTCACTAGGATGTATGTTGGCACAGGTTGTGCCTCCAAATGTCAGAAGGGTTCATCTGACCAAAGCCCTCAAAAACAATGAAACCACATGTGGAAAAAAACAAACAAACAAATTCAACATGCAGTAACGTGCCCTTGTGGGCCACCAGTGCTCAACGCAAGCAAAGAAAAAACAAAACAATGATGGCAGATAGCAAAATACCCAAGAAGTAGGGCTCGAATGGTTTTGAATGGGTTCTACTGTTTTTGAACTGCCTTGCATTGTTCTACAGGTTTGGTATAGTATGATTAGTATGCTTTGGTTGGGGTGGGCCTTGCAAAATCAAACGCAGAGGTTGGGAATGGTGGTGAACCAAAGGCCCTATCTTTCCCCACCACAAGCTGCCCATCAAGATGATTTGACTTCCTTTATTCGCTTGATTGGTTGAGTTGGTGAGAATATTCATTTTGATGGTTCGTGTGCTGCCCAGGTTCCAATCGTGGCACCTGAGCTACGCAGCTTGAAAGAGAGAGGCGATGAGGTGTAGAGCCAAGATGTGCCAAGATGCGCCAAGCGAATCGCTTAAGTTGGGCCAACTTGTCTTGCTATGTCTGCTATGTCTTGCTTTTCATAGCCGGTGATGAAGAGGCCTGTTTGACGGATCTTGCAGAGAAGAGAGAAAATTGTGCTTTAGTTTTGATCTACTTTAGTGATCTTTAACTTAAATGTCAGTGCATTCAAGAACCCTTTTCTCAATGAGAAGCCCCTTTTCATTTGTGCTTGTTTTGCTCAGCCATTTGGCTCGTAAGATCATGTTTCTCCCTCATTTGAGCTTGAAACTACCCTTTGCCACAGGTAGGTTGCCTTTGACGAGATTAAATCCTAGTGCTGTTCAGAGACTGGCTGAGTTCTGCATATGCTTGATGCGTTTGCATTTCAGAGAGAAAACTTAGAAAAGCACAACTTGCTGAAATACATCAGTCTTGTCAGACCCAAACCTTACGGTGGGTGCCAAAGACACAGTGCAACCAACCATATTTCCCCGGACACTTGCAACCAAATAGGACAAGCCCTGCAGCCCTCCCCAGTGCTTTTCAAAGTTGGTACCTTCCGCTTTAGATTTGGCATTGTGTAAGACATTGTCGGCATTGGGTAAGACACCAGTGGCCGGAATAGCACGCCGTAGGAGCAAGGTGCTTTCGGGACGGGATGGCCCCGGGATGGCCCTGGCCAAAGGATCCTTCGGGCGTAACGGTTCGCTATGTGTTCGTCTAGTGAAACCATGTGAAACCTGAAAAATTGTGCTCGTTTCATCTCCTTTTGAACAAATCCTCTCTGTTTGAATTTGACTTTAGGGAGCTCAGTTGCTGTCACCCTTCACGCGTCAAGACCGTCAAAAACTCTGACTTCATACAGTAACATGCATATATTTATCGAATCTGATAGTATAGTATAGGCTTCTGTGACTCCTTGCCTGGCCTTGCCTGAGTTTGTTAGAACTGTTATCGCTACGAATCAATCTGCAGCGTCGCAGCTGTGTTGGCTGGTTCTTTCCAGAAGCAAGCAGGTCATCATTCGGCGTGATGGAGAATGGGATCATGGAGAATCGGATCCTCATAGAGATTCGCATCCTTGATATGAAATCAATGTGGGTTTTCATGAGGCGAAATGGAGCTGTTTTTGACATGATGAATGTGTAAAAACCTTGCCCTGTCCTTTTCCTTGCTAGATGAATGGGCCCATCTTTCTTTAAGTCGTGAGACAGCGATAGGGAATGAAATGTCAAACGCTTACTCTCTTTCTTCCTCTCTCCCACTCTGCTTTTCTCTGTGAGAAGAAAGAGCAAGTGCGAAGCCTTCATGACTCCTCAGCAAGCCAGTGAAGAGAGACATCATAGCGTGCTCAAATTCATTTGTAAGAATCTCTTACTGTAAGAATATGATGAGATCTGCTCCTTTCTTGGGCTTGCCTCAAAAATAAGTGTAAGGCAATGATTCGGACAAGAAGTTCGTCTTCGATGGCGACTGGTTGCGAACTGGGGTTCCTTGGCAGAGAAAGAGCAAGAAACTTGGACCACACCACAACTAGCAATGCTATTTTATCATATCATTTGTAATGCACACGCATATAGATAGTACTTAATGATATTTTATGTATGCACATGCATAGGCATACTGTATCAGTCCAGAACCACAGCAATTGTCGCAACCACACTCATTGCAAACGGTATGGTTGCCGTACCTTGAACAGCTTGATTGAATCTCAGGGGCGACAGTGCGCACAGTGTGGATGTTTCATGACCCTTCTTGGTGGATGCTGAGGAGTGGAAATCTGACAAGACACAGGCACGGCTGGAAGGGCAGCGAGTTTGATTTCCAGACCTTGACACCTAGACACTGAGAAGCCGAAGTCAAGGGGGTCAAGGATACAGTAGTCGAAGTCGCCCTTGGAGCACCCAGATCAAGCACAAATTCTAGGCCCAGGCAGCCAGGCATCTCATGATAGACTCTGATAGGCGCTCTTAAGTGCTTCTCCAAAGGGATTTTGCTCAGTAGCACACCTGACCCAGGCAATTGAAGCGGAGAGCTTGAGTGTCATCGAGTTTCCAGGCTCAAAATCATCTGGCCTCATGTGAGCCTCATATCCTTTGAGAACAAGATGGCATCCTGCATGGAGCAGCTCCCTTGAATCGCTGGATGGTTCAGGATAAACGCCGCACAGCATGCCACCCCTCCATTGTACCCCGTCTTTTCGTCAGTCAGTGCTGCCTGAAGGATGTCGAGACTCGTTTGATTTGATTGAAATCTGAGGTTCAAGTCAACAGAAGTGAAGGGTGTGCGCGGTGTAGCTTGGTACGTCGACAGCGAGGAGAGAGAAGCTACAGTACCACACAAGATCCCACGAAGCATCATTATCAGGTCCAAATCTTAAGGAAAGACATTCCAGGAGGTATATAAATCCAACAGATACAGATAGAGGAATCCAGGGATCCATGATGCCCAGGTCTCCGGTTACAATTTCACACTGGTAGTAGTGTTGCACTGAATATCGTTAATGCACAATGATGATCAATGATGCACACCCTGCTGGGGCTTAAGGCGTTTGGAGCATGCACAGCCATGTTGTACACATGCCATGAGAGCCACACCCAGCATGTGATTTCCTAAGTGGGTTTGTTTATGAGCGCTGGCTCCCCGTATCCACTGCTGGTCCTTCAAGCAAAGCCGGGTTTTCACGGTCCACAGTTGCCTGCAGGAGAAGGATGTTTACTTTTCTCTAGACAAAGCCTCAGCATAGCCGCCACATGCGCGGAGAAGTTACAAGCGACAGCATGCACAGTTTTTTCTTCCATGCCTGTGCATTTAGCATTTAGTTTCTATGGAGTAAGGTACTGCATAAAGAGTCGGTTCTACTAATTGAGGTCTTCGCAAATCCACGGCTGCAGGAGCCTACTTTCGTGGCTCGGTCAAGAAAGACACTCAACATACAGAACGAGCATTTGTGCCGAGTTTCGAAGCGACTTTGTCTGAAGATATTGTTCCCAGCAATCCCGACAACACTGACAGGCATGTTTCGTGGGATTGCCACCGCAGGATTTGAAGCTTGGCACAAAGATAGGGTCAAAAATATCTGGAAAATCTATGAAAATCTGGAAATTGTCTCATAGGGCAATGCTGCATTCTGCTGCCCTAGGACACATTGGTGACACTGCATGAAAGATTTTTCCAGTGTACTTAGCGTGCACTGTACTCCTTGAAAAACATCACTAAGAAATCAACAGCGGATCCTTGACGAGGTCTTTTTGAGAGTTCTGCTCTATATTCCTAGGATCCTAGTGGTCCTAGTGCGCATGTTAGACAACGGTGCCAAGGAAGGCGGAACTTGAACATGCTCCAACCTTGATGCAGGTGGCGTGGCATTTTGCATAACCCCAAAAGGATGCAATGTAGATTCCATGTATATAAATAAGAAAAGGATAGAACAAGTATAAGTCGGTATAAAGGTATACAATATATACATGTGAATGGGTAGATGCTCCGCGCGTTGTTGATTTCAAGTGCAGTTTTTCAAGTGCAAGAAGTGTTTTTCAGATGGAATGTGCAGGTTCTATAGGGTTTGAAATGCACCCATGGCACCCTGCATTGCCAAACTTTGCAGGGGCAGACCTATCCTTCGGCTTGTGGACAGTATGCATGGACTTCGGCCAAGGCTCTCAAGTCTCTTCTTCCGAAATCAACATAAATCCACCAGGTTTGGAACATGACAGAACAATACAGAACATGCAAAAGGATGGAGAAGCCACCATGTGCCATGTCCACATTGATGCTTGTTTGTCGTTCAGGTGGGCAACCTGACAGACGCTTGATAGCATTATGTTGGCTCGGAGGTGTGTTGAGCTAAAATCGTCACCCTGATTCAGCGCAAAAAACCAAGTACCCAGCTAGGACGAGACCACTTCATTCTGGTGGATCCTCAAGCTTAGAGCAGTGGTGAAATTGGCCCTCTACAGAGCAGAAAAACTAACCATTTGGCGGTGATCCACAAGCGTTTGACTACTTCGTATATATACTGACTTGTCAATGCCCAGAACCTGTGGTGCGGATTCAGACTTGAGTTGAGGGCGCAAACTAAGGTAATCAAGGCTGCTTGGATGCAATGTTAAAGTTGAATACGGTGTGTATAAGCGGACATGCTTTTTATTTTCCACTCCTGCTACGGTAGATACTTTGAAAATTCTTTAAACATGTTTTGAAAGTTTCCACGCGGTAACGGTACAGTGTGTGTTCGGCAATTCTTCATTACATAAAAGGCTGGAATTTCAAACCTCAGGTCACCATCTTCCCCGGCGACTTCCCACGCTTTGTGCCTCCTACTGCTGCCAACATGCCAGAAGGAAAACCCGCAGAGGAGTCGCCGTCAACAAACGCAGAGCCATCCGCACCACCATTGTCACAAGAGACTGGCGCTTCTGCACCAGCTGCGAGTACAGTCACAACCGTCAGCAACATGGCAAACTTGGAGGTTCTATTAATTATATAAATTATAATAATTCAGACTGATAGGTGCAGAGGCAAATGCCATCAATGCTTTGTAATGTTTTCTAGCTGTCCCGTGCATGATTTGGGGCACGGCGCTGTTCGGGCAAGGCACCACAAACTCTGCACAAGAGGACGAGGAAGCAGCCAAAAAGGCCTGAGTTGATCAAACGGAAACTCTCCACAATTGTCCAGCTTCGAACCATGTTGGCATGAAGTGCAACATTCCATGTGCTAGTGGCTGGCAGGTGACCGAGTTCTTCAACCAGACAAGACCCAAGGCAGGAGCTATTTCAATGCCAAAACATCTAGGGGATTCAAAAGCCTCGAATTCGACTGCAGCATGATGTATGCCCTTGTCATTCCCAGCAGGACGCAGTGGATGGCTTGTGGTGCCCTGGTTGCACGACGTAGATGCAGCATGTTATGACACGCCAAACGCTGTAGATACGCACCTTTTCAATACACAATATGGTTTCTGACCTCAAAGATCCACGTCGCATGCTATTTATGTAATTCGTCGAATCCAAGATTTCGCTGAAGCAAAAGGAACCCGTTTAAGTTTAGCTCTTTTAGATTCGGAGAACACCTTTGATAAAGCACAACATGACAAACTTATATTTGCGTTGAGAAAAATGGGGTTTAGTCAGCATTATTGTGATGTCATCCAAAATTGCTACGAGGAACCTACCTTTTTTGTAAAAGATGCATTTGGATCATCTCAGATCAAACGTCAATCTTCTGGTATCAGGCAGGGATGTCCTTTGTCTCCTTACCTCTTTGCTATTGTTATGTCATGCGTAGACTTTGAGATACCGATAAACTCTAGTCGTTGGGTACAAAACGGCAGAATTCCAAACTTGGATTTCGATATGCTTTACTATGCCGACGATACCATTCTTTTCTCAACAGACAACAGGGCCTTAGATGAAGTGATAAAGCTCACTGAAGCTATTTCCGGCAAATATGGACTGTGACTAAACAAAGATAAGTGCGTGGCAATACAGATGAAAAATGATAGCGTGGTCCACTTTGAAAACAGCGATCCGCTCCCCAAAAAATTGAGGCAACTTAACTTATCTCGGAAACGAGATTAACAAAGATGCCAACATAAAACACGAAATCCTAAACAAAATGCAAGAAGTACGGAAAACTTGGTACAAACTTTTGCCGTACTGGAAGGCAACAAATGCAAACGTCAAATGGCAGCTACTCATATTTGATGCGGTGATCAGATCTAAATTGTTGTACGGTCTTGAGACAATCCATTTGACTGGTCCTATGCTGAAGAAAGTTGATGCCTTCCAAATGCGGTGTTTGAGGAGAATCCTCAAAATTCCATCGACTTTCATTGATAGACGATATTCCAACGGAGTTGTTTTGCAAAGATGTACAGCAATCCTTTACATTTACACAAATCAAGGCGACCAACGGGAATTGAACTGTTCAGCCAGTCTTACTTACACAGGAAATCCAAATTAGGTCATGTTCTAAGAGCAGGCCCAGAAGACCCTATGCGTCAGATATCTTTTTAACCCAACAGTGCTATTAGGCCACAAAATGGCAGAAAACGAGTTGGTCGCCCGAAACAAAATTGGCTGCATTATGCAAAGAAACATACGTTTGAACTTTGAACATATCTTACGTGGTTATGACTACTTGGAATCCCCAGATGAAGATGCACGGATATATAATGCAGCCATAAGCAGGACATTCTAGGTTGCACCATGGACCTTCGGCTACGCCCACGCCTTGCGTTGACCTTGACTAGTTTTTATTGCAGGGTACGGCTGGGAAAAAACAAATTTAAAAGATGCAGCATGTTGTTGGACCCGAGTCGCTGGAGGGATGTTCGGCTGTGGCGGAAAAGTGCAGGCGTCTTTCCACATTCAACGCGCTGCTATTCGCGGTTGTTGGTGCAAATGCTGCGCCAAGGAGTGGCTTGTCAACAGCCACCAAAGGGGTGGCAGCTGGACTTGGCACCATGGTGGCATCCTCAGTGGCTGGCTACCAGAGTGAAGGCGGGCAAATCTGCAAAGGAACACCAATGGCATCAGGAGACGATCAACATTGCCTTAGCAAGGATATTTGGGGGCAAGTGCAAGCTTACGAGAAGACTCTTCAAGGGGAGCAACTTAAACTTAAACCCGCAAGCTACCCAGGCTTCTATACAAAAGAGGCTGATGAGAGTAAAGAAGGAATATCAACGATGGCAATGTAAGGAAGTTGGGTCCTCCCTCCCTGGCCCTTGCCAGGCGGTTGGGGTCTTGTCAAGGGTGTGGGCACTGGTCTGGTTGGTGGTGCTGCCATCGCCGTCACTGGCACTGTTTGTGGCCTGGAATTCAGCTGCATTGGGAGGAGAGAGCTGGGAAGGATCCATTGAGAAAGACATAGAAAGACTTATACAGCATATATATATACATATATGTATATACATCCGTTCGACATTGTTTGTTGTGGTTTGTTTTGTTGCTGTGAGTCGGGAATCATTCCCAACGCTTTTGGGCCACACAGTCCGGCGCAGATCCTGGAGCAGCCGGTCGTCTCAAAGAAGTCAATCAGAAGAGTCTGATAGACGGCATGTGAAAGTCTGCCAGATAGGAAACCTGTAGGTAGAGAAATGCTGATTGAAGGAGGTGTCTTTTGATTGATTGAATCATTTGCTGGATTGCTTGCTTGATTGATCGTGTGGTTAATTTGCTGATTGGTTGAGTAGCTGATCAGAAATGACAGGTTGGTGCATGATTCAGAGGAAAAGCGATAAACTTCAAGTGTATTGCACGTCTGACTTGGTGGATTCAGGGGAAAGCGTGGGATTGAGTGAGTGAATGCTTTTGCGTGATCGAGTAAGTGTTGAGTATAGGCCAGTTTGAAGCATCGCGCAGCGTCCTGCAACCGTGTTGCGACCTTCATAGTCTACGTACTGCAGAACTACAACCTCCAACAACCAAACACATTTGAAAAACATTGAAGTTGGATCAAAGCTGAATATGCACGAGACCTTGGTGCAACATGCCATTCCAGGCAGTTTGGAACCTGGCATCAGTACAAAGGACAACAACAGAATATAAACAAAAATATAAAAGTAAGCACACCTGCCACTCCCTTTCACTGTGCAGCACTGGAACACAGAATGCGCCATCGGGGTGGCTACTGTCATGTTCAAACTGGTCGAGCTCCCAAAAGGAATGCTCCGAGCTCTCCGGGTCCAGTTCAAATTTCATTAAATATATTATACTATATAATAGATATTATTAATTTATTTAAATTATCATTAAATCTATATATCAATTGCATCAACGCAGACGGTCACAGACCGTCGCAGACCGTTGCAGGCCTTGTGCGTGAGATGTGCTGAGGTGGTGCGGCTCAGATTGGACGTGGAGTGTACAACACCCCACAAGCTTTTCGTGGGCGACGAGAGCAACGGGTCTGGGATGCCGACCTTGGACAATGGGTTTCTCGGATTTTCTCGGCGCCCCTTGGAATCCCACTATTCCCGCTATTCCCGCTATTCCAACTCCAACTGATCTTCCTGGGACCAAAGTTGATACTGATGGCGCCCAATGTTCCAGGGATGGATCGCGTACAGCGCGGTAAGAACATGCAATAAAATTATGAAATGCAATGCATAGTTGAACGTCTTCTCAGCACAGACATGTCGTTTTCTTCACTTGTTATATAATTATCGTGGGCTTTGGCTTTGTCGTTTTTTGTCATTTCTGCTCTGTTGTGCTGTTGTTTGGTCATTCGTCTGCATTCCGCCCCCAGCAAAGCACGAACAAACGAATCGAGAAACAACGAGGCAATGACACATGAAAAAATGAGAGAAGTGCGCATAATACAAAACAATGACACACCACTTAAACAATGAACAAACAAACATGCTGAACAGACGCCAACAAAATGAAAACAACATGGGTTTCCAGGTGCCCGGAATTCTGTTTTGGCACATTTTGCACATTTTGCACATTTTGCACATTTTGCACATTTTGCACCCAGCCCCTTGCATTGACCTCTCATGTCACCGTTGAGCTATCGGGACCCCAGGCTTAGAATGTTTGAACATCGGCGCACAATTCATGAACAGCATGACAGATGATAGATTGAGAAATGACACAACGATGACTCTATAACGACAACCTAAATGTCCAAAAAAATCAAAAAGCATAAGAGACAAGCTGAAATGACATAAATCGTCGGCAAGTGACGGAAGAGCATGTAACATATGATAAAATATATTCTGTTAAAGACTCAGTTTTAAATAGATATTGGCATATGTATGAACAAGATAAGGTATTCAAAGCATCCACAGAATTCATGGATGTAAAAGTACATAGTCACATAGTCACAAGTGGATATTCTGTTCCCTGCATGGCTACCCAAAAATTACTCTTTCTTTGGCAGCTTTCACCTATTACTTAGATAGTTAAATCCAGCAGGTTGGTGAGTGGTGGATCACTTTGTGGCACCCGAAGTGCTACATGTGGCGTGCATGCGTTCATCTGCGTGTACATACGTTGGACAGGTTTGGGATGTGAGTTATCTATTTGTTCATTTTTAATATACTATTAATTGTTCAAGAGAGACCCAAATGTTTAGGTCTGGAGCCGACTAGGAGATTCTGCAGGCTGTGCAGTGTATATCTCGTCCTTGAACCTCGCTGTAGACCTAGCTCAATGATGATGGGGAAATTGAGATGTAGAGTAGTGTAAGGAGTAGTATTTGAATGTATTTGAATGTTCTTGAGCAATTAGTAGGATGCTGGCGGCTCGACAGAGAGAGAGGACGCTGGCGGCTTGGCCGAGGGTTTTGCTGTTCCAGGATCTCTGCGACTTGGCCAATGCCCAGTTTAGCCCTAGATATCCTGACGACTTGACATATTTGACATGGTCAGATGATGTCAGATTGGTGTGTGTTGAGATGAGGTTGATATCGACCTCGTGAAGTTGGAATCCCAGGTGATAGCTGAAGGCTCAGATGAGGAGACAGAGGCCCACACGCCATCGGAGTCTGTGAAGGAGACGGAGTTACCTGACAGCAGTGGTTTCTGTGGTCCCTGATGTCCTCATCCCTTGCACATGTGCTCCTGCCTGACTGCTGATAGCATCAGAGCACCGCCATTTCGAGGAAGGTTTGCAAAGTGGCCCCGGTTGGAAGGGGTCTTGTTTCTGGATGTTCGTTTGGATGTCGTTCATCCAGTCTGACAGCTTTTTCTCAGCAGTGAGTCTCAGGTATTACGACTTGCTCAGAGTGAAGCCTTCTGCAAGTGCAGCTGAAGTCAAGAAAGCCTACTACAAGGAGCGGATGTCTGCTGATTTTTTCGCAAGTGATTTTGGCACAGCAAACCTGTCGGCAACCAAATCATGGTAGAGGTGCTTCAGTTGCCATATGTTGCCCCTACAGTGCCCCTACAGTGCCACTACATTGCCACTATATCAAAGCTACAAAGCTGAGGAGGCCCGAGCCTGTCATCCTGACAAGAACCCAGGGGATGCAGAGGCCAATGCAAAGTTTCAGAGGTTGGCCGATGCATACCAGGTGCACAAGCACGGGTCCTTGGGTTATTCTGCAACACACACACACAGATGTCCACTGTACTCGTATATAAAAGTGAGGGTGAACTTACCAACACGTGGTAGTGGGTGAGAAATGGCATGATGTTAGAGTTTTGCGTTTTGGTATGTTGTCTTGAGTCAGGTTTGGAACTCTCAGAAGGGACCTTACTGAGGGGGTCATAACCAAGGGATGAAGCTTAGAAGCAATATATTTAGTACGATAGGAATGGTGGTGTTGGTGAGATAGGATAGTCTTCCGGATTCTCAAACTATATAGCAGAATTATCAAGGAGTTGACGCTGGTGCTGCATGGATGATGGCTGCGAGGGGTTGTTGGGGGCAAGGCTGTGCTGTGTCTGAAAAAAGGCATACTGTAAGTAACCTAGATTGAAGCCTGGGGCGAAGCGCGAAGCCGTCATTAATATGGTGGAAAACTGGTTATCGGCAAGGTTATTTGGAGTTAGGTCCGTGTGTCCTCCACTTTTCTTTGGGGTGCCGAAAAGTCATGTATTATTGAAGCTTGGAGGTAGCGGTTTATGAATGACGTAATAAAGGGTGGTTGCATTGTTGGTCGTATGGTAGACATGGTGGGGCCTTCTTACCATTTTTTGATCTGAAGAAAGGAAGGGTAGCGTCCTGTCCGAAACATTCCGGAACATATGGCAACCCCTGATAGGTTCTGTCCGATCCGGAGTCGAGGCAGGCATCTTGCTGTGCATTCAGCCAGTGTGACAACGCGCGTGCAAGTGGTCCTATATCATGGATTTTTTTCCGACCCAGGAAGAAGTACGATCGGGAAGGCAAGTCTGGCGTTAGCGAGGGCAACGTAACTTGCCTTTCAGGAGAGTATGCCGGTGAACCTGCGACTCACTGCTGAGTGCAACCCCGGCATTCTTTTTTATTACATGGCGCTCAGGTGAAGATGGATCCCTCTGTGTTCTTCAGCCTCCTCTTCGGCTCCGAACGCTTCGAGCCCTGGATAGGGGAGCTGTACCTTGACATATTATCCACGGCGTCAGAATAACACTTGCCGTGGCTGCCCTGGCTGCCCTGGCTCTTATATATGTTCTTGCTGGGTCCGCTAGGTGAGCACTTTGCATTTTGTTCAGCTGCCCAGTTGCCACTTGCCTAGGCAATTGGCCATGCAAACAGGGCAGTTGGCCAAGGCCATGGAGAGAGGTGCCTTGCGGGAAGCAAGAGTCTTTAGTATCAGGTCTTATATCAGTGGACATCTGATTGGGTGCGTCAAAGCCTGTCCCAACTTGGACGTTTCGAACTTGAAGGCTAAGGAGTTTTGGGAGCTTGAAGGCTAAGCACTATAGGTCCAGTTGCACCGTGAGCCAAGCCCTCCCTGTCAGGCGGCCTCGACCAAGGGGCAGAGTCTTTGGAACAAGAGGTTCCTCGTCTGCAGGGCATTTCAGACACACACACACACATGTTTCTTTGTATCAATGTGGGCACCCGAAGGTCATGTGACACGTAGAATTTTTGGGGCTGGACTGTTTGGTTCACTGCCTTTTTGCAACGTGGTGCACTTTTGGAAGTGAAGGTGATGAGTGACAACAGCAAAGTCTTGAAGCAACGGCAATTGCATCGAGAGGCCACTCAGCGCAAATAGAAACTCATAATGTTACATCGACAATAGTAAAGGGCCCCCCTATTTGGCCCCCCTATTTTCTTTTTTTAGGGGGGGTCTGCTTTGCAATAGTAAATCGAAAATCTCAACTCTTACCCAAGGCTTCTGTAAGGTTTTGACAAATCCTCTCTTTTCTGATAGGCTCTGATGGGATCTTCATTGGATTCTGATTGAGAACCTCTGTTTTCTGATAGGCTTTGGTGAGAATCACCATTAAAAACCATTCAGCCACAATGAAAAAACATTAAGGAAGGAGGGAAAAAATACAGCTGAGCCAGAAAGGTTGTTTCTTATTGCAAGTGCTAATTCCCAATTTTTAATTGCAAATGCAAGGACCTGCAAGGGGGTACCCTTTGTGGACATGTTTTTTGCATTTTTTAAAAGGATTTTGATAAAGAAAACATTTTTTTTGAACAAGGTAAAGTTTTTGATTTGGTAAGGGTTTGCTTTGTTTTTTGCTTTTGAAAAGCATGCAATCACAATTTAAAACCATTTAACCACAATTAAAAACACTAAGGAAGAAGGGAAAAAATACAGCTGAGCCAGAAAGGTTGTTTCTTATTGCAAGTGCTAATTCCAATTTTTAATTGCAAATGCAAGGACCTGCAAGGGGGTACCCTTTGTGGACATGTTTTTTGCAATTTTTTAAAAGGGTTTTAATAAAGAAGACAATTTTTTAAAAGGGTTTTAATAAAGAAGACAACTCTTTTGAACAAGGTAAAGTTTTTGATTTGGTAAAGGTTTGCTTTGTTTTTTGCTTTTGAAAAGCATGCAATCACAATTTAAAACCATTTAACCACAATTAAAAACACTAAGGAAGAAGGGAAAAAATACAGCTGAACTGTAACTGGTTCTGAGCTTTTTTCCTGCATCCATACTAAATCTCAATTAGCCCCTTTACAATTTAGTATTGGAAAATCTGATAATTGGGGAATTTTCTGAAAATTATTTGTAGCTATTGCGAATGAACTATTGCAGATGCTCTGGACCAAGGTTGATGTTTGTAATTTAATATCAATAAGGCCTAATTTAAAATCAATAGGGGCTGAAAAATCAGATTCTGAAAATTATTTGTAGCTATTGCACGCGCTTTACTATTGTCCATCCAACATTAGAGATTGGAGACTGTTATGCGATGGTACGTTTGCCTGGACTCGAACCTAAATGTCATCATTCTACAATCTGATTTGTCGGACAATGTCAGACAGCTCAAAGTAAAAGCGTTGTGAATTTGGCCCCAGTTTGACAATGGCCCAATTATGCCCACTATTCTGTGGCAGGTGCACTGCGCAGTTCACCTGCGGGAGTTCATGAACGACATTGTGTACAGGCAGCAGCTGCAGTGTTAAACGGGGACGCTTCCGCGACACAAAAGTGTCGCCGTTGGTCAAAGATTGAGTTGCGGCTTGAGACTAGCTTCATGCAATATTATTGCAACAGATTGCGACTATAGTAAGATCTGAACAGTTTCAGTCTTGTCATGTTACAGCAGGTCTCAATGCATACCTTTAAGCTACTTTAAGATCCTTAAAGGGGATCTTGGTGCCGAGTGACCCAAAGCAAAAGAAGTCACTAAAGCACTTGCAGGCGGGATGAATCGCAGTTTGAGCAGCTGCTTGGCCAAATAGAAATGCGATGAAGTCGACGATCGCATCCGATCGAAACAAGGGATGATTGTCAATGCGTATCAGTTTAAGGGGAGTAGCTTCGTCAAGCTGCTGGGAAAATACAAGTGAAGAATAGTGAAGAATCCCAATGGATATGGGGAGATTTGGGAGATGAATGCTCTAAAGTTTCTAAAGAGGAGAACTTGCCGCACTGGAACTGATCGCAGCTGCGCTAGCTGAGGAGAGCTCGTTTGGAGGCTGCAGACTTGGCTCAGTGCCAATTTGGCGGCTTGGCATTCTGACAGTCATGAAAGATCATTAAAGTTGTTGGGATGGCCACACGATATTTTAATCGGACTTGTCAGATCTTGTCAGAAAGGCTTGTTGGCATCAGAATGGTTTCTGAACATTCAACTCCAACACAGACAGTTGATAGGATGGAAATGCAAAAATCGAACACCCAGCACTTGCTGGTTTACTTGGCGTGTTGAAAGCTTTCCTTGCTTTCCTTGAAATTGGATAAACTTGGCCCGTCGAAACTCGTCAAAACTCGTCAAAACTCCAGGTCCAGAGCTTTTAGCAGCGCTTGGCGAGCGACCTGGCTATCCTGGCTATCGTGGTAGGGCCAAATCAAAAGCCCAACATTGGCCAACATTGGAGGCCACATTGGCAAACTTTGGAAAGGTGGAAATCAGCTGCAGCACAGCAGCACAGCGGCAAAGGTCACAGACATGTATATAATATAGCCAAAGTTACAGCTTCCGTGATTAACCTTCATTTATATTCTGCTAAGAAAAGAGGGTTTGACAAATTTGAGGGGGCTAAGCAGCTAAGATATGCTAAGACGACGAATCCATTCTGAGGATGTACAAGCTGCGAGCAGAAATCTATTTGGCCGACGAGTTGGTTGGCCGTTTCTCCCTTACCAAGCAAATGGCAGCAAACTCAGTGGACCTCATGTGATGCAGCAAACGGTTGAGGCTTGCATTGCGCTTTGACCTGCTCTGTCTCAAATGGGCTTGGTATCAAATCAATTCAAATCACAGATATTTACAGAGGTTCAGATTTCAGTTTTCTTTTGGATGAGGGTAAGTGACGATGTACATCCCTGCTCGAATGCCGCTGGCCAGAATTGATGAGCTCGCTACCGCAGTTCATGCACCGCATCTAAGGTCTCCATGAAGCACTCGGGTCCCTCGGTTTGATCCGTTTGATTTTTTTGCTTCTAAGTTGTCACAGTAAGTTGTCACAGTAAGTTGTCACATAGTCCGTTGCCAGGGTGAAGTCGTTGGTGTTCTTTTTGTGATGCCCCTTTTGAATCTCCTGGGCAGATCTTCGCAATATCATTATTGAGCATTTCAGGCTCAGTATAGAGTTTATACAATCTTATGGAAAAAAGCAAAGTAAATTCATATACAACAATATATGGCGCTTCTGCCTGCCTGTTTCGTGCCTCCTCACCATGAGGGACCGTGCTGGTGGTGCCAGAGAGAGAGAGAGAGAGAGAGAGCGAGAGAGCGCGAGCGAGGGAGGGAGGGAGGGAGGGAGGGAGGGGGAAGATACATGGCAAGATAAAAATAAGATACATATGTAGATTACGGAAGCACCCTCTTCCCCGCATTGACCTGAACATGAGAGTCAAAGGCAAGACAATGCAGCACAAGCTCAACTTGTATTCGATCCTTGGCGAAACCTTGGCTGCTTGTTCACATGCCTTAGGTGACTGTGTATTTTCCAGCTCACCAACAATTTCTATAGGTTTGGTTCTTCCTATATAAATCATTATATATAGAGTCATTTCCTATTTTCGAAACTTCCGCCCCGGCGTGTGCCACTGTGTTATAATATACTTACCATTGCGCTTGCAGGGCTTCAGGAGAGTAAAAGGCACCAGTACCAGATTTTTCCACACCAAATTATCAACATTCACATGTCCAACAGAAAGGCAGATGGCAACTCGAGCCTGAGGAATGGAGTCAACAGCCTCTTGCAAGTGAAACGGGTGCATGATGTCTCCAAAGCATCGACACCGTCGGCCCCTTCGGCCCCTTCAGCCCCTTCAGCTCAGGCATGAATTGTCGCTGGTTGGACCAATGAACTTCATGTTTTCCACGTGATACACACGATTGAGCACGTCTCCGAGAAGCCAGAACATTGGAACACATTGGAACACATTGGAACACATTGGAACACATTGGAACACCATTTTTTCAACAGATTGGTGTTTTGATGTGTTTTGGTAGAGGCGGTTTTTAGATCTGCTTTTAGTTGGTTTTCCTTTGCCACCAGGAAGGTGCTGAGACTCCTGATGCTAGTGCAGAGGAAAAGGCGACTCCGAGGGCTGAAACAGACCCAAATCCCAAGTAAGCTTAGGAACCGCTGGTGCAACTCTTATTTATTCTTATTTCATATGATGCCGCGTTAGCCCAGCAGCTGGAAACGAAGCCCTGGAAACGAAGCATCTCCAATTTTATCCCTGTTCCATTCTCGTCATCTGCGGGTGTCGGCAAGCCGGGCCCATGCCAGATGGAGCAAGCGCTTGAAGAGGCCTTGCCGCTTTTTCTTCAGACTGCTTGGGTTCCTCGGACATTTTGAGCCTGTAGTCATGCAAAAGTCCGGGCTTGGTAGGTACAATAAGGCAGGGAAAGACTGCAAGTTACTGCAAGTCATTGCGTTTCTGATGAGGTCTTGAACTAACCGATAATTTTTGCGATTTTGAACTGATGGTTTCTTGATGTTTCTTGATGTTTCTTGGTGAAATGTGGGGTAATTGCTGCTAGTCCTGGGGTGTACTGTATAGTTTATTACGCAAAGCTGGACATCAATTATAGACGAATTATTCAAAAACAGGTGTTCATCGTTGCAGATTCGATGATTTCGAAGCTCTGTTTGGAGCTGCTTGTAGCCTCTCTTAGGTTGAAAGCCTTCACGTCCTCATGGTGTGGATGTAATACATATGTATGTATGTATGAATGAATTGAATTGAATTGAATTGAATTGAATCGAATGAACGAATGAACGAATGAACGAATGAATGATGGGATGTCCTCATCTGAGGCCGCGGTGGTGACTGACATAGATTCAACCATGAAAGAGGTAGGCAGAAAGCTGCTGAAGGACTGACTGGTCACACTCTGCTGAGTGCTGCTGTCGTGTGCCTTGTTGGAAGTTGTTCCTTCGATTCCTTCGATTCCTTCGACAGGACAAGTCGGTGCCATGGCAGATCCGAGTGCGCCGGTCACAGGCCTTGCAGCGCTTGGGTGAGATCTTCTTCGAGGAGACTCGACCTGGCAGTGCTAAGTGTGCGAAGTTGACCGAGGTCAAAGACGGAAGGCCCAGTATGGCCTAGTCGTGTTATGTAATATTCAGTAGCACATACACATGACACATGCATAGTGTGGACACTTCCTGACAAATACCATTCCACAGAGATGCTACACACTAAGATCACTAAGCAGTTGAGTTCAGTTAATTTTCGATTTTGTGTCTTCCTGTTGGGGCGCTAATATTTCCCGCGAGGAGGGCACCAAGGCACTGGCCTCCGGAGAATCTGCCAAGACCATGACATCAGAGGTGGCAAAGGCAGGTTGCACCAACCGCTCTAAAGACATATATATACATGAAATGAATTGAAAATCATGTGATCATATAGATAAATTAAAAAAATAAACAAATAAACAAATAAATGAATAAAGGAATAAAGGATTAAATGAATAAATGAATAAATGAATACATGAATAAATGAACAAATGAACAAATGAATAAATGAATAACTGAATAAATGAATAAATGAATAAATGAATAAATGAATGAATGAATACATGAATAAATGAACAAATGAATAAATGAATAAATGAATAAATGAATACATGAATAAATGAATAAATGAATAAATGAGTACATGAATAAATGAATAAATGAATAAATGAATAAATGAATAAATGAATAAATGAATAAATGAATAAATGAATAAATGAATAAATGAATAAATGAATAAATGAATAAATGAATACATACATACATACATACATACATAATACATAATACATACATACATACATACATACATACATACATACATACATCCGTCCATCCGTCCATCCATCCATGCATGCATGCATGCATACATACATACATACATACATATATGTTACATACATACATATGTTACATACATACATATGTTACATACATGCATATGTTACATACATACATATGTTACATTCATTCATTCATTCATTCATGCATTCATTCATTCATTCATTCATTCATTATTCATTCATTCATTCATTCATACATACATACATACATACATACATACATACATACACACACACATACACACATACACACGTACACACATACACGCGTATTGTTTGGACGCAATTCCTGGAAGATTGAATTGCAACAAATGCAAACTACTTTCTTCGAGTGATCCCCACCCTGACATATAATTCTGACATAGTTTCTGACATACCATTTGGACGTATATATTGGATATATGATATATATATATATTCTGACATTCTATCTGACATTCTTTCTGGCATATACTCTGACACTCTTTCTGGCATTCCATTTGGCATCTGTTCTGGCATACTTTCTGGTGTATATGCTGACATTCTTTCTGGCATTTTATCTGGCATCTATTCTGAAACGCTTTCTGGCAAATATTCTGGCATTATATCTTGCATTCTAGCTGACATACTATTCTGGCATTCTACCCGGCATTTATTCTAACATTGTACTGTATTCTGCCATTCTATCTGACATTCTATTTTGGCATTCTATCTGGCATTTATTCTAACATTGTACTGTATTCTGCCATTCTATCTGACATTCTATTTTGGCATTCTATCTGGCATTTATTCTAACATTGTACTGTATTCTGCCATTCTATCTGACATTCTATTTTGGCATTCTATCTGGCATTTATTCTAACATTGTACTGTATTCTGCCATTCTATCTGACATTCTATTTTGGCATTCTATCTGGCATTTATTCTGACATTGTACTGTATTCTGCCATTCTATCTGACATTCTATTTTGGCATTCTATCTGGCATTTATTCTAACATTGTACTGTATTCTGCCATTCTATCTGACATTCTATTTTGGCATTCTATCTGGCATTTATTCTGACATTGTACTGTATTCTGCCATTCTATCTGACATTCTATTTTGGCATTCTATCTGGCATTTATTCTAACATTGTACTGTATTCTGCCATTCTATCTGACATTCTATTTTGGCATTCTATCTGGCATTTATTCTGACATTGTACTGTATTCTGCCATTCTATCTGACATTCTATTTTGGCATTCTATCTGGCATTTATTCTAACATTGTACTGTATTCTGCCATTCTATCTGACATTCTATTTTGGCATTCTATCTGGCATTTATTCTGACATTGTACTGTATTCTGCCATTCTATCTGACATTCTATTTTGGCATTCTATCTGGCATTTATTCTGACATTCTCTCTGGCATGGGCACTGCTCACTGCGATCTGGAGTCGCGGTTGAGGTCCGGCAGTGTCCACCGAGATCTGCCGCTTGCAGTTGTGATCCTAGGCTGCCGGAGGAGACGGAAGAAGGAAGAAGGAAGAAAGAAGGAGAAGGGAACCCTGTCAAAATCTAGAGAACCTCACCTGGCAGGTGGGGAAAAAAAGAGAGCCAGTGTGAGGGCCCATTGCGTAGGAACTCAAGAGAACATATTCACCTTGTCCTTGCATTGTCTTCTCACGTTGACTCGCGCCAGGCCGTATTGCAAGAAGCGTTGATGGCTTCAGTGAAAGGGAAGTGATGCGATTCGATGCATTTTAAGCCAAACTAGTATCTGGCTCACACGGCCGGTGAGATTTAAACAACATTCACACCTTTTTGCCTCATTGTTTCTCCGTATGGCCAAGAAATTCATCCGGCACCATCGTTTTCCACAGCAGTTATCATCCAGAAGATGCGATGTAGACTGCTCATCCTGAAATTGTTGGAGCGCACGTGCATACGAATTACACACGCATTGTGCATCACTTAACCAGACTTGACAAAGCCTGATGCCACCTGTAGATACCACCTCAAGATACCTCGACTTACTGATATTACTCTGAATACCTCTACTGTAGATACTGGATGCCACCACTGCGACTGGAGCACATGGCCTTCATATTTGCTTCAGGCAAGCCCTTGCAAGCCTTCTTACATTGTCATACGAGTTCATGGGCCGCGACTGGCTATGACGTGTCTAGCATACAGGCAGCACTGATTAGGAAAAGACAATGAAAACTACATATTAACGCGGCATGACATGGCCATCCTGATTTTGCATGAATTTTGCTCATGAAATTTCGAGACATTCGTGTGCAGCTCCAACAGTCCGCAGAGCTGCGGGTACAGCCAGGCCGCTGCATTCTGCGATGGAGGATAACACTTTTAATCACTTTTCAAGAATCGGAATCAGAAAAACGATCCCATCCCACGCACGGACACAACATAGTGGCGCATCCCGGCACCATGCCCATCTACAAAACTGCAACACCATTTGTTGAAGTTGTTTGCTTGTTTGATTGTTTGTTGGACAGCTTGTTCGTCTTGAGTTATTCTGTGATTCGTGTGTCGTCCTCCTCATTGCCTGGGGCGATTGATCTTAGCCTTGGAATGTGCTCTACCACAGGGCCAAGTGCTCATCAGTGAGAACCATGACGTTTTGCTCTTCTGCAGTGAAACACTGATTCAGCAAGGAAAAATGCGCACAATTGTAACGATCTGAAGTTGTCTGTGGCACAGCAAGTTTGTTATAGTTTGTTTGTCGATGTGTTCAGACATGTTCAGACCACTTCAAAACTGTCCTCTTTCCTGTCTTTCTGACTCCCTCTCTCTTTGTGATCGGCCCCCCCAGTCCATGTTGCGTATTGATCTCAGTACATCATAGTACATCTCAGTCGGCTGTAAAGCACAACGAGGCTTTCGGGAGCCGTAACTTCCAAGGTGCGACAGTGTGGGCCCCAGAAAGGAGAGGGTTGACAGGGTGCACACTCATCCGGACACTGTTGGATTTGCTTTGGGATTAGTAACCAATGTTTCAGCAATGCACAAAGACTCCGGATGACTTGAGGCATCAAGAGTACTAGCTGCTACTAGCTAGAGAGAGAGAGAGAGCGAGAGAGAGAGAGCGAGAGAGAGAGCGAGAGAGAGAGAGAGAGAGCGGAGGGGGAAGAGGGCAGGGACAGAGAGAGGAGGTACCGGCACAGTAGATGAAGGGAAGAGGGAAGTTGTTTGCACATTTCAAAACTGCATCAGGTACTTTGGAGGTGCTGTTGTGCCATCTGAATCCATCTTCCAAGTCTTGAGCTGAGCCAAGGAGTGGTACTCCGAAGCCTTGGAGACTATGCAGGATCCTGCAGGTCTCTCAGGTTTACTGCGTGTTTCGGAGAAATGGCACGACCAATGCCTTACCTTAGTCTCGGAAGAAGCCCGGACTATGCTCATTTTGCATCCTTTAGACATGATTCAGGTTTATTGCAGAGAATCTGCTGGGATTTCGTTCGGGCATTGGTGTTGAGGTGGTTCTTTCGAACCGCTCTGCCACTTACGCTATGCGCCAGCGCTTTGATAAGGCCCACACGGGGGGTGACAAGGCAGCGCATTTTCGCCTATGGCTATATTCGGACCGGACAAGACTCTTGAATTCACGTAAGGTACCAAAAAAGTTACTTGCTCACCCGCAATGCTTCCCTGACAAAGTGTGGCTCTGATCCCTGGCTTTTAGATCTTTTAGCGGCTCCTGTTCATTTTGCATTTGTTCCGAAAACTTGACGGATTTGGCATATCTGTGATTGCTACGCAGGATTTTTTTACCTTTCAAGCTGCACTTATGAGGAGAGAATTCAGGCAAAAAACGCAAATGGTTGTGAATGTCATGAGATCTTAGACAGCCATAGACGGCCTATCGTAGCCAAACCTCAAATTTCGAGTATTCGCTTGGTTGTTCTTGGCTGTGTGGCATTGTATGAGTCACAGAAATGGTCTTGCAAGCCTTGGAGGTAGCCCATCTTTCTCAAGAATCTAAACTGGTCATATTCTAGCCCTGCCTGTGAGAAAGCAGTCCGGACATCATCTGACATTGGAAATGCAGTGGCAGCCCTGAATATGTACGCCTTGCGCTTTCCATTCGATAGCTTCTTGTATGAAGTGGTCTTCGCATTGCGTGTGCCATGCTGGCAGCTGATTCGACAGCCAAGGCATTTCTGGCAGAGAGTTAGTCAGGAAAAGGAACTGATTAGAAAAAGAGAGAGAGAGAGAGAGAGAAAAGAGGATCGTAGAATTGACATGAATCGACATTCAGAGGTTGCAGACATCAACTGAAGCATCAACTGAAGCCATCCTGGACAATCAGCAAACCAACAGTCTTTTGATATCTTTTGATCACTTGCACGCAAGCAGCTTTGCCACTGACGGTCGAGCTACAATGTTTTGCATATCACATGTCTTCTAAGATTCGCAAGTCCAGTGTGGAGGTCAGTACGTTGAAGCGAGGTACCATGGCAGTTCAGGAACTTGAACCGAGGTAAATCCAAGTTACAGTTTCGCCAAGCTGCACGCGCACACACACAGACACATATACATAATACTCTATTACTATATGCATAATACTATATACATAATACTATATACATGATACTATATACATAATTTATTTACATAATGTTAACATACATACTACTACATACACAATACTACATACATACTACTACATACATAATACTATATACATAATACTATATACATGATACTATATACATAATTTATTTACATAATGCTAACATGCATAATACTAACGTACATAATACTAACATACATGATACTAACATTACATACATAATGCTAACATACATACATACCTACATTCCTACATACATACATACATACATACATACATACATACATACATACATACATACGTACATACATACATACATACAAACACACACACACAGACATACATACATACATACATACATACATACATACATACATACATACATACATACATACATACATACATACATACATACATACATACATACATACATACACACACACGTATATATATATATATACACATAGTTTATAGTTGTAGGATGTTGGGCAGAAGTGCAACATGGAGCGCCTATCTATGTAATCGCCAGCACTTGTTGCTGCTTTCCAGCGTCGTGCCAGGAGTAAAAAGGTGGCCAAAGGTGGCCATGAAAAGCAATCCCTGCGCCGACTGCGCTGAGCTTCGGTGCCCTGGAAACGTGTTTCACATCACCGCTCATTATGCTTTAGCATTCATGTTACTCGACGCTCATATTCGGGGACTGTATCATAATATATCATACTACTGTATATCAGTTGGTGATTGGTATTGCACATAGTCCTCGGCCATACATATGTCTATCCATATTGTCTTAAGTCTTCCAATGTGTAAAGTGTGTAAACTTAGTAAGATGGTGACAGCTGTGTGCCCATGCGCGCCACAGCATTTGCGCATGCAAGGTATCCCAGTGAAGCCAACTTGGTAGATAACCTATGCGAGCGATACCATAGAGGTGCAAGATGTCAGTTGTTATCTAGGCAGCTGGAAGTCTTTGCAATTCCTTCTTTGCGCAAATACCTGAGAACCACTAGAGAGAGAGAGAGAGAGAGGGAGAATCTCAAACGATTCTTTTGTTCTTGATGCAAAGGAGTTGCGTTCTTTTTTTTTTGATTCCATCATGGCATGTCGCAGGTTTGATCTACACAAATGTCTCGCATGTGCTTTTGGCGGTCAATCCACACCGGCACTTAGAGCACCTCTACGGAGCAGCTGTGATGCAGCGCCTCTCCTGCACATTCGCGGAGGGAGTTGCATGCTCGAAGCAAAAACTGGAATAGATCTGTAAAGACAGAAGCATAATGAACACATAAATAACATACAAATAGAGTAGATAGCTATACAAATAGAGTAGATAGCTAAATGAATAGATACACACGCACACACTTATATACGTATAGGAACCGAAGTTAATACGAATGAAATCGAATGAATGTGGCTAAATCTGAAAACATAAGTATTAAAAAATATTTGTAGCTATCAACAAATCAGTCAAGTAAATAAACAAGAAAATAATTCAATTAAAAAAAATAAGTGTGTTAAGTAAAAAAAGTAAGTAACTAGATAAGCAGCTGATAAGCACATAAAGAAGCAAATACATTAGTAAATCAAAAAGTAAATAAGTAAGCACATAAATAAGTCAATCAAAAAACAAATAAATCAGCCACTAAATAAGTAAATAAGCACGCATACAATAATAGTCAATTAGATCAATAAATCATTACATGGATACATGGATTAATTAAATGCATAGATAGATGATGGATAAATGAAGAAGAACTAGATGAACACAAATATGATACCAACTGGATAAATGGTACATGCATATATTACACACACTGGGCCAGTCTTACCTGTTGAGATGGTGATGGAGAGAAAGATAAACACACACACACACATACACACACACACGCGCGCGCGCGCATCACAATGTGCACGCGGGAAGTCGACACGGATGAGTTGCTTAAATAATTAAATCCAGCCGAAACGCCGAAACACTACTGCCTGAGGCAGCCTGCTGCAGTCCGCGGACCGCATCCGTACAGCTTGGCTCAGGTGGCCTTAATGCGATTGAAACAGGGGCCGCAGGCGAGACTGAGACTGAAGTTCTTGGATGTTCTTGGATGTTCTAGCTTATTCACCAAAAAATCTGCATGCTTGTGAACCTTTTCCAGTTTGTGACCAAAATGGCATGAACCGAGTGTGTGGGGTGGAGACGGCTGCTTTCCGGTTGGATCCTTGATCCCATTTTTGGCACTTTGTGAGGCAATAGTAGTCTCAGGAGAGAGTGGAGCTGGAAAGACCGAGACGGCCAAGATCATTATGCGTCAATCGAGCAATGTGTGGGGTACACCAGGGTACACTATGCTCAGTGCATGCTAATCTGAGTGCTCACTACAGTAGGTGCTGTGGCAAAGTGTTTACATGTTGGCGATTGTGGACTGTTCCTTTTGAAAAGGGCAGCGTGTGACGGGTGGTATGTCAAAGTATGTCAGAGAGTACTAGAGGGTTGCTGGCAATCAATGTGCCTCCCATTTCTCACGAGCAATGCGTTCGCTTGGCTGAGGCTGTTTAGGACGAAGACCACATTAGAGCCATTTAGACTGGCCGTGTTTCAGGTGTCTTAGATAAGCCTCGGGTGTTCTCATTTTCGATTGGAGCCTCCAGAGTCCAGATTTTATACCTCATATACCGTCATCTACCATGTGTTTTTGGCAGGGGCTCAGAATCCATATCGCACAGACAACACTCATAACACGCGTGTTTCAAGTTTCAGTGAGTGCCATGTGCAGTTCATTTGAGGCTTTTTGGAAACCCATTGCACGTTTGGCACCTCGGGATTGGAAGAGCGTGTGCTTGCGATGAGCAGGGCCTTTTGCCTGCAGCACATTTTCATTTTTGAGCATTCGGGAACGGTTTTGCTCTGTTTTGCTCATGTTGTCACTTCTCCTCCCTCTCTATCTTTTCTTCTCTCTCTCTCTCTATCTGTCTGTCTCTCTCTCTCTCTTTTCAGTCTGGGCTTGCAACCGTTCAAGGCTTGTACACGACCGAGACTTCATCTCATAGGTTATAGACCTCTCTTGATCTTGCATGCATTGCTGTCATGAAGCTCAGTAGGCTTGCCAGCTTGGCCTCTATTTGTTTTCGGCGAGGTCTTGGAATCCTTGGGCCATGCAGAAACACGGCAGAATCCAACCTCCTCACGCTTTGGAAAGTTCCTGCGTCTTCAGATCGGCAGGCAAGCAATGAACACGCCAATAGAGATCAAAATGATCACTGTAGGATACTTTCCTGTTTTGCTGGGCTTTGGCGTCATACCGTTGGCGTGGCAGCTTTTGGTTGCCATAGCTGATTTTCTCCTCCGCCAGGGGCGGCCTGTCTCCGAAGATAGCTACATACCTGTTGGAAGCCAGCCGCATGGTTTCGAACTCCTCAAATTTTCACATCTTCTACGAGCTGCTGGCTGGAGGACTGCGTATGGCCCAGGGCGCAAGAGGTTTGATGATGCTTGTTGTGCACTTGACTTCCCTGACAATGTGTCCGAGCGAACTCCACTACTACAGCCTTGTGAGGGACGTGCTGTTGACAGTAGGAATAGCACCTGTGTTCCTGACTGAGCACTCAGTATTTGAGGCAGACCTTGCAAAGTAAGTACCTTGCATGGACCTGTGGTTAGCTGGTGGTTCAATAATTTCATGAAGGTTCTGCTGTCAGGAGATTTGGAGAAGTGGGACTTGCTGGATGTGGCCATTCAACAGCAAAATTCTTTGGAGCGATTCAAGCATGGTCATGCGGAGCTCGCAGAAGCCATGAAGAGGTTGAGCTTGGGCCACTTCTTCCAGCCGATGCTGAAGGCACGGTGGCAATACAGTACTCTGCATGGTAATTCTGCCATCCTGCACTGCAGATAAAATCGCCTCAACTTTTGAGCAAGGTAGTCTGTTTGCCCATGAACAAAGCATATTGTTTGCAGATATATGCAATGGATGTATCACTATATCAATATGATACCGCGCTTTCAATGTTCAACAACTTTCCACTTCATGACTATGAATTTGTGGTTCCTGCTGCGTTTGTGACAAGCCAAGGTCATCGCTGGCATTACGCACATCCTTTCGCACTTGCGTGAGCGACAAGGAAAGCCAGCAGCGGGTGCTGCAGAAACGCGGCTGGAGCGCGCCTGCGACCTCCTAGGCCAAGACACGGAACAAAGACATAAAGGACAAATCAGGATAGATAGACATAATATTACGTGACATTTCATTCACTTTTTTACAAGCTTTCTGCTGTGTGTCTTCTGTTGGGGCTTTGGGTGTCGATGTTGGCAGCAAGCCAGCTTACAGAAGGGGTTCCATGCCGGGAGGCCTTCAGATGCCAAACCTCAAAACCATCCTCACGACGAAGCAGCTCAGTGCGCCTAGGCTCTTGACTGTAACTTTGAAACTGCTCCAGGCCAGCCGATGCTCTTGTACCGTCTTTTACCTTGTGCTGTAAGAGCAGCCTCACATGTTCCATTCTGCGCTGGTTGGGAGCATTTTTCGCGCTGAGTCCACATAAGTGCTATCAAACCAGAGATGGATGGCATCGTTTAGTGTATGGAAGCTGATTGGGAGCTTTTCAAGACTTGGATGCACACGTGACGCAGCCTTTTAGAATGAGGTGCCCAAAGGCGAACCTATTTTGATGGAGAGGACGGAGGAGCAGTCTCAAGGCTTCGATCAGGGCCAATGTCTTTTCCATATCTGTGGAGATTGTGATATTGTAGTTGGAGGACTTAGTCAATGAAAACAAGACGTTCTTACTGCATCCCAGCCACCAGAGGATTTTGAGGACAGGCGTTCCAAACCCAACAATCCCGAAGATAGAGCCTTTGCCAGAAAACGGTTGCTTTTCATTTTCAACTTCTGTAGTCTCGACTCCACTGCGGACTGGCTTCATTCGAGGCGTTAGTGACAAAGGGGTCCTTTGTCTCAGGCATTCTTCGGAGCCTAGTGGTGACCATCTACCGCAAGCTATTTGAAAGCATCGTGGATGAAATGAACCAGACCCTGGAAGTTGGCACCAGCGCTTCAGACGAGCTTGGCATCCTGGACATGTATGGCTTCGAAAGTCTGGAAACAAATGGATTAGCTCAGATCCCGAGCTGCAGAGAGTGAGACGGTTTGACTTTAAGACTTTAGGATACTTTAGGCACTTTAGGCATCATACCCTCCAGAGCACAAAGGGAGCTGTAGGTCCTGCAGGGGCGAGGAACTGCGCCCTGCTGCAAGGATCACTACCCAGCTACCAAGGCTCTTGATCAACTACACCAATGAGCGACTACAGCTCCTTTTTTGCGAGCAGGTGTTGATGAAGGAACAGCAGGTCTACTTTTCAGAGGGTTTGCTGAATGAGGAAGTGGCAGTGCCACAGGAAGGATATGGGGCTACTTGGCTCACAGAGATCACAGAGACAGGATAGTGCCCAGGGAGTCTTGAGTGTGTGTATGTTTGTGAGTGACACAATGGGAAGTTGTAGGAATTGGTCATTCATGATGTAAAATGTCAACATATTAAATATGTGTAACGATCAAATTTGCTCATGTTCACACGGAACCCATGCCCTAATCTCGCACAGGTCTCACAGACCCCACCACTTTGTTTTGCAGTTGTCAGCTGCAACGTGCTGATTGGCTCAGACGGTCTCCGGCCGTCCCACTATGGGATGTGAGCCGTTGTTTTGCACATTTTGCACACATATGATTAGATTACAGTATCATATGATACTTCATGATACTTCTTTGACAGCCAAGGGAACGGCAATGCGGCAATGCCCAATGCAACCCAGGTCCTGCAGTCGTTAGATGGAGTCCTTGATTTGCTGGACGATTGGACCTTAACACGTATGCGAGCAGGAGGCAACCAGTGTGCTGCTGTGATTTGTTGTGCATGTGGTAGGTTAGGACAACGAGGTGTTCCAACTTCGGGGAGACTAGAGGCTTTTGTAGATGCCCATGCCTGGCCAATCCTAGACCATCCTAGATCATTTTGAGCGGTCTCTGTCCGTGATGCTCCAGGCAAATTCTCAGATGGTGCTTTTGCTGATGCAGCCCGGAAGGCGAAGGGTTCCTCTGCAAAAGTGCTGCGGCCAGCGGTGGCACCGGGCTTTGCTGTGAGACATTTTGCTGGGGAGGCAGGGCATTTTCAAAAGAGCAGCTTTTGGGATTCTGACGATTCTGTGTCGGAGAATTTGGCCATTTCTCAGAGGTGTTTCACAGGTTCCAACCGTTCCGGGCAATTCCCTTCACCTCTCAGAATCTTTCATGATCTCTGCTTTTGGAGTCCTTGGAGGTGGTGTACCGCTGCCATGGCTGGTTGGACTCCAATGATGCCAAGCCATTGCCAGAGGTGCTAGCTTTGCTGGAAGGCATCGATGCCTGGCCTCTGCAGAAATTGGAACTACCTCGGAGGAGATGAGACCGCCATGTTGGAAATCTGAAGCATTTGAGACGAGGTAACCCAAGAAGGAAGGAAGATGAATGAAGCATGAAGACATCAAGGTATTTCCAACATATTCTAAGACATTGTGAGGAACAAGCCTCCGTAGAATGACATACAACCAGACAGTACCTGTCAGACAATTTGACAAGACAAATCGAGATGCAGAGATGCATTTTCTTTGAAGGAACACCTACAGCACCCTACCGGAGAGGGGGATAGATAGAGAGAGAGAGAGAGACCCTACTAGATATTCAGCAGCCGATGCTGACATTCAGCTCATTATATTCTTGACTGTGTGGCAGATTTGGCGTGCTGCCTTGGAAGAGGAGTCTGAGACGAGAAAGTAGCAAGGAACCACTGAAACCACTAAGAGTATAGAGGGGGAGGAGGATCATACAACAATGAAGTAGACTTGGGTAAATTTCTTTAAATTTCACGGTTTACCCTTTTTCGCTTCTGGGCTTTCCACATGAAATCTTGAACAGAACTAATGTCGTTTGAGTGTTTTAAGCTTTAAGTTATAAGATGAGTTTAAAGTTCAACATCAATCACAGGTATATTATGTTGGTTGCATGCCATGATTTTGCAGGAGCCAATCAGTACCTTGCCTGCAGAATCCTGTGCAGATCACCATTATCCAATGCAACGTTACGGTTCTTGGTGGAGCTCGCAGTTGCGGGCGGATAATCTTGGATAGATGCTGTAGCTATTGTACCGAACCCGATGTGTTTGAGAAGTTGCGTCTCTTTCACTGCAAACTGATCGCGATAGCGAACTTCCCAGCGGTAACCTCAAACGTGTTTCATTGCATTTTGCATCATTTTTCTATATATATATGAATATATGTTTGCTTCCAAATGCCCCAACTGAGGTAAATAAAAGACATCGAGCGGAGCTCCATTCCTTGCTGGTCAAGCTTAAAGGCATGCATGGCTTGCACTTCATTCGCTGCTTCCGCCCCAACAAGGATGGGTTGGCAAGAGGTGTTGCAGCCGATTGAAGTTTCCGGAGCAACAATTATGTTGAATACGGGGCAGGGTCAGTCTTGATCAGATTTGATACCAATATAAAAAGATATAATATGATATAATATGATATAATATGATATGATATAGTATGATATAATATAATGTGATATAGTATAAAAATATTGATTATATATGCATGCATACATACACACACATACATATATACGTATACATATATACGTATACATATGTACGTATACATATATACGTACTGTATATATATGTACGTATATACTGTATATATATACAGTATATATATATACAGTGTGTATATATATATATATACTGTATATATATATATATATACAGTGTATATATATATATGTACGTATGTATGTATGTATGTATGTATATCATAAATTTAGATTTGATGCAGCAAAACCTGAGCTCGTTCAGGAGCAGAACAGTGGCTGGGTCGATCGTAGCTTCTTGGCGAAGCAGTTGCGCGGAAACGGTGTGCCGCAGCTCCTGCAAGTGATGTGCCAAGGGTTTCCACATCGCGTTGCGTTGAAAGAGGTGCGGCGTGAGCACATGTCAGTAGTTGGTAGATTTAGAGGAAGGCAGTTTGCGTAGCAGGTTTAGGTGGTGAATTGTCAGTCGCAGGTGGCAGCATCCTTCGCAGGTTGCATCTTGGAATTTGTGGTGAAATGAGGGGGTTCAAGGGCACGGTTCGGGGCAGACCCAGCCGAATGCTTCATTGAAGCCACAGTAGGGCATCATACTAGCCGAATGCTTCACGCCGTACTTTTTTCATTGGCATCCTCCTAGGCCTGCCTGGCACAGAGGGTTTCAGTGATCGGCTGCTGACAGAGTTGCTGATGCATGCCTTTCAGGTCGGACAGAGCTGAGTCTTGACAAGAGTCTTGCAAGTGTCCAGCTATGTCCAGCTTCTTCAGGACGTTCAAAGATGTAAAGATGTTCAAAGATGTTCAAAACCTGTCTTGGTCAAAGCTTGCAAGGTGCCACGAGCGGAATGGCGCCTGGGAGTATCGCAGCTCTTTCTGAAAGCTGGCCAGCTTGCTTCCTTAGAAGATGCTTGGCTGAGCAGTCACAGTGCAGTCCATTTACTGTATGAGAGGCACCAGTGAGCACCGCATGTCAGGGAAGTGTACGTGGTTTGGTGCCTTGAATAGTGTAATTCAAGCGCGTTGTTATACAGATATGTCATGGCAACCGTTGCGTTGGTACGTGAACTTTTAAGTATGCTGCAAGGTGATGCTAGGTCTAGGTGTTGGTGTATGCAATGGCTCATGATCCGGGAAGTCACATGCAGTGAACAAACATGAAGCTCATGAAGCATTTTGCTGTTCCTGAATTCCGGTCACAGTGTGGGAGTTTATCCGTAAACCAATCACAGGCGAGTTTGATTCTTGGTGGTTCTTTGCTGTAGAGCATTGCAAGGGATGCACAGGCACATTGACAGCAATCCTATTATTTTTTTTCCTTTGGCACCTCTGTTTTGTATTGTTTTGCGTCCTTTTCATTTGAGAAGAGCCACTAGAACAGCTGGGGCTTCTCTCACTCTTCCAAGCCCCTTCATGTTGGTTTTGGCTCAGTTTTGACATGTTTTGAACCCATGCTACAACAAAAACAGTCACAAGACATCCCAAGACTGTTTGCTGGATTGGGCAATGGTATCAATCACCTGGGGACACATGTTATATAACTCTCCTGGTTCTTCTGATTTCACTATTTCTGATTCGCTATGAGTCATTTTACTGCGCACACACGCACACACACATATATATAATTATATATACATATATTATATATATATCTGTGATATATCTGTGTGTGTAGATGTCAGAAGTCTTTTTAGATGTCATAAGATGTCATTATGACTAATGATGCTGATGAGTTGCCGAATTTGTAGGAGCTTTCTGCAAATCCGCCGCGCCTTGATGCTGATCGCTTAGCAGCTGCACGCAGCACTGCTCGGCGGCTCCGCTGGCGCCGCGCCCTGCATGCGGTGACCCTGCTGTGTTACTTGGCTCGGAGGCTCAGGAACCGCCGCCGCCGGCGGATGAAGGCGCGGCTTTGTAGATGTTTGCAGCCATTTTTTAAAAATCTTTTCTGACGATCTCTTGAAATCAGTTTACAATGTTTACCAGGGTTAACAAGTCATTTGAAATATTTTGATCATTCATCGTTCAGTTTTCAGATTTGGTTTTCAGACAATTCCAGGGCGCTTTTTTGGCGAGCATCTTCGTCTTCCGCCTCAAGAGCTTGCGAATCAAAAGAAGTTTGATGGTGCACACCCGAATTGGGGCCACTAAGCAGCTTCCAGACCCTGAAGCGACAGCAGCAAACAAGCTGGAAGAGATGACAGAGATGACAGAGATGACGCCACAAAGAACGAATCTAGGTGAAGGTGTGGTGACAGCTGGTCGAAAAAGAGGCAGACCTCCAGCCACACCACAAGAGGGTGTGCTCTTAGAGCTGTTGAGGAAAAGGCGTTTCTGTAAATAGCACGCTGATAGCCTCGCTCCACAGCAGGTCCGTGGGCTGAGGTCCCAAAACCCGAAGCTTGTAGGGCTTGTAGCAGAATTGATTTTGGTAGTGTAAAAAATGTGCGAGTTTGTTTTTACACTACTACAATGTTTCGATTCAGTTCATGATTCGGAAGCTTTCACGTGCCACATGCTTCAATGATGTTGGGTCCTCTTTTTTGGGCTGGAGGCTGCTGCAGGCCAGTTTTACCATTTATACGGTATACGCTATTACATCCGCTTCTCAACGTAGAACAGCTCTTATGAGCTGTTCACATGCAGCTCTTGCTGATGCATGTTTTGTGCCAGTTTGATCCTGGCACAGCTAATTTGAAATTCAGACCCAATTGGGCGCTTTTGATGTTGAGGTGGGATCAGCACAAAATGTCCTTTTTCAAAGGTTGAAACGGTTGAGGGTTGTTTGCAGCTGCTCAGAAACAAAGTCCGCATTGAACATCGCAGGTGTGCTTTGCCCTGGCGTGAGTGTGTACCAGACCTAAAGCTACCACCCCCATGTCAACCTTGGATGGACTGTATGAACACAGGAACTGCACTCTGCCGGCAAGTAGTGATTCAAAAGAACCGCGCCCTTTGGTCAAACCTGCGCTTTTCAGGCGCTTCTGGATGCAGACAAGGCATTGAAATTGGCACCTCAATGGCCCCGAGTGTACCCTCCTGCGTGATGGTGATTGATGATGGGCATGGATTGAACAGTGGTGGAATGGCTAAAGCCCAGATGTGAATGAACATCAACCTCCACCAAAGTTTTATTTGACGGTGACCACCGGGGTGCCGCATTATTACAGATTTTTAGATCTACTGCACTTTGAAAGAACACTGGAAGATCAGACGCAGCATTTGTTCCAGCACATATGGGGGTTGCCAATTGCAGATTAAATTTCTGTGAAGGGCAGTGCCCTTCTATTCTAACTCTGCATACCTACAGTAATCCTCTGTATGCCCTTCTATTCTTACTCCATTTTTAAGTATAATACATTTATTTTAAAGTGTACTTGATGTTCCAATGTTCCGGGGCATGTGGGACCAGGCACACGGGTTGTTCCTCGCAGCTGACTGTGGCTCAAACTGCTTAGGGATCCTCGGGAGCAAATCCAATTTCCAAATACAGAGGAGATGCCTCCTCCACAGAAGTTGGGGGCACCCAGGACTTGAGATAGAGAGCAAGATCCAGCAGGCTCAATAATTTAAGCCTGCCTTCATTTCCAATAATGGTTTCCAATTTTTGTTTTGGTTGTCATTTGTAAGTTTTTTCCCAAAAGCATCTCCGATGCTTGGGTTCTCGTTTAGTTGCACTTGCCGCGAGGGAGCGATACGGAAGTGACGAGAGGGTGGACGGAGGGGAAACCGTGGGAAATAGCTTGGGGAGAGGTCTGTTGGGAGGGAACGGATGGAAGCGACGACTGGGTGGCCGGCGAGGAAACGTGGGAAATAGCTTGGGGATGCTTGGGGAGAGCTCCGTGGGGAAGGAGCGAGCTGGAAGCGACGAGAGGGTGGACGGAGGAGAAATTGTGGGAAATAGCTTAGGGAGAGCTGGAGCGAGATGGAAGCGACGAGGGGGTGGACGGACAGGAAACCGTGGGAAATAGCTCCGGGAGAGCTCCGTGGGGAAGGAGCGATACGGAAGTGACGAGCGGGTGGACGGAAGGGAAACCGTGGGAAATAGCTTGGGGAGACGTCTGTTGGGAGGGAACGGATGGAAGCGACGACAGGGCGCAAGAAGGATCCGTGGGGAAGAAGCAAGGTGGAAGCGAGGACAAGGTGGACGGAAGGGAAACCGTGGGAAATAGCTTGGGGAGAGCTCCGTTGGGAAGGAGCGATACAGAAGCGACGACAAGGTGGACGAACGGGAAACCATTGGAAATAGCATGGGGGGAGCTCCGTCCGTTGGGAAGGAGCGATACGGAAGCGACGAATGGTTGGACGGAGCTGTGCGCCGTCTTGCTTTTGGGTTCTCTGGCCCACCTTGTTGCAGTTCTAGTCTCTCAGGAAGCCTGGAAAGCAGGGCTCCTCTGCCCAGCTGAGCCAAATGGACAAGCAGGCTGAGGATGCGGTGACTCGGATGATCTTGTACAGCCCAACGCTACCAACCCTTTGGCTTGAGGAAAGAGCACAATTGCTGTGGCAGTTATGATTATGATCTGATTTGATTAGACAGACGTTATGAATCAATCTGGGAGATAGGTTTGGAAGGCCGCAGCCCTTTCGGATTTTGCATAGTGAAGGCGAAATCCTCGCACATCGGGCTCTTGAAACATTCCTTATCTCAAACCTGCAGTAGGTATGTCCTAATCCATGAATTTCAGCTCCTGTTGAAGGTTTCGAGTACCAGATCTGTTTGCAGACCATTGGCTTCCTGTTGAGGTGACTCCCATCGATGCCCTGGCCACGACGCTTGGCTGGCTTGACACAATCTCCGGGATCTCTGTAAGCATCTGTATTTTACATGCTTTTCCATGTTTTTCCTGCAAGATGAGCTGTACCTGCAGCACCAACGATCGTTCTTTCAAACTTTTTCCCATCCTCAATAGCAAGGGGCCTCCGAGCACGGCCATGTCCGCTGGAGGCAATACAAGACCGACTTGAATAAGGGCCTGAGCACAAAAAAGGCCGCTGAAACTCGGCAGTTTCAGTCAACAGATTTGAAGGGTGTCAGGATGTGCCAAGCTGAACCAAGCTATGCGTCAATGTATGAGGGCGGATCATGGCGGATCCTTTCTACAGCACCTCAAGATGACACTCGTCACCTCCGAGGAAATCTTGGAGCGTGATGGTCCCAACGAGTTGGAGAAGCCTCCGAAGCCCACTTTGCTGCTGCTCTTCCTTATGCAGTGCCTTGGATGGCATGGGACGGCCTTGGACACTTTGCGCTCAACCCGTCTCAGCCCCGACCGTTGGAGCTACAGCGGACATTCCTATATGATATTCCGACCCATATTCCGACCATTTTCTGTCGCAAAGTCGTAAGATGTCAGAAAGTCAGACGATTCGACCTAGCAGTAGCAACTTGAGCTCTGATGCTTCATGACGCTTGCCCACATGACCACTGTTGTGCCGAGGCTGACGAGCTTCATCATCATCCTGCTGATGGTCTCTGCAGTGGCCTCTGTGCTGGTGAATGCAACTGGACCAAAGGCTGGAGATCCGCTCTCCTACACCACAGGCGGGGGAAGAGTGGAGATGATAGGTGCCTGGGTTGGTTTCAAATCTTGCATGGTTTTTCGAGTTTATATAAATTTGTTCTCCGACTCAGAGTGGCAAACCACAAGATTTGGCAACATTGATGCCATTTTCTGATCCACTCAAGTCATGCTGTACTGAATGCTGCTCGCAGGAATTGCCATCGAACCTCGGCTGATTTGGTGATCTAGAGCAGCTGATGGTATGAGATCAGCCAACGAGTTGATTCAGTTTTGATCGAGCCAGCGCCGGTAGGATCAAATCATGATACAGGCGGTATAAGACCGGTATAAGACCGGTAAAAGACCGGTATAAGATGATGTGATAAGATGGTATAAGATGGTATAAGTCATGATATCTCCAGCTGAACTCTGAACATGGTCAGATAGCCAACGCATGCCTGTGTTCCAAGGGTATCATCGTCCTCATCAACGCCGGCATTGCTGCATGGACTGAGAGCAAGGCTGGCGATGCCTTGGAGGCGTCCCTTGTTCTGCAATCGTTTGAAATCATTTGTTGATATTTGTAGTTCATTTCTATAAATTTCATGTAATTTCAATTGACATTCACGGCGCAGGTCTTGAAGTGAGTGTGATAGGAGTGGAGACGCGGGAAGCAGTGATTTGCGCAGGAGAAGTCAATGTAACGTGTAGTGGTGCTGTGAGTGATCTCAGAATAGAAGCTGTCAGAAACACACACGCCCATCTAATCACTTGTTATGTCTTGGCCTCAAAAATTGTGTGAAGCCTTGAGCATGGCTCGTCCCAGGTTGTCCAAGATGACCCAAGCAAACATTTATGTCCGTATCCTAGCATTGCCTGGCAGCACTGCCTGGCAACTGCGTCAAGCTGAGTCATAGACAAATATATACATATATATACATACACACACACATATATAATACATATAAAAGTGTAACCTATTCGCCAAACCGGACAAGTGTCAAAATGTGTCATAGCTGTCCAATAGCTGTGAAGTCTTCGGCCCTGATAGTTGAATCAGACAATTGTTTGAATCTTAGAGTTGCTTTTGCCAGTTTAAATACTTCCTTGCTTCGATTCCTATATTTCCGACTGAGTTTCCTTTTCTTTTGCTCAGCTTTGCTCCCTTTCAGAAAAAGCGAAGATATCCCTGTCAGATCTGTGTTGCAAACGGGGATGATGAGACACTCCAGGTGCTTCGCGACGGGAAGGAAGTCCAGGTGGCCGTGCCCACAGTCGTGGCAGGGGATATCGTCGCTTGCCTTGAGCTTCCCTGGGGATCCCTGGGCTCTAAGGCCCTAAGGGGCGCGCCCTACAGTAATAGGGCCCACCTGAAGCCGCAACACAATTCATTCCCCACAACTTTGTGTGGGGTTCTTGTTTTTGATTCTGTATCCCGAGCCTCCTCCTCCTCCTCCTCCGTCCGCCCGCCTCCGCCTACCACAACTCTGTCACATACCATCTGTCACATACCATCTGTCACATACATAAACTTAACACACAACTTTGTCACATACCATCTGTCACATACCATCTGTCACATACATAACTTCACACACACCTTCGTCACATACCATCTTACACATTGTCACACATACAATAACTTCACACACACACAAACTTAACACACAACTTTGTCACATACCATCTGTCACATACAAAAAACTTAACACACACACAACTTTGTCACATACCATCTGTCACATACATAACTTCACACACACCTTCGTCACATACCATCTTACACACGCCGCGGCACTTTGCGTGGCAGGCGTGGCACTTGGTGACATCTACGTGCGTTTCACGTGGCAGGCGTTGGCAGGCGTGGCACTCATGGCACTGGTTGGCGCGCTTGGGCTGGTTTTAGGCGCCTGTGATGCCGCGGCACTTTGCGTGGCAGGCGTGGCACTTGGTGACATCGATGTGCGTTTCACGTGGCAGGCGTGGCACAATCTCACATCCACCGGTTTTGCGTGGCAGGCGTGGCACTCATGGCACTGGGTGGCGCGCTTGGGCTGGTTTTAGGCGCCGGTGACGCCGCAGCACTTTGCGTGGCAGGCGTGGCACTTGGTGACATCTACGTGCGTTTCACGTGGCAGGCGTGGCACAATCTCACATCCACCTTCGTTTTGTGTGGCAGGCGTGGCACTCATGGCACTGGGTGGCGCGCTTGGCCTGGTTTGAGGCGCCCGTGACGCCGCGGCACTTTGCGTGGCAGGCGTGGCACTTGCTGACATCTACGTGCATTTCAGGTGGCAGGCGTGGCACAATCTCACATCCACCTTGGTTTTGCGTGGCAGGCGTGGCACTGGGTGGCGCGCTTGGGCTGGTTTTAGGCGCCCGTGACGCCGCGGCACTTTGCGTGGCAGGCGTGGCACTTGGTGACATCGACGTGCGTTTCACTTGGCAGGCGTGGCACAATCTCACATCCACCTTGGTTTTGCGTGGCAGGCGTGGCACTGGGTGGCGCGCTTGGGCTGGTTTTAGGCGCCCGTGACGCCGCGGCACTTTGCGTGGCAGGCGTGGCACTTGGTGACATCGACGTGCGTTTCACTTGGCAGGCGTGGCACAATCTCACATCCACCTTGGTTTTGTGTGGCAGGCGTGGCACTCATGGCACTGGGTGGCGCGCTTGGGCTGGTTTTAGGCGCCCGTGACGCCGCGGCACTTTGCGTGGCAGGCGTGGCACTTGGTGACATCTACGTGCGTTTCACGTGGCAGGCGTGGCACAATCTCACATCCACCTTGGCTTTGCGTGGCAGGCGTGGCACTCATGGCACTGGATGGCGCGCTTGGGCTGCATGACGCCTATGTGACATCCACCTTGCTTTCAGAGACCATCTCACACACATCTTCGTCACACACCATCTGTCACATACCATCTTTGTCACACACCATATGTCTCAATGTGTTGTCACACACCATCTTTCATACAATCTTTGTCAACAATTCTCTCACGCACATCTTTGTCACACACCACCCTTCCGCCTCCTGCCTCACACACATCATCATCTTTCACACACACTTCGTCACGTACCATCTTTCACACACAACTTTGTCGCACACCGTCTTTCACATACTATCTTTCACAAGTCGCTTTGGCTCAAGCAAAAGCGAATGGAGCAGAAAACCTTTTGGATCGGCAAGGCTGCTGCCACTTGTGCGGCTTGCAGACCGCAGCCTAGGACCGGAGTCCTTGCCGTCTTCCACCGCAGGCACACAAAGATAAACTGGGTCATACAGCAACCTGGCACGTAAAGTCAGTCTCTGCCCATCCGAAGACACCAGCACGTGAAGGTAATAGGTTGACGTAGACTTATCAGCACGAAATTCGGACAGCGTCCGCTTTCCCAGCTTCACGTTGCGTCGCAGCATCTCATGGAAGCGTTGCCGGAGGTGCTTGGCTAACGGACTGTCTGGGCACCGAAGGTGAACGTCTCTCAGTTGAACCTGGTCCAAGCTCGCAGAGAGTCTGCAGCTCGCATGAGAGTCGTAGAAGACAGTCTGAAGCTCGCAGAACTCGTAGAGCGGACTCCTTGGAATAAGCTGGCTTTCGCGGAAATCTGCGATGCTATTCAGCATGCTAGCGTATAAAGTCTGTGCGCAAGCTTTCTTATCTGCTGTTTTGGCTGCCGGCATTGTTGATTCAATGTGGAAAGACATGCCAAGCAGATGACATTGGAACGCGCAGTGATCCGGAATGGCTTGGCGCAACGTGCAAAGAGCCCAATCTCAGTCACACTGCGTGCGATTGACATATTTGGGAAAAGACTGCAGAGATAGCGAGTCATAACCATGGTGCTTGCCACTTTTGGAAAGATGAAGAAACTGCGACTGTGTCGTGACTTGACAGGCATGCACTCTGTGCCTAGATATATTGTATGTGTCTTTCATAGTTGCATTCACAACCAGCTACATTCGTGTCCTACACTTTTGCGGCCAGGTACCTTTCCTCTATGTCATCATCGTCTGATTCGTGGCTGTAGGACAGGCGCGGCTGTCACGTAGAACATCTCGTTGCACCACATGGAGCACAGAAGATCATGGCACACCTCATTCAGCCCATTCCAGGTCCGCAGTGATGCCGCATGCCGAGCAGATGACATTGCAGCGCTAGCGAAAAAAAAGATTTCTGCACTGTCGCGCGCTCACGTCACTTTCACACACACCATCTTCCGCACACAGCTTTGTCACACACATACATACATACATACATACATACACACACACAGACATACATACATACATACATGCATACATACATACATACATGCATACATGCATGCATACATACATACATACATACATACATACATACATACATACACACATACATGCATGCATGCATACATACATACATACATGCATACATACATACATACATACGTACATGCATACTATCTTTTCACATACCTTCTTGCTTTGTCACACACCATCTTTCACATTCCACTTTGTCACACACACACAACTGTTTTTACTTCTCGATCCTTCACCACCTCCTTTGTCTTTCCTTCCTTCCCCGTCCCCGCTACAACCTTTGATGCTCATTATTGGAAGAAGTTGACTTGTGGGGTTATCCGGTCCTTGAATGCACTTGTTCCACTTTCGACCGATGAGCTGCATCCGGAGTCCAAGATTCTCGACCCTCCGGGTGAGAGGAAGTTGGAATTGGATGGAATTCGAACAAAATGAATAGTCCGTCATGAGTCATGGTGTCTCATGGTATTGATGCACTGCGGAGCAAAAAAACTCCGACATGCTCTTGACCATCCTGCGCCATCCTGCGCCATCCTGCGCCATCCTGCGTCGTCCCGCGCCTAGGTGGTCTTGGGCACCGGTGACGTGGTGCCTGCCGACCTGCGCCTGTTTGAGGCGAAGGATTTCAAGGTCAGTGAGATGGCACTCACAGGCACAACATGGGCACATACGGCCGGGACAGGTGTGCAGTGCAGAGGTGTGGGTAGCTAGTATCATCTAGTGCCATATGAGCATATGATGCATATGATGCATATGTAGATATACAATATATAATGATATACAGAGACAAATAATTTAACAAATAAAGCGCAACGTACACTTGTACTGCGAATAAATGTAATTAAAACATACTGTATACTGTATACATATTACATTTGATTGCATTTGAACACTATTATTTGAGCAAAGGCGAGATGTCACTCTTTCCCTGTCGCGGCAGGAGGTACTGAAAACTGCAGTGTAGTTGCCAGTTTCCTTTAGGCAACATGGTACAGGTCAAATGTCGCAGGCATGTGTGCTGCAAGTGTCTCAGTTTTTCACTCTGCGAAAGTCGCAGGAGAACCTGACGATGTGGCCAAGACTCACAAAGTGAAAGAGAAGAAGGATGGAGCTCCGGAGAAGACGCTCGGCTTCATTGGGAGGGTTTTTGTTTCAGGCTCGGGGCCCACAATGGCCCGCAGGTTTTGACACCTTGAAAAAACAATGCGATTGAGTTGAACTTCGGCCAACCTGATTTTGACTATTGGTATCTATTGGTATCTACTGTTCCTCCGATATTTCTGCTGCTGCTGCTGATGATGATGATGATAATGATGATGATGATGATGATGATGATGATGCCGACGAAGACACTGGGTCAGACCTGGTGGATGAGGCTCACTCCTGAAACCATGGCGTTCTCCGGATGCAGCATCACTAGCGGAGTTGGCAAAGGCTTGGTGGTCGACACTGGTATGAGCACACGCACCTTGTTTGCGCAGTCAGTGCTGCATACCGGCGCTGCAGAAGACTAGAATTTTCACAACCCTGGAATTGAGCTTGGGAACTGCACATTGCACATCGCAGCCAGTGTCACCGCGGCATCTTGCGCCGGAGTCCAGCGCAAAAGTCCTACCCTCCATGCTGGGGTTCTAATCTTTCAAAGGCTGATCAAATTATCAAATGATATCAAATGTCCATCTTTTGGACAGTGCTGCCCCCCCATCAACATGAACCGTGACAATGCCAGAAATTGTTAGCTCGGACGAAATCATGGAATTCAAACTGTCTTGATTCGGTGCGAGTGCTGTGGTGCATGGTCTTTTCTCAATGTGCGCACCAAGGCATTGGGCGAATCGCTCAGCTGATTAATGGTGACGTCCTTCTGCTTGCATTCATCGCATAGTTAAGTTGAGAGAGTATGAGGGGCGCTCCTCGAAACCAAACTTGGGCGATTCGGATGCATGGAAAGATTGGAAAGACTTCGCAAGACATCTTCCTTGCAAATGGAAACATGCGATGAAATGCGCGCCCCCTTGACCACCATCGATCCCACTGCGCAAGGCCGGTGCTAGGAAGACCACCTGCTTTTGCTTCCCTGACACCTCAGCCAATCAGACGCCTTTGCAGCAAAATCTCAACAAGCTAGGCTGGGCCCAAAGGAATTGCCATGAGCTGCTCCAGCTTCAACAAATTGCGTGCGAAATCTTGTGAATAAGAGCTTGTCCTTCGTGAACCTCTCTGATATCTTTACTTATCAGGTGCGCGAATTGGGGTCCTGGCCATCATCATTTGTGTAGCACAGCCGCAAGAGCCTGCCTATTTAGTCAGACCCACGATGCAATCAACGTGCTGCACTGTTTGTAAGATATCTCAGGTCAGGTATGCATAAGTACGTAGCAGGGATCTTTGAAACACGGGTTGGTTGGGAAGAATCCTTGCCGGCATGCGCTTCTCCATTGTGAGCCAAGATTGGTATCTTCATCATCGGATGGCTCACCGATCGAAAGGATCCCAGCAATCCGGACAGCCCTGCTACATGATTGCAGATAGCCAAGAGGTTTGTCCACTGCTGGAGTTGGAGAATTGTACATTGAGATATATTGAGATCATCCTTTTAGCTCTCAAAATCTTGAATAGATTAGGGTAGATCATATTAGATGATAGTTATATAAATTATATGACTCGATTTTGCCTGCTAGTCTTCGCCCTTGCGACGCCATCTTCTGAACACAATACAATCCTCAGATGCAAAAGCTTTCTGAGGCTTGGCTCTACATGATTTTGGTCTCTGTGACTCTGGCTGTGGCTGCCATCCCCGAAGGAATCCCTCTTTGCGTCACCATCTCCTTGTTCCTTGGACTTCATGTTTGAGATCGGGATGCCCGAAGGCTTGCAAAGTACAGATATTTTAATCAAATAGTCACCAAGGTCACCAAGTAGTCCTCACCCTGAGATACCCTAGGCGAAGGTTCCAAGGAAAAGAGTAGATTTGCTGATTTGCTATTATCAATCAATGGCATAGTCACGTCATAGTCACAATCGTCGGGGAACCCAGAACTGAGTGAGAAGTTGCTGGAGGGACAGGAACACTTCTAGTTGGGCATAGCCTTCCTTTGACATTCTGACGCATCGGGGGATATGGTCACTTTGATATGCAAGCAGTTGGAGGTCGATTGGATGCAGCGATGCTTGCATTGCACTACTGTTGTCCAGTTTTTGTTTGAGACCTGGGCCGGGAGACTCACGATGAGGGTGACTGTTCAAAGGCAGTGCAGAATCATGATTTAGACGAACCTAAATTCCTACAGCCGCTCCAATCAAGTCGCAGGATAAGATTTGTTATCGCAAGCTTACCATTTTGCCGCTTGTTGCGTTTGGTGGAAGCTCCAGCGGTAGACCGCATGGTGCTGCTAGTTCCTTGTTGACGGGAGTGTGTGCATGTGTGTGCTGATCTCAGGACATGGTGGGTCTCTCAGAAGCCAAGCTAATTGTACAGTGGTGCCAACTGATTCAACAGCTTCTTCTTGCCATTTCGATCCATTCTTCAACCTGTTGAGGACTCTTGCCATTTTCGTGTGTTTGTGCAACATTTGGACCACTCTGACCTTGTTCATCCTTTTCCGCTCGGTTGAACACTTTACTGTAACCTTGCTGCAGAATAGTGGTCTACGAAAGGGTGGAATTTCGGAAACTCCGAGGTCCAGCAAGAAGTGTTGGTGCGAAAAATTGCTGCAGTGGAAACGCTGGGGTCAGCTTCAGTGATTTGCAGCGACAAGACCGGCACTCTCACAGAAGGCACGACGTGCAGAGATTGAGCCTGAAGTAGACGGGGGTGCCTGAAACCGACGCAGACGCCTAAGCACAGAATAGACCAGTAAAACCAGAGAAAACTTGGTGAGTACTGAGTACTGTACCTTGGAGTGAGTCTAGGGTCCGGAATCGGTCTAGAGTATACTCTGGGGTACGTACTTTCGCTTGTTCTTGCATGTGGAATGGGACAGTTCTCCGGGCCCTCTTCAAGATGGTTAAAAAAATGGGAGTGGCTTGGTCCTGTTATTCAAATGTGCCGAGAAATGTTAGACAAAATTATGTAGATGCCGATGCCTCATGACAGTTTTCTGCAGGATGTCAGCCATGATTGTTCATATGCACCACTGGCCACCTCACGGATCACCATGCATTGTGGCACACCGAAACGTGAATAAAGATCGTTTGCATCCGTTTGCACATTCACCATAGCTCTCTTTTTTCATGCCAAAATTCTATGGTGAAAGAAACTGTGATGAGTCATTTGTATCTCGCGGAGAGCCAGCTGCCGCGTCATATTGCGTAACCATGCTTGCCGAAGTTGAATTCATGCCAACACTTTGATACCTCAGTCGCACATGTTAAACATGTATGGACGTCCGATACGTCTGGCGACACAGGCGACATCATGACCTCATTGTAAAAGCATGTCACACATTGCGTCCGAAACCTTAAATAAGTATAAATAAGTGAGATACGAATGCAACCCCGTGTCCCACATTTTGGATTTAATTACGTAGCGACGTAGATAGGTGTGTTTGTGACTCCGTTGCTAGCACACTTAATATTAATACCAGTTAAACAGGGGCTGAGAGATTTTGTCTTTCTTGGAAATGTTCTCCGGACAACCTTGGCCCTAGCCTGGCAGAACTTCCATCCAATACCGTTGATCGCAAGTGTGCCCCGGATGGCAAGCGTGGCATCAATCACGCAAGGTGATGCCCCCGCCCCAAGCAGATTTAGCCTGTGCCAGGCAAGATGACCATGGTGGGCATGTATGCTGCTGGCACTACCTACGAAGTCACTGGCAAGGGTTTTGATCCAGAGGCAAGGGCATTACAGTTTCCAGGGAAGATAAGGGAGGCAACTGTTCCCAAGGGCATGTGGAAAATAGAAGAACATGAACCGGAATTCCATGGAAATTGCAAGTGTAAACGCATAAATATAAATCTCTTGCGGGGCAAGAGTACCATTTTTTTTTGCTGTTTTGGCTGCGACATGCTGTGACGACTTAGTTGAACCAACATGATGAAGTGGCCACATTCCAGTCATTTGGCTATTGGGATTTATTGGGTCGCGGGCCTGGGCGGATATTTTGTTCAGCTTCAGGTGGGTGGCGTGATGCGAGGAGATGGCACAGATGGCAAGAATGATATGGGCACCTTGTTGGGACAAGCTCACTCAACTGGGCAGCTACAGTGTGGTGACTCCTTGGGTAGCGGAAGTGGTTGTGATATTTTTTTGTCCTTTGAGTTTGGTTGCAGGGATTTCACTGGTAGCTCATTGTACTTTTCGTGCGGCGTGGTGCGTGGTCCCAGCCGCAGACTCTCAAACTGAGGTGTGAAGAGCAGCCTGCTGACAGCGACATGACTTGAATATAATATATACGCTCTCCGTTTTTTGCGCCTTATCTTGGGGCTGTCCCTGCTGCGTGTTGGTTCGGGGCCTGTTGTCAAATCTCAATGCTTATGACCAGCGAGAAACACTAGAGACGGATTCCGAAGAATCTTGTCAGCCAAAATCCTATTGCACCCGAGCTCTGGAGCTTTATCCTAGTCCTTCTGGGGACAGGGTATAGCCAAGGCAATCCTTTGCTGCAACACCACTCTCAGCAAGGAGAAGGATGAGGCACATTGGGAGCTCGTGATGTTCATGATGAGAAACTCCACACTTTCGCCTCACCTGCTTCTGCTGGCTGTTTGCGCTTGTCAGAGCTCAGCACAGGCTGGCGTCATGAAGTGGACACCCAAGGTGCGCAGGTATACAGATTTGACAGGAATGCCTAACCTGAGTGACCATCGCGACCTGCAACTTGCTGTTGTGATCTGTTGTTGTGAGCTGCGAATTCTAACGTCTAATAGATTGACAATGATGTTGGCAAGTTCGCGACAGTCGTCAGTTCTGGTTTTCAGGGCAACTCCTCCGAAGCCCCCATTGTGGTGGCTGCTCGTAAAGTTGGCCTATCTGAGAACATTGCCAGTCACTTGCACCACTTGGGGCCGGGTTTTTAGTATCTCGACCTCTGCATTCAACATGTCGTAGGTTCTGCTATATGAGTTCAGGGAGCCTAGTGAAGATCCGCTCGTGGGCAAATGCCAAAATGCATGTTTGGATTTTTTTGAACCTGTTGGATCCTGTTGGTACAGTTTTGAATTCACAGGGACCATAGGGAGCGGGCTTGGCCTGACTCTGCCTCGACATGTACTCAAGGCGACTATCCTCGGGTGCTTGAAGTTCCATTCTCCTCATCTCGCAAGATGATGTCTGGCACCCAACCTAAGTGGCACAACATGGTTAAGCACCATGGGAGGGAGAGGCTTTTTTTCCCTTTTAAAGTTGGTACATAACGCCGCGCTTTATCCTGCACAACGCATGTGGGACAGCAAGGGAAAATGGTGCATTTGACAAGCTTTTGATCATGTCCTGGCCTGCCTGTCATCTGATTTGAGACACTGAAATGGCAGAGTGCCAACACATCTCACGACGTGTGTGCTAAGAATGACATGTTATGACATGTTACTGTGCACTGACTGGCACTAACTAACTCAGCCTAGGCTTACAGTGTCAAAGGTGGGCGGCACACATCTCTGTGCCGGCGGCATGCCTCTGCCTCCAGGCCTGTGACAACCCTGGTTGGGTAGAGAATCATGGTGGGTTCTGGATGTTGTAGGACAATGCGGGTTTATAAATGCTTATAATGGTTTATGATGTTCATGTTGTGGATGCTAACTATAGAATACCTAATCGTTTGCTCTGGACGAGTGAGCTGAAGATCTGTCAACGACATGTACTTCCCAGGAGGCTGTTTGGGAGGCTGTTTGGGTGTAGGCATAGGACATGTTGAGCTTTGCTGGGAACAAGCCTCCGTGGCAGGGAGGGGCTGAAAGAAGAGGCCTAAAGTCCCATGCTGACAACTGCAGTCGCTATTCCACTGGCAGGAACCAATTACCTGGCAGTTTGCAAGGGTGTCTGGCCCTTAGCATAGGCCTACCTGGCGGACAGCATCATTTGTGGTGCAGTTCATGTATTGGTCTCACAAAGGGCAAGGGAGTCTGAATGAACCTGAAGCGTGACACTGAGGCTCCCAACTACATTATTGACTTGTGCTGTGAGCAGCTGCGGGCGGATG